CAATGCTTTCCTATGTGACCCAGAAACTCCAATCAATTAAATCAATGCAGCATTGAGTTTCTATACATTAACCAAGTAGAACAACAATCCTCTTTTATTGACTTTTTTCTCGTTCATATGAATATCTTTAGACATATTTAACCTTTTCTATATTGAAACTCTAATTTATTTTATGATATCAAATTTTTTTTTGAGTTTGTTCCCCAGGGGGCTGGCCTCTGTCCTCTCCCCGGTCACCGCCCCTTCCTCCCGGCAGACGCTTTTCAAACCGTCAAAACCGTCAGACATAAACGAAGCATAACCCGACTCAACCTCTGAGACATCAATTGGCTTACCCTGCATTTGCAATGGAGCCAAGACTTCTGTTTCACCAACTTTGGGATTATGAATAGTTGTAGCCAAACCAACTGACTTCACATGAAAATTGTTGCTTTTCCCCAAAGGACATTCTTTTTTCCAATGACCCTGTTGATGGCAATAATGACACACATTTGCATTGCTTGTGCCATTAGGATGCTGTGCAAACTTTGGGGACAAAGATCCTGCTTTCTGAGATTCATTTCTATCATAACGCTCACCAAAGATGCGCCTGTGCGTCAACACATACTCATCAGCCAGTACTGCTGCCTCCCTAGGACATGTGACTTTATGTTCATTAATATATGTTGCAATGTATGTTTCAACTGCTCCAGAATGATTAAATCACATAACTGATCCAATGTTTTTACACCAGAAGAAGAGTACCAGCGCTTGAAATGCAAGATCAAATCCCGTGCAAATTCCACTTGTGTTTTGTTACCACTCTTTCGCCAGTCTCTAAAACGTTGGCGGTGTCCGCACTTCCCTCACCGGTACGCAATGTTTTGTGAATCGGAAAATGTCGGAAAATGTCTGTACCTATTTTTTTGCTTTGTAATACGTAAGCAACCTTGCACGTGAATCCTACGCAAGGCGTTATAAATGAGGCCCCTGGTGAGTATCCATGTATTTTCTTAATCCAATTATTTTACCTTTAACCCCAATAAATTGTTTACTCCAAATTGTTGTGTTATCTTCTGTTTTGATTTACAATTAACGTGTTCCTGTATGTGGGCATAATATATAGCTTTAAAGCACAAAGAGGGTTAAACACGTAGGCATCCATTTTAGGTTTAGGCCTGGAGAGGGGGCGGTTATGATTAGAATTAAAATGAGGGAGAGTGTGTATTTGGAGAAATACAGATCTCCACACAGCAACTACGGAGTCCTAGACGTGAGAGTTCATACACACTGGACATGTAATCAAGAGGCACTGGCTAGTTAGGGATTAAACATTTTGATCTCACTGCCGTAGGCAGAAGGATCGATGCACGCTCCATCGTTGAAACACGTCCAGGTATAATCATCTCTCACTCAAGCTCCTCTCGTAAACTGTTAAAATAAAAAAATTATGTTTAAATGACACTTATCATGGTAGTGTTTACAGTGTCACTCACATGAAAAATTACACATCTTCAGTAACTAGAGAATGCAATTCCTGAAGAAATTGCTAGTGGGAATGCTTTATGCTGAAAAGCTGACGCTAAACTGCTATGCTGAAATGTAATGTGTAAGAAGAAAGTGAAGAATTTAGATTTAAATGATACATGAACACTGGGGGCTTGAATGTGTGATGAGAGAAGAAAAGAAAGTAAAAAGGCTTGGAAAAGCAGCAGAATATTTGAACTGCAAACTTTTGAACTAACTTGATGGCGAATGATCTGTCGCCATGGCAACGGCATTTGATGACACCCCATAATACGCTTAGATGCGTTGATGGCTGCATCGTTACCAAACCTGTGAAGTTTTGGGCCGTTTGAAGCATTTTCACTGAAGTTATGAGAAAACCGTGTTTCATGGCAAGCATTGTGTTGCCATGACAACGGCATTTGATGACACCCCATAATACGCTTAGATGCGTTGATGGCTCTATCGTTACCAAACCTGTGAAGTTTTGGGCCGTTTGGAACATTGTGTGAGAGAGAGAGAGAGAGAGAGAGAGAGAGTATGTGTGAGAGAGAGAGAGAGAGAGAGAGAGTGAGTGTGAGAGAGTGAGAGAGAGAGAGAGAGAGAGAGAGAGAGAGAGAGAGAGAATGAAATGAACAGTTAGAACTGACTGCTGTCAGTTGGAGTGATGACATCATCGTGTTCCATTACACAGGTGTTTATAGTTGAGCTAACGAGCTCTGTAGAGATCAAAGGTTTGCATTGTTCTGAATGAGAGATAAACCTCTTACATGTGAACGTTTTGTGGAAGAACGATAACAGATATCTGTAACACTTTCAAAACATGAAGCATGTCAAGGACCTTGAGTATCTGAAGTGTAATTTTTGTGTACTTTCGGGTTAATAATGTGGCCTTTTTGGCAGTTTAACTAAAGGTGTGCGGCTGCTGCTGTGAGGAAATATCAGCCTGAAATTACAATGGGTTTTAATGGAGACATGTTGAACGTTTTTGTCACTTCATGCCCTCAAGAGGCATTTTGTTTAATTATTTTGCTTAATTATTTGTCATTTTTCAAGCTACGAGATGTTTTCCTACGTTTGTCATGAAAAATTATGTCTCAGGAAGGCTTTGGAATTATGGCAGTTTAAAAAAAATATATGAAGGCAAATTTCAAGATTTGCTCCACTCTAGCTGTGACATCACGCACTCTGCCTTAACGAGCTGCGCAATGTTAAAGTTAAAATGTTAAAAATGTGATGTATTATGGGATGTATCTCTGGAATTATGAAAGTTATGAATGATACAAGTAATAGCCTGCGATTCCCGACCGAGCAGAACGTTTTGATGTTTGAACGGAGTTTCTGCGATGTTGAATGTGGGAGGAGAAGAGGGCCAAAATAAGTCGGCGGAATAATAAACTGTTTGTCCGTAGCATAACATATAGTGGGAATGCTGTATCAGCATTCCCACTAAATTAACCTGGGGGTCATTGAATGTTTCGGCTTATTACAATTATACAATCTCCCCCCAGGAGTAGCCCTGCTCAAGAGATAAATTCAAGCAGTGTGTCTCATAAAAAGCCTTTGCTAGAGGAATAAGGTTCTCTCAGGCTGTCTGTCTTCAATTTTGAAGCAATTTGATTTAATCATTTCCAGAAGAATCAGTGACAAAACAATTTTTACTGCAGGTTTTTGTTTTAGTTAACTATCATAAACCTGATTTCCACCTACTTTTGCCAGGTTTATATTTGAAGAATGGAATTGTAGCTTTGATTTTTATTGGATACTTCCTACATTTAGTGTGTGTGTGTGTGTGTGTGTGTGAGTGTGTGTGTGTGTGTGTGTGTGTGTGTGTGTGTGTGTGTGGCATTACCATCCTTGTGGGGACCTAAATCTGTTTACACAGTCACGTGTGGGGACTCGCCTCCCTTATGGGGACATGATGGTGGTCCCCATGAGGGGAATCATTAATCTTAAGGCCGCTACACACCAACCTGAGACCAAAGAACGTGTAACGAAGGCGTCCCGACTTTTACGTCGCCTGCGTCGGCTACGCCGCCCGCCTACGAACACACCACAAAGACTTCAGTCGACGAGTGGCAATAACTGTCCTTACCAGCAGGCAGCGGTAGTGTGTATTCATCATTCAAAAGAGGCAACAACCGGAAGACAGACTACTTTAAAGAGTCCTCTCCTGCTGATGTTCAGGTTCATATCAGTATCTAGTGTCTCTACTTTAAAGAGTCCCCTCCTGCTGATGTTCAGGTTCATATCAGTATGTAGTGTCTCTACTTTAAAGAGTCCTCTCCTGCTGATGTTCAGGTGTATATCAGTATGTAGTGTCTCTACTTTAAAGAGTCCTCTCCTGCTGATGTTCAGGTTCATATCAGTATCTAGTGTCTCTACTTTAAAGAGTCCCCTCCTGCTGATGTTCAGGTTCATATCAGTATGTAGTGTCTCTACTTTAAAGAGTCCTCTCCTGCTGATGTTCAGGTGTATATCAGTATGTAGTGTCTCTACTTTAAAGAGTCCTCTCCTGCTGATGTTCAGGTGTATATCAGTATGTAGTGTCTCTACTTTAAAGAGTCCCCTCCTGCTGATGTTCAGGTGAATATCAGTATGTAGTGTCTCTACTTTAAAGAGTCCTCTCCTGCTGATGTTCAGGTGTATATCAGTATGTAGTGCCTCTACTTTAAAGAGTCCTCTCCTGCTGATGTTCAGGTGTATATCAGTATGTAGTGTCTCTACTTTAAAGAGTCCTCTCCTGCTGATGTTCAGGTGTATATCAGTATGTAGTGTCTCTACTTTAAAGAGTCCTCTCCTGCTGATGTTCAGGTGTATATCAGTATGTAGTGTCTCTACTTTAAAGAGTCCTCTCCTGCTGATGTTCAGGTGTATATCAGTATGTAGTGTCTCTACTTTAAAGAGTCCTCTCCTGCTGATGTTCAGGTGTATATCAGTATGTAGTGTCTCTACTTTAAAGAGTCCTCTCCTGCTGATGTTCAGGTGTATATCAGTATGTAGTGTCTCTACTTTAAAGAGTCCTCTCCTGCTGATGTTCAGGTGTATATCAGTATGTAGTGTCTCTACTTTAAAGAGTCCTCTCCTGCTGATGTTCAGGTGTATATCAGTATGTAGTGTCTCTACTTTAAAGAGTCCTCTCCTGATGATGTTCAGGTGTATATCAGTATGTAGTGTCTCTACTTTAAAGAGTCCTCTCCTGATGATGTTCAGGTGTATATCAGTATGTAGTGTCTCTCCTGTGACATGTCTCCATGCTATAATGTTCAAAAAGCTCTTTATTTTTCTCATACTGACTGTGCTGCAGCACCTCTTTTCACCCTCTGTCTGAAACCAGAGCCCAGTCTGCTCTGATTGGTTAGCTGGCCGGCTTTGTTGTGATTGGTCAACCTCTTACAGATGTCCCGCCCCTTAGCCTATCCCGTACAATGTGTTGGAGCGCTAGTCAATATGAGCGCCAGTGTTACATAGTGATGTCACTAGGAAGTAATCAAAAGGAGTCCAATGGTCAGATATATTTTCTCCACTGCAGACTTTATTGCTTTTGTCCTGTTTATGAAATGCACAAAATCAGATATGTACAAACTGATGAAGATAAGTTCTCCTCTTCCTCACCAGAAAGCCTTTCAGAAATGTTTGGATTTATAATCACTCAAACAGGTCCCATTAAGCACTTTTATTTTTTAACATTTTTAACGTAATATAACACGTTTTTCCACCTTAGTGAGGTGATAGGGAAGTTTCCACCGTTTCTACCAGACAAACTCCCGGTGTAAAAACATTTGCGAGCAACGGGATACATCTGATTTATGAGTGTCAAATATATATTGCTTTTAATAACCTGTACTCCTCCGGCAGAAGAGAGACGTCAGTCCATAAAACAAGGCATTACCAGAGAGAGGAATATCCAGAAAAAGGGAAACAGAGAGAAATGCAAACTTAGTGTCTTTTTATGAAGTGTGTTTTAGGTTCCAGTAGCTTATTATTTTTCTTTACACACACACACACACACACACACACACACATTCCTGACATACAGTAATGCCAAGAGCACCATCTTTAAATAAAGACGTGTTTCATATCAAAACTTAAATATCTGTCAAAGTTTTGGTGGATTGTCTCATAAAGGATATGTCATAAAAAAAAGAATTGCACACTTTCTGTTTAATGTCAAAGTGTGGCTTCAGTTTTACGAGGCGTTCAAAGCAAGAGGAAAAAATAGTCACGTAGTATTTCATACAGAAAGTAATTAGAAGAAGCTGCCTGTCACTTCCTCCCGCAGAGTGAAGTGACTGGTGTAGAAAAAAAATGCTGCGTTTTATTTGAATATAAAAAATAATAAAATAAAAGGCACAATGTCCGTGTGTTTTTGAGCACTTCAAAACAGGCGTGCGTTTTCTTCATGGAGTGTTTTTCAGTCATCACTTCCTGTCTGATATATTTGGATCCAGCGAAGGCACACATGTGTTTTGGTAAGGAGGCTCCGAGGAGTCCATCGTCTTTTCAAAGTGAAACTGTGACCGCTCCCAAACGGCTGAGACCTCAGAGAGGCGTGGTGTCCCCGCTCTCACACGCTCTCACACACTCACACGCTCTCACACACTCACTCACACACACACTGGGGTCACATGTTCCCGCTGTAGTTCTTCTGCTGGTACCAGGTCTGCCTCTGTTTGCGGGCGTCCAGCTCCGATAGCAGCGCCTGCCGGTAGGCCTCGTAGGATTTGACGATGTGCTCCAGCTCCTTCATGAAGAGCAGCTTCAGCATCCCCTGGTACGTGTCCAGGTCCGCCAGCTGGAACAGCTCCCACTTCAGGATGTGGTCGTACCTGAGAGAGAAGAAGATATTCAGGGTCCTTTGAGAAGTGAAGGGTTGGATCACAAAGCCTGTATGATTTGTACTGCTCACTCTAACACTGTAGTGTGATTTTCGAGGATAACACTGATAATTGGGAGTTTAAAAATCAGATAAAGATAAATCCGTTCAAAGATAGAATATCAGTCTCAGGTAATTGTAATGTGCATTTTTCCACATTTCCTGGATCAAACTTTAACAACTGTTGCAGAAGGTTATTATGTGTGCTGTCAGTACTCACTTGAGTGGAGCGCGGGCGTACACCTGCAGCCAGTCCGGTATCTCTGCCGTGTGGTACGGGTTCGCTGGGACGAGCACCTGCTGGTTCCTCTCCTCTGGGCGGGGCTGGTAGGCGACCGGGGGGGGCAGAGGGGGGGGCTGGTCGTAGCGAGGAACACTGAAACACACACAGGGAATACAGTCGTTATGAGGGATGTTTTAAAAAGCCAGCTTTAAGTTGTAAAAGGCCAAATACTATTGCAACCACTTCTGTAGTTCAAGGAAGATGAAAGACTACAATTCCCAGTCTGCCAGTATATTAAGAGCCACAGGTATGGGCAACCTCTGCAGAAAACGCAGACGAGACCCAGTTCTGATCCGTTTATCATTAGAAAAACGGATCAGTTGGTATAGTTCCTAATTTCGTCCTAGTGGATTTAAAAACAACCCAGGTCCAACAGAAAATACAGTTGTATTTTGTCTCAGTACTATCACTTTGCTGTAACACTGTAAACATACCCTCTGTGGGACTAATAAATGAATTCAAATTGTGACGGTGTGTACCTGGGGGCACAGGGGTGTCGGTACTGCGCTCTCTTGTTGATGTGATCCACGTAGTAGACCCCGAACTCGGCCGACTCCACCTTCTCCCAGCCGGGGGGCAGGCCCTCCCTCTCCAGCGGGTGGCTCCAGTGCGTGGTGTTGGTGTTGTGGTCGATGTAGTACTTTCTGCCGCGGATGGTCCAGTCCACCGTCCAGCCGGGGGGGACCGGCCCGTCGTCCCCCGTCAGGTTGGACAGGTTCCCCATAGACTTGGCCTGGATGCGCCCGATGCCTGAGGAAACAAAACATCTTGGTTTTTTTTATTCAGCCGGAGGGAGAGACGTGAGCCGAGCAGCTGCCGGGGAGAACAGCCGCGGGGGAAAAAGGAAATATTTGAGAGGAATTTCCTAAAAACAGCCTGTGTGGGAAACTGTGGTTTAGAGGGGAGAGGATGGAGGAGGTTAGAAAGGTCGCTCTGATGCTGTAGCTGAATGTAGATCAGGAGGAATGCAATGCATCTCTATTTAAACCAGGAAGCAGTTTCTAAGTATGAAGAGATTCTGGTTGTTTGACCCTTTGACTCTGCTGTGACAGTAGAGATGAAGAAATGTTGTTTTTCAAGCCGCTCAATTCTGGAGAGTAGCAGACTTATTTCACTATCTTCTGAAATAAAATAAATATTCATCAGAAAACAACTTATTTCCCGTTGCAAGAAAATGTTTCCCGGCAGCTTCTAGAAACTAGGAAACCTTTGCAATGAGCACATTTAAAATTAAAAAAAAAAAAGTATTTCAGTTTTTTGTAGTGTGTTCTTTTTTGTGCATGTAAATGGTCTGCAAAGGCTAAAATCCCTGTGTCCCTTTTAATATAGAAACTTTTCTAGTGTTGACTCATAAGTTGCTTTTACTCCCGTACAATGCCTTCATATTCAAATAAGTCGATTTATCAGTAAAACTTTGGAAAGCTCTGATGGTTTGTGAGTAGCATTTGTTGCAGCCCTTTGTGACGGAGCATCTTATTTAACCGGCATATTTGATAAATGTTTGTTTACATTTGAACAGTAAAACAGACGTACTGAATTCTCAAACTCTCCTCCAGCAGCTCCTGAAGTGTCCTTCCTGCTGGGTAATGAGAGGAAATGCTGGGCGTTCAGCAGTGAGAGAGTGATCATGACTCAGGAGTGAAGCAGGAGGAGCAGAGAGCGTTTTAAACTCGAGAGAGGAATGAAGTTTCTCAGCAAAATGGCCGCTGCAATCTGACAAATTCTGCAGAATGACAGCAACTCAGCCAGCTGCAGAGGGAGGAGGAATGTGAGGGATCCTCCTCCTCCTTCTCCTCTTCTTCATCATCATCTCTGCCCTTTCTCTCAGAGAGACAAACTCTCTGCAGACATGAACTGAATGCAGCACTGTTTCTAAATATTTCCCCCTTTTTTCTTTCCTTCAAAAAACACCCGGGTTTAAACTCATTTTACATTTCCCTGCTTCCAGAAGTTATTTTTATGTTGCAGTATCAGCTTTCAGAAACCATGTACTTTTGCAATGAGCACATATCCAAAGAATGTTTCTGGTTATAGAAAGTAAAAAGGACATTCATGATGCCGTTGATGAAAAAAAAGATCAAAGACTTGTGTAAATAATCAGTTTAAAATATGGGATGAAAATTATTATCAGCTATTTTTTATATTTCTAATTAAAATGAGTACAAGGAAATTACCAGATCATTCAAGTGAAGCAGTATTATAAAAAAGCGCTACACATATGTCATTTTAAACTGCATTTATTTTATTTAACGCCATTTCCTTGGAAGAAATACTATACTGTACTCATATGACATTTGACTTAATCAATTAATCTGCAAATTCCTTTTCATTTAGACCGTAAAATGTGAGAAAATAGTCCATCATACTACACTAGTGTTTCTGTTGTAGAGCTAAATATTTCATCCCTCAGGAAAAGGAAATAAGAAGCTCATGCATTCCTTTCACAGAGGTCTATTTACGGTGCATAATAAAATCCATAACAAGCCCACATCAGTACGGATACTAAAACATCCTTCGAGGAGCCCAAAATTGGCAATATCTACTATTAACTTTTTCCGAAAAATACAGATATGAAAAGTTGTAGAATTGCAGCCTTGATTTTACTCTTCATCAAACAAACGGCTTAACTTTTATTTCTCAAAAGCCAGGTTTTATTTTGCTAACCTGCACGATAAACTCATAGTAGAAGAAAGCGATATTGCACTTACTACAAAAGTAATATGTTTTATCGCAATATGCGAAGTCATCACTTCTTACTCGTGCCATACAGCCCTACTACCAAGTATTTTCCAAAACCAGTTCAATATTATTTGATCGCCACTGCAATGTCAATGTGCGTGGTAAATCACAATATTCAGCGTTTTTGAATATCACATACTGTCCTCATATCCATAAACCATAAACGCATTACTTTCCAAAACTACGTCCAAAGATCAAGAATCCTTCTTCTGATCGTTGTCACATCTTTAACTCAGATATGTCTGTCCATACCTTCCTAAAGAATAAGAAACCAGTGAAATCATGTTTACCTGAGGGGGGTCTCCCTGGAGCCGGGGGTGTGTGTTGTCGTGGAAGTCTCTGGAAGTTGTGTTCATTGTGCTCATAGTATCTATAGTCCTCGGGGAAGCGCTCGGGGCCCCTTCTGGGGGGGGGCTGCTGCTGCTGCTGCTGGGGGTCGTAGTAAGGCTCGGGGGGGTAGTAGTACCGGCCAGCGTCTCCATTCTCAGACAGGAGCCCCACGTCGGTGAGGAAGGACTGCGAGGAGCCCCCGTACTCATGGGGCAGATCCCCCAGACTGCGGGGCAGGTACGGGGGGGCCGACATGCGGTGGCTCTCTCGGCGGGCCACCTCGTGGGGGGGCCGCTGCACCGGGGCCCGGAGGAAGCTCTTGTTGCGGGAAACCACGGGCTCCCGGGCGGGGGCCACAGGGTAGGAAGAGGGGCCCATGTCAGGCAGAGGGACCTCGGTGCGTCGGGGTATCGTGGGGCCATGACGGATGAACGAGGGCATCAGATCTGTAGGAAAACACAGAAACTGTTAATACCTGTCAATTCAATAACACATAAACGATACGATAATAATTTATTGTAAGATCAAGTCTGAAATGTTACTTTTTATTTTTTTTATTAACACTTTATTCGGTTGTATTCGGGATTGTGGGAAACGGTATTTCAATCTCTCTGTCTGTCTGTACTCTGTAAGTTGACTTTGACTTATAACTGTGTTTGAAAGACACTATATACATATTTTATTATGAATATTTTTGCAGGATTGTTTATATGCTCTTACAAAAAAAACTGTCTCATCTGTGACAACAAATATTAGTTGTTTTACTAAATGGGAGGTTGAGTTATTCCAGGATTTTTTAATGTCATTTTTAAGAGTTTTCTGTGTATTTTGATCATTGTCAATGTCTTATGTTATTATGTTGCATTGTTGGAGAAGCCTGTGACATAAGATTTTCAACTACATAATTATTCTGTAGCTATGTCAGATTGACAATAAAGAACTTTGAACCTTGATGCTATTATGAATTATTTTGGTTCAGGATAAGCATGACCTCACATTTTCATATTGCACCATGCCAACTTGTACTTCACTATAGTGTATATTTAACCATCCAAGAGTACATCATATACAATATAATAAAACCTTCTATGAGAACGTTATTACACAAACGGGACTATTCTGTCTGAATATTGAATACTTTTAATTGAGACTTTATATAACTTTATTTAAAATACTTAATAAGGTCCTCCATTCATATTGAATGGAGGACCTTTACTTTCAATTATGTACATATCATTACTACTTGTAATACATGTTGTTGTACTTCTTGCCCCACTGCTTATAAGTGACAAAGAGATACAACTAATGGGTACGGTAATAATTAACTACATAACGCAAATTAAATGTCAGTTAGAGGCATTTTTATTAACTAACAGTCAATTTAACAGATGATAACACTCGTACCATTTTTACCAATGGACACATTTAAGCTACAAATCTGACTTTATTTAACTATGAACACTGCATAGCATCAGGTACAAACAAATGAAATAAAGTGTTAACTTTTTAATTAACGTAATATCTGGACTTTCCTCTGACGTTAATGCAGCCAGCAGATGCTAGCTAGCACTTTACCTATCAATGTGTTTACGGTTAACACAAATTCAAACAGTTTTTTACAAGCTTTAAAATTACAATAATGTGGCGCATTACTCCTAATTATTCATACAATAATGTTTGCTAATGTGATGTAACTTAATGCTTCTTTTCTTTCTCTCACTGCCTTTACTACAGCACCTCTTTTCACCCTGTCTGAAACTTTGAGCTACGGGCTAATTTATGCTAACGTTGAGCTAAAAAGCTAGTGACAGGTCCTAACTTTGAGCTATCGTGCTAACTGATGCTAGCGCTGAACTAACGGGCTTATTAATGCCAACTTTGAGCTAACATCGTAACTGGTATACAGTTGGGGCTAGCAGGCTAAATGGCGCTAACTTTAAAGTAACAGGCTGACTGAAGGTACGTTTGAACTAACAAGCTAATTGGTACAAACTTTGAGCTAACAAGCTAACTGAAGCCAAATTGAAGTAACAGGCTAACTGAGCTAGCATGCTAACGGATGCTAACGTTGAGCTAACATGCCTACTTGTCGCTTACTTACTTCTCAGCAGCGGAGACGTTTCCTTCTTCACATATTTCCCGTGAACCTCGGCTGGTTTCGACGCTTCTTTTTTACTTTTCTTTCGAGAGAGCATAACTCCAGGCTCGGGTCAAAAACATCAACAACAACAACAAAAAAATAAGTCATGGCAAGACCCTCCGACCCTGCGACCGTCCCGTTCAGTTTGAAGGAAAGTAAACATGTTTTAAAGCGTTTTACATTAGCTAGCAGCTAAGTTAGCCGGCTAGCTTTTAGCTCCCTTTCCTTACGGAGGTCTGGTCCGCTGTGATCCAAGCTCCACACCCACAGAGAGTCCTCCTCTCCTGGGCTGGAGCTGCAGAGTCCTGCCCCCCTGGAGGGAGCTCAGCCTCCAGAGTGTAGGAATACTCTGTTACAAGTAAAAGTCCTGCATTCAAAATGTTACTCAAGTAAAAGTACATAAGTATTAGCATCGCAATATACTTAAAGGACCAAAAGTAAAATGACTCATTCTCCATATTGGTCCATTACAGAATAATATGTTTTATAATGATTGATCATTAAAGTGTTATCAAAGCTGGTAAAGGTGCAGCTAGTTTGTATGACTTTGTAAACTGCAGGGTAGCTTGTGAATTTACTCCAGGTGGAACTAAAGACTGATTTAAGTGTTATATTCAGATTATATTTCACATAATTAATTCAAATCTGTAAACTAACTAAAAGGTATTAAATAAATGTAGTGGATTTCAGTGATCCATGAATATTTTTAACATGTGATGTAGATTTGCAAGATCAAGCAGGTAATATATCATTTGAATATGTATAAAATATTGGGGAAAAAAACAAGTATCTCCAGAGTGAAATAAAAAGTATACATCAGAAATGTAGTATCAAGTCCGATAACATAAAAATAAGCATGTAAAAGTACCTTCAATTGTATTAAAACACAGTACTTGTAAAATATAAACACAGTACATATACAAAAAGATCCAAACAGCAGCACAGACAGAACATAATCCAGACAGAAATCAAAGGAGACATGATGCATGTATTTTATTTATAACAAACATTACCCTGTTTCAGTTTTAGTGCTTCATTATCGAGACAAGGTCCTTCATTCAAAAATAACTCATTGCACAGCTTTACATATAAAAGTTTAACATGTTTTTAAATAACAGGAAGAACAGCAACTTGACATTCACTTATACAATTCAGGACGTGAAGACAAACAGACTGAAAGGTCTCTTCTGTTTACATTATCTCACTCATCTTTTTCCCTTTCACATAATACTTATATATATTTACATTGTAATCATATGTATATAAGGGCTTAAGTAGGACAGAGAGAACAGATTACACACAGAGAAAATAACACCTTTATAAAAAGTGCAATTCAGTATTGGTTTTCTCTTTTTTATCAAGGTCACTTTTTAGGTTTTAACAAGATAAAAACATGCCAGAGGAAATGCAACAGAAAGCATTTTGCTGCATCTATTTCAAATGTGTAAAAGCAGTACAGACTTTTGAGTCAATGAATTAGGGCTGTACCAAATGTATTTTTCCTCACATTGAAGATCCTATTGCTTCAAATGTCTGACGTAAGGTGTATATCAGCATGTAGTGTCTCTACTTTAAAGAGTCCTCTCCTGCTGATGTTCAGGTGTATATCAGTCTGTAGTGTCTCTACTTTAAAGAGTTCTCTCCTGCTGATGTTTAGGTGTATCTTCTCAGTATGTAGTGTCTCTACTTTAAAGAGTCCTCTCCTGCTGATGTTCAGGTGTATATCAGTATGTAGTGTCTCTACTTTAAAGAGTCCTCTCCAGCTGATGTTTAGGTGTATATCAGTATGTAGTGTCTCTACTTTAAAGAGTCCTCTCCTGCTGATGTTCAGGTGTATATCAGTATGTAGTGTCTCTACTTTAAAGAGTCCTCTCCAGCTGATGTTTAGGTGTATATCAGTATGTAGTGTCTCTACTTTAAAGAGTCCTCTCCTGCTGATGTTCAGGTGTATATCAGTATGTAGTGTCTCTACTTTAAAGAGTCCTCTCCTGCTGATGTTCAGGTGCATATCAGTATGTAGTGTCTCTACTTTAAAGAGTCCTCTCCTGCTGATGTTCAGGTGTATATCAGTATGTAGTGTCTCTACTTTAAAGAGTCCTCTCCTGCTGATGTTCAGGTGCATATCAGTATGTAGAGTCTCTACTTTAAAGAGTCCTCTCCTGCTGACTCTGTTGTGATTGGTCAACCACTGAGAGATGTCCCGCCCCTTAGCCTGTCACACACAATGTGTTGGAGCGCGAGTGTCACACAGTGATGTCACTAAGTTCCGGAACACAATCAATAACCGTAGTTAGTTTTTTTGGTACAGCCCTAAATTAAACGGTGCATTTTCTGGTTGCTTTTTGATGCATTTGGAATGATTCGAGTGTCCCGAGTACCTGCAGTGTTTTATGTAGTGAATGCATTAGTAATGGTAAAGCAGTGAGGGCGGGGGGGTCAGGTCACACATGATCTTGTTGAGGCTGCTGATCTTCTCCTCCAGCAGGAAGTTCTTCTTCTCTGAAATAATGTGCCGCTGCTTGGTCTTCTCCAGAACCTTCAGCAGCACATCGTTCTCATCGTACAGATTTCCGATCAACACGTCCGCCTTACCGTTTTTATGAAGCTGCAAACATCACAGAAAGGAAAGGATTGGTGATTAGTAAAAGCATCATTGATCTAATTAAAGTACAGCTTGAATAAATGATATCATCAGTTTGAGTAAGAGCTGCAACAGATGACAGCAAGAAATCTCTATGACACTAACAAATATAAAGACAGATAATAAATGACAATGAATTTCATTTATAAAATCTTAATATAACCGACCTGCTCCTTGAGCTGAGCGACTTTCTCTCTGAGCAGCAGCTTGACGTTACTCAGCGAGAGCTCGATTTCCCTCATTCTCTCCTCCATGATCTTCATCTTCCTCTGCCTCTCATCCTGCTGGGACAGTCAGGGATATCAACACAAGGATGCAAATGAAAAATGAATGAAATATGAATTGGATTCCATTTTGAGTTGATGTGTGAGAAAATAAAACGAACAAGCAGATCATTTTCTAACGAGCTAAAACTTTATTTATCTTCATTTCAGCATTAATATAATTAGGTAGAAAATTATGCCATGTATTCCAGATACCTCTACGAAAAAATAATTTAAATCATACAATAAATAATAATAAATAAAATACATTTAATGAGGAGTCTATCAAAAATAAATAACAAAATAAAAATATTACACATTTGAGCTTAAACATGGCGCAAAAACAACACATTTATAAATGACTACTGGGGACAAACAATCATTAATAATAATAATAATAATAAATACCAGATAAACATTCATTATTTGTGTTTAAACAGTAAAAATAATAACTTAGGAAGCTGTGGTTCACTTTGGTTGTGCAGCAGCAGAATCAGGTAGTATGTGTACAATAAAATAACAATTACAGGCATTAATAATAAAATACAATTAATGAATAAATCTCATCGTGGACACAGAGTGACGCTTCCTTATTTTTACAGATTAGTTTGATTGTTAGAAAAGGCTCCTCGATGATCGTAAGGCAAAAATAAACATTCAGCCTCTGAGGATTTATTTTAATAAAAAGACCCTGTCTCAGAATAAACGGTTCAAGTGCATTTAAACAAAATTCACCCTGCGTTAAAAACCATTCCCTGTATTCAAACTACATAGTATTTTAGGATTGAGTATAAAAAGTTAAAAGTCCAGAAACGACTGATGTTTCATGAGGCAAGTGAGGATTTATTTACATTGTATTTTAAAATGTTATGACCTAAATAACGTGAACAAAAAATGTGAGATAATTTTCATCAAAATCATCAAACTGATCCTGATAACATTTTTTAATCATACACTTCATTTTTTTAAGATGGAATAATAATTAAGTAGTGAAATCTTCCCGGCAAAAGGTATATATTCTAAAATGTATATATTGATTTTTTAAGGAACCGATTTTTTTATTTGTGTTTAATTGGGATGCAAACTACGGAAAGCAAAAATGGCCATATTTTAAACATTTTATTTCCTACATGAAGCGGAGTTCCATTATTATTATTTTTTAGAGAGTATGATGTTGAATTTATATTTCACAAATTCATTACGTCATTATCTCTTATGTCATAACTAACCCGTTATAATGCGGAAAATGGAGGAACGAAAAATGTTTGAAATATTCCCGTTTATGGCTTCCCAATAAAACGACAAAACATAAATACATTACCAGCTAAACCCTTTTTTCACCCCACTGGTTTGAGAAAATGTTACTTGAGTTTATTTGTATTATTCTTTATGTATTTTAATAAACTTTGTATTATCACCTTTTCTGAAATCATAATCATTTTCTTTTTTTAAATCAGTGTTTTTTTCCTCACTTGCCTCTCAGGGCGTCCATATAAATTTCATATGGCATGTCCTTCAAACTTTAAAAATGTCATTTCCATCGTAATTCCCATTGGGGAAAAAGGTCCTATTTCCACCTTTTTCTGTGTTTTCCTGCCACCTAGCAGCAGAGAAAAACAATTACACATTCAGCCTTTAAATCAGGCAACACATCTGATCACAGTCTCCCATAAAGAAGCAGCCACACAGCAGAGGAAGAGGAGCAGAATGGAGGAAGAGCAGCAGTAAAAAGAGGTAGCAGGAGGAAGAGCAAGAGGAAGAGGAGGAGGAAGACGGCGCTGTTAGAGTCCTCCGATCCTCCGGTAGCTGTCAGAGTGAGCGACCCTCTGATCCTGGACCGGCGCCTGCAGAGAGAAGCAGCAAACTTCACCAACGCTCCAGCCTCGCTAAAACACGCAACTAAAACTAAAAAACACATGCCTTAAAACAGCTAAACTAATGTGTTAAATATGACTTAAAGGGGACCTATCATGCAAAATGCACTTTTGTACGTCTTTTATACATGAATATGTGTCCCCGGTGTTCCAGGGAACTCACCAAGTGTCAGAAAACACAACCCTCTCTATTTTCCTCCATACCCAAATCTCTAAAAAAGGGGCTGCAACGGATCTGATAAAAACTGATCCAGATTTGAACACTGTCCTGACGTCAGGACGGTGGCGCTACGGCTATTGGGCCAACTCCACCAATCAGGAGGAGACAGCCACGGCCATTGCCGTTCAAAAGCGCTGGAGACGCTGTAGTACATATGCCAGGCCTGTAGATGGTGCTGTTCTCACAGAATCTGCCCTTGCTAAAACAGAGCTAGAAATTGTCAAATTGAGCGAAATGAGGCATGGCTAAAATGCATGATCTGTTTGGTATTTAAAAAAAAAAAAAGTATAAATATGCCTTTATATAGGTATGGTCCTACACTATATTATTCAAATATAGCATGATAGGTCCACTTTAGTTTGTCTGTGTATTCACATGATTATTTATACAACTATAGGGTTTTAAAATAACCTAATAATAATAATCCTGTCATGTGTAGAATTCTGATTATAATGCATTGACATTTTTGATTTGTCATAAGTTATAAAGTATCCTATGGTTATATTTATTTAGTAGTAAGTTGGACTATTCTGTATATATATATATATTTCACTGTTAATATGTACATTGTTCTATTCTTTGCGATGCCTTGCTAACCTTGTTTACATGCTGCTGTAACAAAATGGTTTCCAAAATCGGGATCAATAAAGTATTTAGCAACTATTTTAATAATTGATAAATCATTAAACTACGTTTTTCCTGCAGTAATGTCTCTAAAGTAATTGCACTTGCATCATAATATCCCACTTTGTATCAGGTGTGTACTCTATACATTGATATAGTTAAAGAGGCACCACGTCTAATTAACTGGTCCTAAATTGTGCTTCTTTTAAGCTTCATAAAGTCTTCTGTTGCTCCGGTGTTTCAGATTTATTTATAACAATTTGTCCATTACAAGTTGCATCATGGGAATACAACCTGACTGAATACATCGGCTACTAGTGACAAAAAGGGAAGATTTCATGGCTTAAATGTATAAATATATAGTTAAATGTCTAGTATAAACAACTGGGGATGACGATCAGTGTTTATACTGCAAATAAATGACTCCGATGGTTTTTTAAAACACACCAACGATGAGATAACACACCTGAACAAACTACATTTGTATAATTAGGATGAGACGGAGGTGTGTGTGTAACGTGACAAATGGAGAGAAACACCCAGAGGATCACACCACTGCAGTCCCCAGGAGGAAAGTTAAAGAAAGAAGCAAAGACAACATGCACACCAAACCCAGAAAGCAAACACACACACACACTAACACACACTTGATGAGCAGGTGAGGACAGACGGGTGGATCTGAGAAACAAGCAGCAAAGCAAACCCAGCGCGAACACAAACATAGGATGTGAAATAAAACCAAAAGAGGATTGTAAGAGCTAAATACACTCAGATCATCAGGTGCTAGAGATTATGCTTTTGATCAGAACTGCAGAAACATGTAATAAAAAATGATGTGTTTATAATAGATTAATGCAGGGTTCCACAACATTCTTAAAAATTAAATTCAAGGACTTTTTAAGGATTTTCCAGACTCACATTCTTCAAATTTCAAGGACCCTACATGGAATAGTTTAAGACATGGATTCACTTTAGTTCCTTCGAGAATTTTTATAATTAAAAACAAGCAGCTTTAATTTCTATTCTTGCACAATAGATATTAAATATGAAATTCAGGCATTTGCAATGACCAATACAGTTGTGTTTTTTTTGCAGAAAAAGTCCTTAAATTTAGTTTTAGCCTCTGCTATTTATATATATTTCTCAGCACCTGAAGTAAGTGATTTATTTGACACCAGCGTGAGAGTGACAGAAATACAACAGCTCCCATATATCCCTTTTCCACCATGAGATGTAGTGATAGCTCCCATCTTATATCCAGTTATGCTGAATGTACACGTGACAAAAGAAAAAGGACCAGTGAGGGAAGTCGAGGAGATGAAAGTGAAATCAACACACCGTGGAGAGATGCTCAAACGCAGAGTTTATGCTCTAAATAATATTTTAAAGAAGACTCAGGAAAAATGTACACTCATAATGATAATGCGTTCCTCAAGTACACGGTTTCTGCAGCGCACATTTAGGATATTTTGTTTTATGAATGAAATACCAATTTGCGTTATGCTGTCAGAGATATGGAGGAAAATGTAAAGCCCTTACGAAACATAGACTTTTTAAACATTAAAGAAAACAATAGTAATATACTGTAGGTGTAGTGCAGGTGTGTGTGTGTGTGTGTGTACCTGCATGTTGTCCGGCTCCTCCCCTCGGTGATTTCCTCTGGGGATCCTGTGAGGAGACGGAGGCAGCAGACCCACCAGCTGAGCCTGAAACGACTGCACACACACACAATGTATACATCACTTCAGGGGACATTACATTGACTTACATTCATTTCCTGGAGACTTATCCTAACCTTAACCATAACCAACGCATGCCTAACCCTAACCAAGTCTTCACCCTAAAGCCCCTGACACACCAACCCGATTTGAGGCCGTCAGAGGCAGTCGGGCATTCGGGCAATAAGGGAGGCGAGTCCCCACACGTGACTGTGTACAGATTTAGGTCCCCACAACACACACACACACACACACACACACTAAATGTAGGAAGTATCCAATAAAAATCAAAGCTACAATTCCATTCTTCAAATATAAACCTGGCAAAAGTAGGTGGAAATCAGGTTTATGATAGTTAACAAAAACAAAAACCTGCAGTAAAAATTGTTTTGTTACTGATTCTTCTGGAAATGATTAAAGGAAACCTATCATGCTATATTTAAATGATATATTGTAGGGCCATACCTATATAAGGTATATTTATACGTTTCTGTTTTCAAAATACCAAACAGATCATGCATTTTAGCCATGCCTCATTTCGCTCTATGTGCTGTTTGCTGTCTACGGGTCTGATTCTGCTGACCACGCCCCCCTGCAGGAGAGGGGAGACGTGCTCTGATCAGCTGCTGGGCTGTCAGAAGAGGGGGAGAAAAAGAGATCTCCGTCCTCCGTGTTTTATTATATAGAGTCGTTATTCATTTGTTTTAAAGCTCAATAAATAACAAAGAAGACCTTTGACCGGCACTTTCCTAATTTTGTCCGGAAGATTTAAACTTTAACGGACATCTTGACCGGCGAAAGAAACTGAAACTCTGCCGCACGGTCCCCTCGTTCCTTGGAAGAGGCGGAGAGGTGGGTGTTTGTCATCTGCTGGTGGACTAACCGGAGAGAATCACAGTGCTTGAGGGATTGCATTGAATTAAAGCAGCGGGAGCAAACGCTTGCCTCGGGGAGGGAGAAAAAAAGCCACAGCGGAGAATAAACAGAAGGGTAACCATGGTAACCAAGTCTTCTTCGCTGCTTTTGTGGCAGACTACAGCGCCACTTACAGGCCTGGCATATGTACTACAGCGTCTCCAGCGCTTTCGAACGGCAATGGCCGTGGCCGTCTCCTCCTGATTGGTGGAGTTGGCCCAATAGCCGTAGCGCCACCGTCCTGACGTCAGGACAGTGTTCAAATCTGGATCAGTTTTTATCAGATCCGTTGCAGCCCCTTTTTTAGAGATTTGGGTATGGAGGAAAATAGAGAGGGTTGTGTTTTCTGACACTTGGTGAGTTCCCTGGAACACCGGGGACACATATTCATGTATAAAAGACGTACAAAAGTGCATTTTGCATGATAGGTCCCCTTTAAATCAAATTGCTTCAAAATTGAAGACAGACAGCCTGAGAGAACCTTACTCCTCTAGCAAAGGCTGGTGTGGAGGCATTCAAACCGTAAATGAAGAGGCTGAAAAGGTTTTACCTCGATTATCTGAGCGGACAGTCGAGCCACCTGAGTCCTGAGAGCCTCGTTCTCCTTCTGCAGAGCCTCAGGATCTGAGAGAGAGGGTGCTGCTGCAGAGCCCTGAAACACACAGCACAGGAAATAAGAACCCACACAGATATTAAGCATGTTTAGAGGATAAGATCTAAGGTTATTGTACCGTGTTGATGACCCGGTGTGTCTCCAGCTGCTGCTTCAGACAGACGTTCTCCTGCTGCAGAGCCTCCAGGGAGAGCAGGGAGGCGTCCAGCTCACACACCTGCACACAGGAGAGGAGATACGATACAGAAACAATAAGATAAGATACAATGAGATGAGATACAGAAACAATAAGATAAGACACGATGAGATGAGATACAGAAACAATAAGATAAGACCGGATGAGATAAGATCCAGAAACAACATGTCCTTTATTACATTTAACCTGTTGTGGAAACATTTCTTGATCAAATTGATATGAAACAAATGAGATAAATATCGCTGTGACACTGATCGGGACTTTGACCCTAAACTTTCACAGTAAACCCAAAGTGACATATATGCACAATCAGAAATATGACTATGATCTGCTCAGTTAATTTAGCTGATTCAATTATATTGAGTTAATATATTCTTTATTCTTCAATTCAAAGAATGTTCAAACTAATTTAAACCAAAAAATCATCCTCATTAATTAAGTTATAAATAAGAGTTACTTTACCATTAAAGCCCAAAGTGACATACTGTATATGTCACTTTTCAGGTATTTGACACTAGGGGGGGTTACTTGTCAGAAATGTGTTCTAGGTGGTCTATTTAGTCTAAATTATGTTCCCCTTAATTTCCCCAAAAGTAGAAATGGGTCCGGGTTCTTACGGGTATATTTTTTCTTATTTTTTTGTAATGTTATTATAGTGTTCTTAAAATGATTCGCTATCCGTTTAAAAAAAAAAAACGTTTATGACTCAAATTCCTCGTACGTGTCCACCTACCTGGTGATAAACCTGTTTCTGATTCTGATTCTGATAAAGGCATTCAGCTGCAGATTCCCAGCGTGTACAGTCGTCCCTCACCTTGTCTCTGGAGCTGCGCAGCTCTCCTTTGGCGCTGCGCAGCTCCGTCTGCAGCCGCTGGTTCTCTCCCTTCAGCAGCGTCTGCTCCTGCTGCAGCAGACGGGACATCTCCTCCCTGAAGAGCTTCCTGCTGCGGCTCTGAACGCCGCTCGAGTGCAGCGCCATCTCCAGCACCTGGTTCTGAGGGCAGATAAAAACAGGGAAAACATCAATAATAATAATAATAATAATACCTTATATTTATTATAGCGCTTTTTCCATGACCCAAAGCGCTTTACAGATACACAATACACATACATGTAACGGTCATGTACTGTGGACAATACCCACAGGAGCAAATTCAGGTGAAGTGTCTTGCCCAAGGACACAACGGCTTTACAGACGCAGCGGCGGCGGGTTTCACCCCCTTGATCTGATGATCAATGCACAGCCCACTGCGCCACACCGCCCATCTTCACACCTCAAAGTCGAGGCGCTTTACAAGTACACATTGATATCATACATGTACTGTGGACAATACCCACAGGAGCAAATCCGGGTGAAGTGTCTTGCCCAAGGACACAACGGCCTGACGCAGTGGCGGCGGGAGCGGGTTTCGAACTGGAGTTCCCCAAACGCACAGCCCGCTGCGCCACTCCGCCCCAAGTATCAAGTATACTGCAAGAGAACGGCAGCTGAAATCCTACTTGTTTGTAACTTCAATACTTTTGTATGCATGCTTCTACGTAACATGAAGCTGTCTTTGCTCTGCTGTAACAACGTACATTTCCCTTCTGTGGGACTACTAAAGGTATTCTGATTCTGGTGTATCTGGATCTCAGTCAGTGGTGAACTTATTTAAAATGGTACCTTTTCGTTGCTGTTCTGCAGCTGTTTGTGCAGCACGCTGACTTCCTGTTTGAGGGAGTCCCTCTCCTTCTGCATGTGACGGACGTCAGACTTCAGACGGACGCTGTTATGCTTCACCTTCTGCAGGGGGAGAGGAATGGATAAAAGTCATGCAAATAATCTTTGCCTACTCAGGACTTCTTCATGCTTTATGCTCCAAATGCCCACAATAATATTTTAAAAATAGAGTTTGTGTATTCTGCACCATGGACATGGAATATGCTTAAAACTAGGGCTGTGCAATTAATCGTATTTTAATCGCAATTACGAAAACAACATAATCGAAAAAAACTATTATTTTGCTTTGCTAGGTTGTGACAGTGCACTGCAACATATTTGATCTGATTTATTTGTATTTATCATATTTATATATGTTTAGTAGCTTGTGGAAGTGCGCTCCAAAATATTTGTTGATCTTGTTTATTGGTATTTATTATTTAGATATTATTTATTTAAATGTATAATTTATTTAATTAATTTTTGTATTGGTTTTTCAGTTGAATTATACGTTCAGGGTAATCAACAGTTAAAAAGATACTGTTCAAATTATTATTTGTATTTGTTTTAAAGTTCAATAAATGGATGTTTTCAAAGTCAATGAATAATCGTATTTAATAATCGTGATATCAATTATTGACCCAAATAATCGTGATTATGATTTTTGCCATAATCGCACAGCCCTACTTAAAACATAAGAACCGAGAGGAAGCTATACAAATGGAAAACAATGTAAAAAACTTGATTATAGAGGGAAAGAGGACGTGGCTCATTCCAAAGGGGGCAACGTACAAATCCTTCTCATTGAGGCTTTAACTTGTTCACGGGCTACCACAGTTATACATCAGTTTAATAAGGATGAACGCTCCTGTGAAACACACATACTGAAATAATACTAAACATGACTTTATGTTGCAGCAGACTCACCTTCTCCTGAGCGGCAGACAGCTGATCCTGAGCCTCCTTCTCCAAACTCTCCAAGGAGTCCACTCTGTCCGCCTGAGGACCAGAAAAACAACACAAGTTTAAGGAAAATAATACTTATTATAATCACCTTCACTGCTAAAGCCAGACCACACCACACTATCTCAGCACATTACATTACAGACCTGACAGGGAACATTTCGTTTTTAAACATGGACCCTATTTTCTGAGTGTTTTAGTGACTAATGGGAAATCAGAATTCGTTCATTTGTCCAGCAACAGGGACATTTACGGGGAAAAATTGGTCCACTATTGAGTAAGAGTGATGAAATGTAATCCTTCATCAATATACGTCCACTAAAAGTTTGTTTCTTCATTATAAAAAAGGATCCTACAGAGAAATAACCTTGGTTTGAATCAGTTCCATAAATATTGACGATGTAGCATTAGCTCCCGGATTAGCCTGATGCTCACCTTGTCTCTGAGTTCACAGAGCTGCAGTGCATGCTGGGAGACGGCCTGCTGCAGCTGTGCAGAGTCCTGCAGAGCTTTGGTGAGCTCTGACTCCAGAGCACACACACACGCTGCCAACTAACACAAAACACACATTAACTACACACTACGACCCACAACACATCACGATAAGCAGTGTGTTCCAGAGCTGTGGTTACCTTGTTTTTCTCGTGGGCCGTGAACGCCTCCTTCCTCTGGCTCTCCTCCAGCAGGTCTGAGAGCTGCTGCTGAAGATTCTCCACGTCCGAAAGGTTCTGGGAGTTTTTCTCCGACAGCTTCCCGTTCTGCTCCTCCAGCTGCCGGCTCTGGGAACGCAGCTCGGAAATCTGCAGAGGGGGAAATACATAGAGGTTTAATTAACAGATTTTAAATCACCCCCGTAGGTTAAAGTCCCCTACGTGCATTGGGGTTACAGATGGGGTCCAAAACTAAATTCTATATGCTACACAAATACGGCCAGGATCCGTTGAATTTTCGGAATATTGGGTTGCAGATTAACATTTTCCAAAGGGGGGTTCGTTTAGTAAGTAAGTCAAGTTTATTTATAAAGCGCTTTTCACAGACAAAGTGCTTGACAAAACAATAAGACATCCACATAGGAGGCGTACAATGATCAATGAACCCACATGTTAAGAAGTCTTAAAAGCACCAGAGCATAATTAAGACACAATAAAAACACAATAAAACAAATCTTACAAATGAAATTTAAAACACACACAATAAAAACATAGTATTAAATGGAATAAGATCAAGCACACCGGTTACCCAAACGCCTGACCAAACAGGAATGTCTTTAAAATAGTTTTAAACGAGACAACAGACTCCGGAGATGAGCAGGCAGAGCATTCCATAATTTAGGAGCCACTGCTGCGAACGCTCGATCACCGCGGGTCTTAAGGTGGGTACGTGGCACAGACAGTACATTTTGCCTCTGAGACCTTAGCATGAAACACTTGAAGTAACTAAAGGATAAGTTAACCTGTTAAGCCCTGAGCCTGTTTTTCATGTTTCAGGCTCGAAAATGACATGCCCAAAACAAATGACTACAACTTAACTTCTAAAAGGGTTATATGAATAATTTCTTTTATCAAAGCAAGGTTACATCTGTGAGTTGGATGTAGACGTGTCAGAATCAATATAGATTTTTCTGTGTCAGAGTGAATTCAGATGGAACCTAGTAAAAAAAGGTAAATTCTTACCTCCGCCTAAAGAAAAAACATTACTTATAGTGAAAACCACCCTTGAATGATGAGTTAGTAGACTAAACGCTTTAGAAATCCAAACTATAACATATAATAAGTACCCTGTATCAAGATTGAGGCAAAACAAGTGAAATTTGACCTTTTTAGAGAAATTTAGCAAAAAAAAGTCCAGGCGGAATAAGCTTTCGGCACATTTGGGTACATATGGTTCCATCAGTGCCATTTGACCTTTTTTTGTGAAAAAAAAAAAGACCCGCCGACGGGGGCTTTGGGGCTTAACAGGTTACAAAGAAAGTAGAAAGAAAGTGAAAACTATTTCTGCTAAACAGTTATCAATGATTGAGAGTCAGACCTAAACATTTCAGATGTGTGTATCTCACACTGTGACTTTTATTCATGAACCTTTGCTTTTAAATGCCATTTTATAATATGTTTTTCTTAATGCTCTCATGTTTGTAAAGCACTTTGAATTGCCTTGTGTTGAAAGGTGCTATAGAAATAAACTTGCCTTGAAACATTATTATTATTATTATTAAAAGGTCAGTATCGAGATCTAATCATTTTTTGCGATAACTGAAATGCATTTGTTGATTTTATTTTTGTCTTTTCTTGAACTTTAAAATGTAATTCAACGGACTAAAATTAAATAACAAATAAATACAAATATATAAATACATTTAGTAAAAATTAATAGTCAAATAAAAAAAGTTAAAAAAATAATATACGAATAAATAACTTGTTTACAGTATATTCTTTTAACTTTTTTAATCCAAACAAAGTGTTAAATAAATAAAAATGGTTAAAAATCTGAAAATAAATAAGAAATAAATATAAATTAGAGTATGTATAAATAGATTAAACAAAAGTCCAATAATACACAATCTTAACATTTATTTAAAATGTAGACAAATTATATTCAAGTTATTCCAATTAACAAATATTTTGATAATCTGTTAATTTGTATTAATTCTTCAAGCAAATACGTCTTAAAATGATGTTTTAAAGCAGGGGTCTCAAACTCAACTATATAGTTACAACCGGCCCTTTGAGTGCAACCTTTATGTGAATGTGGCCCGCGATGAAATTGAGTTTGACACCCCTGTTTTAAAGCTTCTAAAAAATAAAAAATATGCTGCTTTTTCTCTCTTTTAAAACAGACTCTTGTTTTGATCATTTTCTTACCCGTCTCTGGAAAGCCTCCGCTGCAGTTTGAGCTTCAGTCTTCCCTTTCTTTAAGTGCTCCATTGTTTGTCTGAAATCAAACATGAGAAGAAAGTGTCATTTCACAACAATGCAAACGGGTAAATATCAAATACGAGTAGAAATTAAAATGTTGCTTCTTACTTTAACTCTTCCTGGACTTCTTTTAAATCCTCGTCCTTCAGCGCAGCGATCTTCTGACGCAGGACCCCGTTTTCCTCAGAGAGGCGACCGGCTTCAGATCTACAGACGCACACAAATATGTTACAACACAAGAAACTAAAGCTCACCTATAACTGTGACAGAGAAAAACATTTAAAACTCAGTTGTATGACATTACTGGATATTCATTTAAATTAGTGACCGACTGATTAACTCCATTTTGAGATGATGGATGATTATTTATGCAACTTTGTATAGTCTCTCAGAAACCAGGAGATGCTGATAATTGCCGTTGTTAAATTGCACACATTTTTTTATTCTTACAATTTGATTTCCACAAAGTTTAGTTTCTTCAAAATCTCTGGACTTGTGTCCAAAATATTCTTTCCTGATATTGCCAACTTTTATATCTGGATAGCTTTGTTTTCTGTAGTCAATAGAGTGCCACAGTGACGCGTCCTAAAACCCGGAAGTAAGTTAGCATTTTACCACTTCCGGTTCCTTCGACAAAAAGCAATGCAGCTTCTCCATAGGATGTTGGAAAGTAGCTGGAAATAAGGTCTGTGGTTGAGACACATTGAAGAGACGGATCACGTTTTGTTCTACGACATTAAACCCATCAGCAGTGACCCCGCTGGTGATTTCTGAAGAGTTGACGTGTCTGAAACACGATGGTTGTTACCAAGTGGCTGAATAGGACTACAGAAGTTGTGGAGGCCGTTGTACGTCATTACGCTGAACACGTAAACACTCCCTCTAAGTTTGTTTGCCCTGTTCTGCTTGAAAGCAAGTACCTGCCTCCTGCAAACTGTTCAAACAAACGCTTCAACTCGTACCATTTAGAATCTGTATGTTTGAATATGGATCTTAAGTTGGCGTGACGTTGAAGCAGCGACCCTTCGTTTATAGCATAACGTTAGCATTTTGCTTCTGGCGGCTAGATTTATGATTAGAAAATGATAAAAGTAGGGTAGACATGTGGAGATTATCCGGCTGAACAAAACGTGACCCGTCTCTTCAATGTGTTTCAACCACAGACCTTATTTCCAGCTATTTTCCTAAACCCTATGGAGAGATTGCATTGCGTTTTTGTCGAAGGAACCGGAAGGAGTTTACTTCCGGGTTTTAGGACGCGTCACTGTGGCTCTCTATGAAATTGAACATGTTACATTTCATCAGATGCAAAAACAACAACAATATATCAGCGTTATTAGTTTTTGAATATCGGCAACGAGCATCGAGAAACGTTATCAGTCGACCACTCATTTAAAAGCCTCCGATTCTACGATTCACAAACTTGCATTGGTTTTGCAAGTCCTCTGGTGACCTACAGGGACAACAGATGCACACATGGTCAACATCTGCAGGATTTAGAAGCCTAATCACAGGAAGGTGCTTGGGAACGAAAGGAGAAGCGCTTTTAAAAATCGGAACGGACGGGAAACGAGGAGCGGGACGAGGAGCGGGACGGGGTCCTACTTTACTATTTATCTCCGTGTTACCTATGAGCCTGCGTGGATTTATTTAACGTCAGCGACCTGTCCTGCAGATCTGTGATGGCTCTGCGGAGTTTGCTGTTGTGCATCTCAAACTCCTCACAGCTGTCCTGCAGATCGTCCTCTGAGAAACCCTCCTCCTCCTCCTGCTCCCGCTTCTCAAACTCACAGAAAAACTGGGATAAACTCTCTTTCTCCTGGAAATCACGGTCACTTTCCAGACGACTCCACGCTCTCTTCTCAAGCTCTGCATTCTGCTTCTTCAGTTTGCCGTTCTCACACATGCAATCGTCATATTTAATCTGCAGGAGAGTCGTCTTAAAGGCCTTCATCTCCAGCGTCTTTACGTGCTCCATTAACAGCTTCACTTTCAGGCCGTAGGTTTCCTCCAACACCTGGCGGCCGTTTTTGACTTTCTCGGCGTTATAAAGCAGGAGATTCTCCAGTAGTTCTGTCTTCTGCTGCAGCAGGTACACCTTGTCCTGCAGCAGGGTGTTCTCCTCCGTCACGTTGCTGTACAAAGCTCGCAGTTTGAGGAGCGAACGATCCTTGACCTCTGCACAATCAGCGTCTGAATCATGTGCACAGTCATCCGGTGGTTCAGTGGTTAAATGTTCCCAGTCTGATTCTGATTGATCTGGTAGATAGTGAACCTCAGCGTCCTCCGGCTCGACCTCAGTCTCATGATTCAGCTTCTCTCCTTCATGAGAAAGCATTTCACAGACATCTTGAGGTTTGTTCTCCTCCTCCTCCTCCTCACATGATCGGAGAGCTTGTTCTTTCTCACAATCTTCACCCCCAAACGCCTCCAGGGACGAGACCTGTTCACACGACATCTCTCGGGGAACAGCTTCCTCTTCGGATTCGACATCTGAATTATGTGGCGTATCTGGGCTTTCTGAGGATGTTAATTCAGAGTCTTCTTGTCCAATTTCTGCTGAACAACACCCCACTTTCTCAGAGTTTAAATCCTCTTGTCTGTAATCTTCAGAAGCAGCAACCTGATTTACTTCCGGCATGCTTTCAACTTCATTATCACTCTTTCCCTCAACATTTTCTACATTTTCAGAACCTCCAACCTCTCCCAGATTCTCCTGCAGCTCCTTCCTCTCCAGCTCAAAGTCTTCGGCCGCCTGTTTGAGCAGCGCCTCCAGCTCCTCGATCTTCACCCTCAGATCGTCGCGCTCCGTCAGCAGCTCGACCCTCTCCTCGATGTGCCGCGCAGACATGGAGAGCGTCTCGTTGTGTTTCACCTCAAGCTCTGTCTGGATGTTTAAGAGTTCCTCCCTCTCGTGTTTGAAATCCTGCACGGTTTGGTTCAGAAGGAACTCAGAATCCAGCGCCTTCTGCTCAGCGAGAGCGAGGAGGTCGTCTTTCGTTTCCAGACTTCCTTGGAGGCGGGTGTGGAGGTCGTTGAGTTGCTTACTCAGCGCTAACTCTTTAGTCTGAGCTTCACTTATTAAATCATCGAGCTGCTCGTTCTTCACCCCAAGTTCCTCCACATCCCGTTCGTGAAGAAGCTCCATCTCTTCTCGTTCTTTATCCCACCTTTCTTTCTCTCGCTGCTCGTCCTCCTCCATCTTCCTCCTCTGCTCCTCAGCATTAGCGAGGACCTCCTGGATCTTCTCCTCCCAGCAGAGCTGCTGCTCCTGCTGTTTATCAGAGAGACTCTTCAGCTCCTCCTGGTAGCTCTGCTCCAGTTTGAAAACGTCCGTCTGAAAACGCTCGGCGACAGATTCTTGATCGCCTGAGAAACGACTTTGCACTTCTTGCAGTCTCCTGTTGAAGCTCATCTCGATGTCCCTCCTGTGCGCGGTTAATGAGTGTCACAGCAGCTCTTATTAGTACAACAAGTTATACAAAACTGAGGACTTTTTTAAAAAGGATGTCTCACATTATTTGGCCTAAAATGGGTATTTTTCTTCTAGACTGCCATCAGTAAATACAATTCACAAATCGTACATTTTTGCATTAATTTCGCCCCGGCTAAATATTGTGTTTGTTATTGTTATTGAACAGTAACCAGCTGCTGAATTGGAAAAAAGATCACCCAACTCTAGTATAAGGTGCCATGTGCTATTGTGTGTTTTGAACATACATTTTAAATAAAAGTGTACACATATTTTGCCCTTTTTGCGCTTACTGCAATTTGAATATTGCACTAGTTCATGTTGCTATTAATTGTGCAACCCTAAAAAAAAAAAAAGTTCGGGAGAAGACAATTCATATTTTAAGGTTCCTACATCTTAAGGCAAGTTAGATTTAGGACTTTTTTTAAAGGGGACCTATCATGCAAAATGCACTTTTTGATGTATTTTATACATAAAGATGTGTCCCCGGTGTGTCGAAAATAAAACCCTCTCTCTTTTCCTCCGTACCCAAATCTCTAAAAACGGGGCTACAACGGAGCTGATCCAGATTTGCGTCCGATATGACGTAATATCTGAAATGTGGACCCACGGCCCGATCAGAAACGTTGCTATCAGAAACAATGCCCGACTGTTTTGGACGTAATATGGTCGGTGTTTACATTAGCATCGCTAACACTCAGAGCTAACCTGTACTGGAGAGCATGGGTGTGAAGAAGCAGGAAATAAAAAGGAACTCACCTTGTGGTATAACCGGCAAGAGAGAAAGCCTTTGAGCTCCATACTGTTTCAGAAAGAATCCTTGATAATCCATGATATGGCGTTTCATCACGGCAGTATTTAGTTTAGACAGTAGCTGCCGGGTCCCGCATGAGCTCAGCCCCCCCCTTTTTTAATTTTTTTTATAAAGCTTTATATCCAGAATCAGCACTTTTGAAACAGGAAGTGAAATAGAGGGATATGAGGCATGGCTAGAATGGGTGATCTGTTTGGTATTTTGAGCAAAACACTTCATAGACATGTTTTTATATATATTTGTATATATCTGAGACCTATGCTATTGCCTAAAGATAGCATGATAGGTCCCCTTTAATACCAATCTACAAGACGTTTATGATGGAGGTAAAAAAAAATATATATTTCTAGATTAAACAATAAAATGTGAGAACAGACATAATAATAAAAGCGTACTTCACATGTTTTTGTTTTTTCACAATTTTGAAAATGATCTAAGGACATCGTGTCTTACCATTCAAGTGTCTTTGAAGACTGTGTGCAGCTGGTATATCCACACGCTTTGACTACACAAGATACTTTAAAAAGGATGCTATGAAAATGTCAATGATAAAAACAAACGAAGGCGACACTTTGATAATAAAAAGCCTCACCTCTCCTGAGCGATGTCCTCCCTCAGCGCCTCCATCTCCCCGCTGAGCGCCTCCCTCTCTGCAGCGTGCCTCAGCATCACCTCCTTCATCAACTGCTGCTGTTTCTCCTGCAGACGACTCCTGTCCTCCTCCATCACCTCCTGTTGTTTCTCCTGCAGACGACTCCTCTGCTCCTCCATCAGACCCTCCACCCTCCTCTCCTCCTCCTCCCTCTGGGTCTCCAGCTTCTCCCTCTCCTCCTCCATCCTCTCCTGCAGCATCCCCTCATAGTCCTCCTCCAGCTGCAGCCTCTCCCTCTCCAGCTCCTCCCTCACCCTCGCCTCCCTCTGCTCACTCCTCTCCTGCAGCGTCAGCCTCTCCTGCAGCTGGGTCTCCTGGTGGAGCTCCTGCAGCGTCAGCCTCTCCTGCAGCTGGGCCTCCTGGTGCAGCTCCTGCAGCGTCAGCCTCTCCCGCAGCTGGGTCTCCTGGTGAAGCTCCTGCAGCGTCAGCCTCTCCTGCAGCAGGGCCTCCTGATGGAGCTCCTGCAGCGTCAGCCTCTCCTGCAGCAGGGCCTCCTGATGGAGCTCCTGCAGCCGGACTGTCTCCTCCTCCCAATGCATCCTGATCTCAGCCTCCTTCTCCTGCTGCTCCCTCACCAGCCTCAACACCTCCTCCTCCAGCACCACCTGCAGGGACTCATTGCTCTGCTCCTCCAGCTGCACCTTCTCCGCTTCAAACTTCACCTTCACCTCCTCTAGTCGCACCTTCACCTCCTCTTTGTGTCTTTCTTGCAACGCCTCCTTCTCCTTCTCTAACTCCCCCTGCAGCCTCCTTGTCGCCTCCTCTAGCTTGGCCTCAGAGAGCTCCACCTGCTCCTCCTCAAACCTCACCTTCGCCTCCTCTAGCTTGGCCTCAGAGAGCTCCACCTGCTCCTCCTCAAACCTCACCTTCGCCTCCTCTAATCTGACCTTCAGCTCTTCTGTATGTCTTTCTTGCAGCAGCTCCTTCTCATTTTCAAAGTCCTTTAGCAACCTCCTCTCCTTCTCCTCCTCCTTCTCCTCCTGTTGCTTCCTCAGCTCCTCCACGGCGTCCTCGTCCATGTTGGTGTTGATCTGCTCCTCCAGGTCAGCGGCGTAGGAGTGCGCCTCCTGCAGCTGCTGCCTGAGCGCTGTGAGCTGCTCCTCCTGCAGGACGTCTATCTCCTCCCTCTCCTCGTTGAGCCTCCTCTGAAGGGTGGAGGTCTCCTCCTCCAATCGGATCTGAAGCTCCTGTGTTTTCTTCTGGACGCCGAGCATCTCCTCCCTCAGAGCCTCCACCTCCTGCTGGTGCTGCAGCGCTAGAGACGCCGCCTGCTCCTCCTGCACCTCCTTCTTCTTCACCAGCATCTCATCAAACTCATTCATCTGAGGGGGAGAAAGACATTTTGACTTTTTTGTTCTGAATTTTAAACTAAAGGGGCGGGACATCTCTGACATCTCTTTCCAAAATTCTGGCTTTTTTTTCCCCGAATGTTTTTTTTTAAGATCTTATTTTTTGCCAGACTTGGGCTTTGTTTTCTCAGTTCTTACATTTTTTCCAGAATTTTGTCTTTTGTCAGAATTTACACATTTTTCAACAAAAATCCTGAATTTTTTTTCTCAAAATTCTGAATTTTTTCCTCAAAATTCTGAATTTTTTTCTCAAAAAAAGGAGATTTTTTGTTGTTGTAGTTTCTAAATCAAAAACACGCATACACATTTTTACAAATACATATTTTCTATACCTTGCACTCCAGCTGGCTCTGCAACTCCTCGATCTCCTGCAGGTGTTGCTCCTTCAGGTGCTCCAACATCATCTCCGCCTCCAGGCTCATGCTGAACGGCTGCACCTCGTCCGCCCCGATGCCTGCAGGAAATAACGTTATACATTGAAAGAAGCTCGTGGTCTACCCGTTTCTTTCCTACATGTCTATATACAGAGTGTGTCATGAGCAGATGCCGTTAGATTCAAAGATTCAAAGGTTTTATTGTCACATGCACATAAGCTACAGTCTAGAAATGGCAATGAAATTCTTCTGACCTGAGCTCCTCCAACAATCCAACATATATAATAAAATACAAAATCCTCTAGGCCTGTGAAATGAGCTCTGCAGGGAGTGAGTGAGTGAGTGAGTGCAAGGGTGTAACTTTGGTTTGAGAAGTGGGGGGGACACAAAACAGGGGGTCCTCCGCAATGAAACATTTTCTCGATTTAATTCCATTTCCTGCCTTTCTACAAATATATTAGGGACTATAGTGTTAACAAATCCAAGAAAAATGTGTAGTGTATATAATGAGCGTGCACACTTATCTAGTATCCTATCCATGTGAACCTGTTTTACGACAGGAGAGAGCTCTCCCTCTCCTTATTGTTGAAACAGCTTCTAATCTCCGTTAGCTCCGGGCTAGCACCAGATGCTAACAACAACCCACGTAACTCTCTGTCTCTCTCTCAGTCTCTCTCTCTCTCTATATATTTGTCTGTCTCTCTCTCACTCTCTCAAAGTCCGACAGGAAAGAGCTCTCCCTCTCCTTATTGTTGAAACAGCTACTAATCTCCGTTAGCTCCGGGCTAGCACCAGATGCTAACAACAACCCACGTAACTCTCTCTGTCTCTCTATATATTTGTCTGTCTCTCTCTCAGTCTCTCAAAGTCCGACAGGAAAGAGCTCTCCCTCTCCTTATTGTTGAAACAGCTACTAATCTCCGTTAGCTCCGAGCTAGCACCAAATGCTAACAACAACCCCCTCTCTCTCTCTCTTTCTATCTCTCTCTCACAAGATGCGCTCGTGCCACACACACACAGACGCTCCTCCTTGACGATGACCGCTTGCGTAAAAAAAATAATAATAAACACATTTAAAAAGTGGGGGGGACACAAATGGGATTTTGAAAAGTGGGGGGGACATGTCCCCCCTGTCCCCAGTGGAAATTACGCCCATGAGTGAGTGAGTGAGTGAGTGAGTGAGTGTGTGTGTGTGTGTGTGGTAATCACTCAAGACTGCATTCAACCACTGACCATTTCCCCCACCCCCCTTTTCTGTTTTGTTTGTCTCTTTATGTATTTTCTTCGTTTTTGTGTTATTCTCTGTCAAAGCGTCTTTGAGTTTTTAGAAAAGCGCTATATAAGTGTGATGTATTATTATTATTATTAGTACCAGGGTCAGACTCCATGCCGGGGCTCTTGCTCTCCAGCTCCTCAGAGAGCGTTTTGTGTCCAGGCTGAAGAACTCGTCCCACGCTGTGAAACTCCTGCAGCTCCATCTGCAGCTCGTCGATACGATCCTGCAGCTCCTGCACACATCAGATGATAAAAACATCAAGACATTATCACCGCCGACACTTCTGATTAGTCGGCATGTACGAATGAGTGTCACACAGAGTTATTTCTGACTGTATATCATTCATTTCCCATCATTCACTTTCATGCATGTTGAATAACACATTTTGGGGAGGTATTATCAGTACCAAAAGTCCTGTCTCATTCTCTGTTCTTCTTCAATTCAATTCAATTCAATTCAATTCAATTCAAAAGGTGCTTTATTGGCATGAAAGTTAAACCAAACAATGTTGCCAAAGCATCAAAATACAAAATAATTAACATTAACATACATTTCAAATTTGTACATATTATTGATATATATAAATACACACAGTGATACAATTACACTTCAACACACGTGTGTGTTTGCGTTTCTTTGGGTGCGTGATTTTGTGTGTATGTGTCTCATTCACTGTCCCTTTCTCATTTCATCAATTCCCCCTCCTCGACTCCTCGACTCCTCGACTCCTCGACTCCTCGGTCCTCCGGTAGTGACCCGGAAATTAATTTTAGCGCGCCATGTTGAAGGACATCTCATTTCTCTAAATGCACTTCGAGGACCGAGCATCGAGCGTCGAGGAGGCTCTCTGGAGGAGCTCTAACCGAGGAGACACTGATGGGTCCTCCACGGTCCTCCACGGCTCCTTCGTGGATGCATTTCCGGCAACAGTGATGTTTCAAAGAGTCGTGACGCACGGCCGGACTTATCTCAGCCAATGACAGCTCTGCATGCATCCCCTGGATATTATTTCATTAACGGCCACTGTCCCTCAGCTTGTGGCATGTGTATACATATTGGGCAGCAAGATGTCTCCTTCTCCTAGGAGTATGTTCAGTCTTGAGAGGTCATTAACCTCCTTGAAACCTGGGATTACAGAGTTCAACTTGTTACAGTAACAATGTCCCTTATTTCTTTGAATGTTTGGCACTTCAGGAGGAAGTGCATCTCTGTCTCAGTCTCACCTGTCGCACAGTGACCACATATTCTGTTTTCTTTTGGTTGCCAGGATCTGTTGTGTCTTCCTGTTGCCAGTGTGTGGTCACTGAGCCTGTGCTTGGTTAGGATCTGTCTCTGCTTTCTATCTCTGACAGTAGAGAGATATTCTGCCAGTTCATATTCTCTGTTTAGAGCCAGGTAACTTTCTAACCTACTTTGGCTTCTAGTTTCTTCTTTCCAATGTTGTAAATAGTTGTCTTTACATTGTGTTATAATGCGTTTTGACTGTGATTGGTATCTTCTTCTATCTGTATCTTTTTACATAAAAAAGCCCCAGCATAACATTTCCATGCAGTTGAAAAAGGTGGACATTGTTAGTGATTGAGACAGTGTGTAGTTACCCTGTAGTGAGCTTCGTAGCTGCTGCGTAATTCTTTGATTCGTTCCTCTTGGAGTAAGAAGTCTGCGCTGCCGGGGTCCAAGTCTCCAAACTGAACAAGACAAAATCATTTACACGTTATTAGTTTGTTTGCACATGAACCATAAAATAAAAAGAAGACACAAAACCATTATACATGTTACACACAATTAGACTGTTTTGGAATTGTAGACCCATTAAACTGTCTATTATACCTTCTCTTTCCTCATGTTTTCCAGGTTAGTCTGAAGTTTAGTGTTCTGACTCTGAGCCGCCACCAGGTGGTCGGTGCTGTCCAGCAGCTCCATTTCAAGGCGTCTGTTTTCCTGGAATAATAAGAGACATTAGACATTCTGTGTGGAGACATTAGACATTCTGTGTGGAGACATTAGACATTAGACATTCTGTGTGGAGACATTAGACATTAGATATTCTGTGTGGAGACATTAGACATTAGACATTCTGTGTGGAGACATTATACATTAGACATTCTGTGTGGAGAAACCACCTTATACTATATCCACAGAGAAAGTGTGTGTGTGTACCTGGAGGGAGATGGAGAGGTGGTCTCTGAGGAAGGACTCGTCCTCCCTGATCTTCTCCAGCTCGGCCTCCAGGGTCTCTCTCTTCTGATCGTTCTGCTGCTGCATCAGCTCCATGTCCTTCATCAGATCTGAGCGCACCACACTCAGCTTCTCCCTGTGATCCTGCTCCAGCTTCCTGCACACAGAACATACAACACAAATACTCAACACAAACACACCACAATACTGACTGTGACACATGTAGGAGGAGGATGGAGTCAACGCCTTTGCGGTAAGCATTAAGTTATTGTGGTTTAAGCAAATACAAATAGGGCTTCTTGGTCCATTTGCTTCCATTTTAAAAGCCACACATGTCGTGTAATACTCAACTTCAACAAGCCTCTATGTAAGATGTTAAAATAAGTTAAATACCTGAGGTTTTGGTTGTTGGTTTGCTCTATAGCAGCGTGTCTCTCATCCACCTCGACAGCGAGTTGAGCTTTTAGTTTCTCGGTTTTCTCCAGATCAGAACGAATCCTCCCCTTCTCCCCGAGCTCCCTGTCCACACGCTCTCTGAGAATAAAAACAACAATTAACTCATGATTACACATCCTACTCCTGCAGCTTTCAAACGGTTCCAAATCTATTTATTCAATATAAATTAAAGGTCCCCAATTATATTGTTTTTCATCAATATATTACAGGTCTCAGATATATACAAAACATGTCTCTGAAGTGTTTGGCTCCAAACACCAAACAGATCATTGCAGCATCCCATAATCCCCTCTGTTTGATGTAGAAGAGACATGAAGAAGAGGGGACACATGCTGATGTAGAAGAGACATGAAGAAGAGGGGACACATGTTGATGTAGAAGAGACATGAAGAAGAGGGGACACATGTTGATGTAGAAGAGACATGAAGAAGAGGGGACACATGTTGATGTAGAAGAGACATGAAGAAGAGGGGACACATGTTGATGTAGAAGAGACATGAAGAAGAGGGGACACATGTTGATGTAGAAGAGACATGAAGAAGAGGGGACACATGTTGATGTAGAAGAGACATGAAGAAGAGGGGACACATGTTGATGTAGAAGAGACATGAAGAAGAGGGGACACATGCTGAAGTAGAAGAGACATGAAGAAGAGGATGGTTGCATAATAGGTGACCTTTAAGACTTTGTACTCACAGCAGATGTCTGATCTCAGATCTGAAGCTGGCGAGCGCCGCCTGGTGGATCCCGTTCTTGGTGACGAGGAGCTCGCTCTCCAGAGCCAAAGTCAGATCGCTGAGGCTCAGACGCCCGTCCAGATCGAAGTTCAGAGCCTGCAACAACAACAATAATATCACATTAATAACAAAGAAATAACAATAATATTTGTTCCTTTTTGTAAATATTTAGTAAAATGATTTGTTTTATTTTCACATAAAGAATTTTTTTTCAGAATAAGACAAAGTAATTATAAAAAACCAAAAGAAAGAATAAACCTACAATTGTGAAAAAAATCAAATAACATGAACTTTTACATAGCTTATCAAATTTAACATTTTTATCATTTGCTTTAGAGAACATTTCCAAACCATATTAATTTCGCAAAGGTTCAAGCCAAAATAAAGGCTATTCATTTCCGAATCTTTTTGACATCAGGTCAAAGTAAAACTAATAATCAGAGTAATGTACCTGCAGGATCTCCAGGCTGTTCTCCACGCCCTCCTCCATCCAGGCGTCCAGCAGGCTCTCCACCGCCGTGAAGCCGCTCCCGTCGTCCAGGCTGGAGAACAGACACAGGCCGATGGAGCTGCTGAGTGGACAGGACACTGTGCGACGCCCGCCCTCATCAAACGGCTGCACGGGGGGGGGGGGGGGGGGGGGGATATAACGTGTTTTAATACAGAAAACAGAGAGGTAATCTACAGAAAATGCAACCTGAGATCTAGCTCTTAAAGGTGGGGTAGGTAAGTTTGAGAAACCGGCTCGAGATACACTTTTTGTTATATTCCATGGAATGCTCTTAACATCCCGATAGCAATGAATATCTGAAGTGCTTTGACAAAAAAATCCATAAAAAAATGTCATCTGTGGAAGCCGTAGTACTGTAAAAAGCACGACCAATCATCTGAGCCGGCCCGGCTAAAATAACTGGATGGCCTACCTGCCTGTCAGCCTTCCATCTGTGCACAGACTTATCTCGTGCCCTCATTGGTCATGTGGGGGTTCGTGTGTGTTGGAGGAGGGGCTCTGTAAGGAAGTGGCAGATTTTCTCCGGTTGTGTATTTTCAAATTCTAGCGCACTCGAGCTGGTTTCTCCAAAATGACCTACCCCACCTTTAATGACTATTACAGGGAAACTAAAAAAGGAAAAATATGTTGTTTTATGCATGATGACTATATTTAATAAAATCGTTAATATTGCAAATCATATCACAACTGCAAAGTCAGCTAAAATAACCACAATTTGTTATTTCTTTCAAACTAATGAGGACTACAGCTGGAGGAGGACTTCCTGAAGCTAAATGTAACAATGATAACAGAATCCACCTGACATTTTAAATAAAATCTGACGTCTAAAACTATTTGAATAGACTAAAATAAATATCGTTTTTTGTTTGACATAGTCAGACTGAAATGCTGACTGAATGCTCAGGACCAAACGGACCAGACTTTTAGTGAAGAAGTTGATTTAGGCATTAGTCTAAATAGCTGACATCATTAACCCTGAGCATGTTCACCTGTGTGGAGTGGAGGCGTTTGAGCTGCCTGTACGGCGTGGAGGCGGACGGTGTCGGAGGTTTGTTCTGATTTAAAACCCGGGAGACAAACTCCTGAACGTTCATCTCTCCGTCACCCGTCAGACTCTGGAGGACGTCCACGTTTATCTGGAAAATACACAGGTGTTTGGTGAGGGAGAAATGTTTGCTAGAGAGACCAGGTGCAGGTATTTATAAAGAAAAAATAAATAGTTATAAAAAACAAATCTTCTGTTTTTAAATCATTGTATTGCTATCCTTATTATTATTTTAATATAAATACGTTTCTTTTGTTAGTCTTATTGTACATTCTTACTTTACCTTATTATGTTTATATAAATATTTTGTATTATTTTATTTGTCATATTTTATTTCAATCTAAAATGGAGCTCGTGTTATGAAATCCAAATGTCTGATTCTCTACATGGCTATTTAAAGATAAATGAAGAGAACACATTACACTGTGTGCTGTGTGCTCTGCATGCATGACCATTAGAGGCTTTCATCCTGCCCATTCTATTCTATTAAAGTTCTGTGTGATTTCAAAATGATATAAAAGAGAAATCTTTGCGCCTCACCTCCAGTCCGAGGTGTTGGCAGAGCTCCATCAGCTGGGAGTGATCTGCAGAGCCGTCCCAGCTGACCTGCATCTGATGGCAGGCGTCCTGCAGCCTCTCCTGCACAGCGGGGGGAAGCTGGGGGACCCCCGACCCCCGGAGGGTGATGGGGTCGTCGGGGTTCCAGAGCTGCATCTGACCTGCACACAGGAACCAGGGGAGAAATCATCTTTACTGTGGATATGGTCACAAGGACAGATACTGTACAACAAATCTCCTCTGGCTGGAAGAGAACTCTCTGCTCCATAGCTTCTCTGAATAACTGGACTTAAAGGTCCCATGTCATGGCCATTTCTACTGATCATAGTTCCATTGTTGAGGTATACTAAAATAAATGTATATTGTGCAAACTCACATTGGTTTCTCATACAGCATCTCTGTATAGTATGTGTATTCACTCTCTGTCCTAAACGGCTTGTTGGAGCTCCTGCCCCCTACCTACCTACCTATCTATCTATCTATCTATCTATCTATCTATCTATCTATCTATCTACCTACCTACCTACCTATCCATCTATCCATCTATCCATCTATCCATCTATCCATCTATCCATCTATCCATCTATCCATCTATCCATCTATCCATCTATCCATCTATCCATCTATCCATCTATCCACCCACCTACCTACCTACCTACCTACCTATCCATCCACCTACCCACCTACCCACCTACCCACCTACCCACCTACCTACCTATCCATCCATCCATCCAAAAAAGTATAAAATCTGTAAGGTTTTATTAATCTTCAAAACACATACTCTTGGTTGACTTGCTGCAAGATTTGTGTCTCTTATACAACAACAATATAATCTTTAACTTCGATCAACAGTGTGTCTGTTTTTTGTGTAATATTCCTGGTTTAAGTCATAATATCCTGAATGCTAGGCTAACAGATCCACGGCCAAAAACATTGAAACAAATATCTGTAGAGGGAAGTTTAATAAATGACTGAACTATAAACGTACCTTCAGCCTCAAACTCCTCTGTGCTGGTATCATGAGCGTTCCAGCGCTTAAACAGAGAAAAACACGGAAAAATGTAGGTTAATATCACAAATAATAATTTAAATCAGTGTTGCCAATAGAAATTGACGGTTACTGAGTCCGCGAAGATTTCAAAGTCCCGGGGGAAATGAAGAAATGATGATCCGTGTTTAATATTAAGGGTAAAAACTATGAATTAAAAGGCTTTATAAAGAATGACATCATCAAGGAAAGTAGATTTAATTAAATTAAAATAACATTTTTTAAAGAAACAAATATGGGTCTCATATACTTAAAATAAAACTCAAATGCAATTAAGCATGTCTGTCTCAATGTCCTTTTCGCTATAGACCTTTATAATATATATATACTTTGAAACCCTTAAAAATACAAATTAACCAAAACATATTGCTGGCTCATGTAATTTCCGGCTACTTTCTATGCATTTCTACACAGCTGCCAATTCAAAGAAATCAAATAACCTAAGCATTTATTTAGCTTATTTTTTTATTCACTTCAAATTGTGCTGCGGGGGAAATATTTTCACCGGACATTATAACCACAAAGATTTTAATTCAACAGACTTCAACTTGTTTTCCCGTAAACTCTGATTTAAAGGTCACCTATTATGCAACATCCACTTCTTCATGTCTTTTCTACATCAACATGTGTCCCCTCTTCTCCATGTCTCTTCTACATCAACATGTGTCCCCTCTTCTTCATGTCTCTTCTACATCAACATGTGTCCCCTCTTCTTCATGTCTCTTCTACATCAACATGTGTCCCCTCTTCTCCATGTCTCTTCTACATCAACATGTGTCCCCTCTTCTTCATGTCTCTTCTACATCAACATGTGTCCCCTCTTCTTCATGTCTCTTCTACATCAACATGTGTCCCCTCTTCTTCATGTCTCTTCTACATCAACATGTGTCCCCTCTTCTTCATGTCTCTTCTACATCAACATGTGTCCCCTCTTCTCCATGTCTCTTCTACATCAACATGTGTCCCCTCTTCTCCATGTCTCTTCTACATCAACATGTGTCCCCTCTTCTCCATGTCTCTTCTACATCAACATCAACATGTGTCCCCTCTTCTTCATGTCTCTTCTACATCAACATGTGTCCCCTCTTCTTCATGTCTCTTCTACATCAACATGTGTCCCCTCTTCTTCATGTCTCTTCTACATCAACATGTGTCCCCTCTTCTTCATGTCTCTTCTACATCAACATGTGTCCCCTCTTCTCCATGTCTCTTCTACATCAACATGTGTCCCCTCTTCTTCATGTCTCTTCTACATCAACATGTGTCCCCTCTTCTTCATGTCTCTTCTACATCACATGTGTCCCCTCTTCTCCATGTCTCTTCTACATCAACATGTGTCCCCTCTTCTTCATGTCTCTTCTACATCAACATGTGTCCCCTCTTCTTCATGTCTCTTCTACATCAACATGTGTCCCCCTCTTCTTCATGTCTCTTCTACATCAACATGTGTCCCCTCTTCTTCATGTCTCTTCTATATCAACATGTGTCCCCTCTTCTTCATGTCTCTTCTACATCAACATGTGTCCCCTCTTCTTCATGTCTCCTCTACATCAACATGTGTCCCCTCTTCTTCATGTCTCCTCTACATCAACATGTGTCCCCTCTTCTTCATGTCTCCTCTACATCAACATGTGTCCCCTCTTCTTCATGTCTCTTCTACATCAACATGTGTCCCCTCTTCTTCATGTCTCCTCTACATCAACATGTGTCCCCTCTTCTTCATGTCTCCTCTACATCAACATGTGTCCCCTCTTCTTCATGTCTCTTCTACATCAACATGTGTCCCCTCTTCTTCATGTCTCTTCTACATCAACATGTGTCCCCTCTTCTTCATGTCTCCTCTACATCAACATGTGTCCCCTCTTCTTCATGTCTCCTCTACATCAACATGTGTCCCCTCTTCTTCAATGTCTCCTCTACATCAACATGTGTCCCCTCTTCTTCATGTCTCCTCTACATCAACATGTGTCCCCTCTTCTTCATGTCTCCTCTACATCAACATGTGTCCCCTCTTCTTCATGTCTCTTCTACATCAACATGTGTCCCCTCTTCTTCATGTCTCTTCTACATCAACATGTGTCCCCTCTTCTTCATGTCTCTTCTACATCAACATGTGTCCCCTCTTCTTCATGTCTCTTCTACATCAACATGTGTCCCCTCTTCTTCATGTCTCTTCTATATCAACATGTGTCCCCTCTTCTTCATGTCTCTTCTACATCAACATGTGTCCCCTCTTCTTCATGTCTCCTCTACATCAACATGTGTCCCCTCTTCTTCATGTCTCCTCTACATCAACATGTGTCCCCTCTTCTTCATGTCTCCTCTACATCAACATGTGTCCCCTCTTCTTCATGTCTCTTCTACATCAACATGTGTCCCCTCTTCTTCATGTCTCCTCTACATCAACATGTGTCCCCTCTTCTTCATGTCTCCTCTACATCAACATGTGTCCCCTCTTCTTCATGTCTCTTCTACATCAACATGTGTCCCCTCTTCTTCATGTCTCTTCTACATCAACATGTGTCCCCTCTTCTTCATGTCTCCTCTACATCAACATGTGTCCCCTCTTCTTCATGTCTCCTCTACATCAACATGTGTCCCCTCTTCTTCATGTCTCCTCTACATCAACATGTGTCCCCTCTTCTTCATGTCTCCTCTACATCAACATGTGTCCCCTCTTCTTCATGTCTCCTCTACATCAACATGTGTCCCCTCTTCTTCATGTCTCTTCTACATCAACATGTGTCCCCTCTTCTTCATGTCTCTTCTACATCAACATGTGTCCCCTCTTCTTCATGTCTCCTCTACATCAACATGTGTCCCCTCTTCTTCATGTCTCTTCTACATCAACATGTGTCCCCCTCTTCTTCATGTCTCTTCTACATCAACATGTGTCCCCTCTTCTTCATGTCTCCTCTACATCAACATGTGTCCCCTCTTCTTCATGTCTCTTCTACATCAACATGTGTCCCCTCTTCTTCATGTCTCCTCTACATCAACATGTGTCCCCTCTTCTTCATGTCTCCTCTACATCAACATGTGTCCCCTCTTCTTCATGTCTCCTCTACATCAACATGTGTCCCCTCTTCTTCATGTCTCTTCTTCATCAACATGTGTCCCCTCTTCTTCATGTCTCTTCTACATCATCATGTGTCCCCTCTGTGTAAAGAGACTCTGAAAGTTTCAGGAACAAAGATTCTCTCTCTTTTTGTCCTGATCCATTTCTATAAAAACCTGTCTGAAAATGAGCTGATCAGATTTTGGCCACTTTATGATGTCATAACGATGTTTTGTCTTGAGTAACCATTAGCCAATAACCAACCAAGGTAACCCCCCCCCCCCACCTTATCACCTGAATCTCCTCCTAGAGCACCATTGTGTTCTTTGTAACCAAATATCTCTCAGAGGGGCGTGGGGAGGGGCTCCTTATTTTCATCTAAAGTAACAGACAGAGAATCAGCACTTTTGAAACAGGGCTGAAACAGAGGGGATTATGGGTAATGCTGCAATGATCTGTTTGGTGTTTGGAGCCAAACACTTCAGAGACATGTTTTGTATATATCTGAGACCTATAATATATTGATGAAAAACAGTGTAATAGGGGACCTTTAATTAACCCAAAATAGGATAAATGTGAGAGAAGTGACCACATCAGAAACCCCCTGCAGGCTGATTTTCTCTTGTGATAATCAGCTGTTTATAAGTTCAGACATGGTTTTAAATCAGGCCTTTCTGACAGAAAGCACAAAGAGCTTTTGTGATGGCACGAAGGTCAGTGTGGAAATGGAAATGGTTTCAATAATAGAGAAAATGTGCAGCGGAAAGACACACTCCGTTATTTTGTACGAGTTAAAATTCTTTGCATGTGTGCAAATTGACTTGGGTTCTTTCTGGATAAGGTCAAAGAAGATTTGATTAGATTTCATTCTTTTCTATCTAGTTATGTACATTTCAACATTTACTAACATCATTGACATTTACATAATTAAAAATGCTTTTGGAGAAGTTAAAAAAAAAAAGATTTCCCATCTGCAGGAATGTGGAAAAAACGGTTTAAACTAATCGTAAAGACAGAAAGTGCAGCGTTTATGACTGCATAAGATCATCGTAAGAATGCAGAATGTGCGTGTCTGAGATCTGACGATAATGTTCATCCTCTGGGAAGATAAACACATTATTTCCTGGCGCTCAAGGACGGCCGTTATCCTCAACAAAGAAGACATACTAGTTTGAACCAGTGTGTGCCTTCATTCTGAAACGCTCTCTCTTGCATATAAGACACTGTTCGGGGAACTAGTTGTACCCATGGATGTATAATAAGAACTGGATACAGCGTCAGAGGCGGGGTCTCGTTCTTTCCTATGAGAGCTGCTCATTGGCGCATGAAGGCAAAATGGCCCAACTTTAGAGAGAGCGAAACGTCACAGATTACCCATCATGCCTAGCTGTCAGAGCAGAAGAACCCGTATGTGCGCTCAGAGCATGCGCCCCTTAAGCCCCGCCCCCCCACTCTCGGCTTAGTAGAATGAATGGAGAGAGAAAATACATCTAGATTCGGCTTTTAGTGCATTTTACAACTTTAAGGACCTAATGATTCTAATAAGGGCTATAAAATAGTTCATACTGGGTAGTTTATTTAGTTTAAAAAAAATGATCCGCTGATTTACAGACGTCTCTTTCCCAATGTTAGTCAATGGGAAAAAGTCTTTCTGGGCCGGGTGACGTCACGGAAGTTGCAGTACTGCCGTTTGGACACTGTTTTCTGATTATCGAAACTCAAGCCGGTGACGAGTGAGATTTTTCGAACATTGCACAACATTAAAGCAATTTCGGATAAAATAAAAAATGTTTGTAATTATATATTTTTTATTTCTAGCACTGCAATTAAGGAGCAGTTTAATTTTTTTTATCTGAAATAATCCTTTATACATTTTTCTTCTTAATTTTCTATTTCTTAATATAATTTTATGGTAAAAATAAGTTAAGGAGATGTGGAGCTCTCTTGGTTTTAAATTGAAAGTGTAATAAGAAACATCTTAATTTGTAACCAGCAAATTATAAAACGTTTTTACTGATAATTTCTCTGCCGTTATTAAATCAAATATTTTTGAGCTGGAGAAAAAGTGATGAACAATCAGAGCATTTACCCGCTCTTGGTTTTTGTCTTTTTCCCCCCATCAATTGCCCTTTTGAACAATGAAGTGTTGAAAGATACAGAAGAGGAAACTTGAATTTATTTTAACGACAAGAGTTGGAACATTTTTATACTGATGATACACGCTTAGCCTGTGGAAATTATTTGTTCTGTCTTTGGTGCGTCATATATCAGGGTTCATACACTTTTTCACCAATGATTTTCAATGACTTCTCCAGGACCTTTACCTAATTTTCCATGACCAAAAAAATTACTCTTTCTCAGCGGTACCACTGAAAATTATTTATTTTAACATGGACCAGGAAAATAAGGTCTGAAAGATGTTGTGCCTATCTAAAACAAATCAAATAGGCTTACTAGCTTCTACACGCTAAAGCAACTAAAATCTCTCACCAGCAAAACACCTCGTCAGTTAAATGCCATTTTACGATACAGTATTTATTGTCATTATAGTATTACTATTTCGGCGATTAGATAAAATATAAATTATATTTGATGCAACTTTAGTTACATTTCCATGACTTTTCCAAAAACTTTGGGAAAAATATTGTTTTCCATAACTTTTCCAGGGCCTGGAATTAGCATTTTGAATTTCCATGACTTTTCCAGGTTTTTAATGACCGTAAGAACCCTGATATATTTCTAAAATGTGCATGTGTTGTGTATTTAACAATATATTTGTCTAGAAATGTTTTGTATCTTGTATTTGTATGTTTTTGTAATAAATGTGTGCCTAAAATCATTATATTGATGACTCTGGACATAGTCTTGCAGCCCTTTAAACTCTTCTTTTTGCTTGTTTAGAAATATAGTGTGGGTGGGGAGGGGGGTGGGGGGGTTAGGGGGTGTGACCCTCTGTTCTGCAGTGTGACCGTCTTTTGTCTGTGGAGCAAACAATGGGGAACAGATGGGATGCTGAAAGTGGCGTTTTGATGCATGGTGCATCGGCATGCAGGAGGGGGGGGGGGGGGGGGTCTCATTGTTCCTCTGTCACCCTCCTCCTCCCCCCCCCCCATCTGCTCTCCCCCGCTGCACACCGAGGTTTCCTTTGACCCCGGAGACACGCTTCAGCTCTGACAGCGTTTGTCTTCACACACTAAGCGGAGTTTACACACTTCCATCAGACCACAAGCTGAACCTAACATCATTATGACGTTTCAGAGAGCAGTCGGGACTCTCTTTGCGTCGTAAATTAAACTTCTGCAGCACATCCAACGTCTGCACGGCCATTAGAAAAAGCATCAACCACAGCAGTCAGGAAATATTTTTCATGCACTGGCCAATATTGAGATTTTGGGGCTTTTATGCATCCATAACATTGCTTCTTTATTTCTTCGTTCACAATATTTGCCTCTAAATCGAGTACACCACTGCGACCACTATCAGTAACAGACACATGAAACATTTACAAGTAAACGTTATTTTGTGCCTCTTACTGGAAATTTGTATTTCCACATGTATATATTTATTTTATTTTATATTCTTTAACTTTTTAATGCTATTTTATTTCTGAAATATTTTAGACTGTTTATTTCTTGTGTCTTAATTTCTCTTATGTACATTTCTTTGTTTTTTATGCTGCTGCAACGCAAACATCTATCTATCCATCTATCCATCTATCCATCCATCCATCCATCCATCCATCCATCCATCTATCTATCTATCTATTATAAAGTACTGCTGAGAAAAAAGTAAAATGTTTGCCTCTAAATTGAAGAATCAAGTAGCAGGCAATGGAAATACTCAAGTAAAACACCTCAAAATTGTAAATAAGTGCAGCACCCGAGTAAATCTACTTAGTTACTTTTCACCACTGGAAAACTGTGATGGTGTTAACTCCTCAATCACAGAAGGACAAACTTATTATAATGTGCGTTTTTAGAAAAAAATTGCAATTACTTCTCAACTAACAGGGTTTTTTCAGACAGAAATTATGCTTACGTGCCATTTACAGACAGTTCTGCACTATGCAATGACCTAGGAACGTTTTTTATGCTTCATAAACCTGGAACAAACTACCAGGAAACCCTTTAAATTAAGGGTAGATTAAGGGGACATTCCTTACTTAGCAGTTTATCTTTTGTTTCCCTTGCTGTCTGACTGATCTGTATAAATAAACTCTCCTTGCCTCGAGTGTCTCAGTCTGTGCCTGTAAGCAGATTATCTAAGAATAACGGCTCGCTGACGGCCTCCAGCGAGGACAGGAGGTGATAAGGAGGTGATAAGGAGGCGTCTGACAGTCTGCAGGTCCAGAAACGCTCAGAACATCTCTTACCTCACGCTTCCTGGGAACAGCCGAGTCATCGCTGTCCCGCAGATCCTCGTGCTGCGCCGCGTCAGCGTTCATCACGTCGGGGAAGTCGGAGTGATGCTCGATGAACTCGGGCGTGGTGCGGCGGCCGTAACGCTTGCTGCCCTTCACGAACTTCGGCTGGATCTCAGGAGAGTCTGAGGAGAAACCATGACGAGGCACTTTAAAAAGACAAATACGCCAAGTCATGATTATGTGTATAACACCGGTGCAAAATGTCGTAGTAAAGCCTTGCACAACAACAAGTATGTTATTAAATAAAAATGTACTTATTCAGAACTTCCTTTAATAAACTGACAATCTTCATATTTTTTACATGTTTTATTCCTAATTTTGTACGTATTTTATTTCAATTTTTACATGTTTCATTCCTAATTTCTTATTCCTAATTTTTACATGTTTTATTCCTAATCTTTTTACAGGTTTTATTCCTAATTTTTTATATGCTTTATTCCTAATTTGTACGTATTTTATTTCAATTTTTACATGTTTCATTCCTAATTTCTTATTCCTAATTTTTACATGTTTTATTCCTAATTTTTTATATGTTTTATTCCTAATTTGTACGTATTTTATTTCAATTTTTACATGTTTCATTCCTAATTTTTTATTCTTAATTCTTACATGTTTTATTCCTAATTTTTTACATGTTTTATTCCTAATTTTTGTTCCATGTTTGGTTGCACTTATAACTTATTTTGTTTTATAACCAGGTTTTATCATGTAGCATATCCTTGTTCTAATTATATCTGGTTTGTTCACTTTGTCAAGGACCTTCAACTAGTATGAACGATGCTATATATAGAGTAGTTATTACTAATGACTAATATGTGCCGCGGCATTTAGTAGCTACTTCTCCAAAAGTGACAACTTCTCTAAAAGTGGTAACTCCAGAATCCCTTTTCTTTGAGAGAGACTGTAACATGAACTCAAAAGGTTTACAGATGTAATGTTCTGTCAAAAGAGGAGAATAGGTGTAAGAATATTACATTTCTTGACATTTTGAGAACGTATTTTGTTTACTTATAAGGATTCAAAAGCTGTACACTTGTACTTTTCTGTTTAATAAGAACAAAGGGGAGATTATATAGTATATTATTATGTAGTATTTATAATTTCTTGCTATGTTTTTCCTTTAGACTCAAAAGCAATAAGCAAATGCCCCAGGTTCAGAACAGTTTAACACCAAATACATGCTTTCTGTAAATAAATGAATGCCTATTCAGACCTTTTAGGAACTGTGTGTGTGACTTCTTTAAAACGTGCAACATGAGAATCTTCACCTGGTTTAGACGGAGTCTCCTGTTCTGATGGGGCTGGCTCAAAAGTTGATGATAACGCTAAAATCAGAGCATTCTTGAATTGGTCAAAGTCGACCTGCAACAAGAAGAGAAAACATAACGAGTGAGAGATGTCAGAAATGTGAAGCAGACGTTCATGAGATTCCTGAGACGGGCTGTAATTCAGTTTGTCTGCAGGGTGGAGGAGGTTTCTCTGCAACATCCACCAGCTGCTGATCCTGAATATGGAGATTATTTTCTTTGTGCATGAAGGCCGGCGGCTGCACACGTTCATACATACTGATATACACCTGAACATCATCAGGAGAGGACTCTTTAAAGTAGAGACACTACATACTGATATACACCTGAACATCAGCAGAAGAGGACTCTTTAAAGTAGAGACACTACATACTGATATACACCTGAACATCAGCAGAAGAGGACTCTTTAAAGTAGAGACACTACATACTGATATACACCTGAACATCATCAGGAGAGGACTCTTTAAAGTAGAGACACTACATACTGATATACACCTGAACATCAGCAGGAGAGGACTCTTTAAAGTAGAGACACTACATACTGATATACACCTGAACATCAGCAGGGGAGGACTCTTTAAAGTAGAGACACTACATACTGATATACACCTGAACATCAGCAGGAGAGGACTCTTTAAACAAGGTGGAAACTGTAGTAGCAGCTCTTCCTGTAGGAATAAAACACTTATCAGAGGAGTGAACTGACCCCGTCGGTGTGTTGTTGGGGTCTCTGCAGCAGTGAATGCAGCACAGCTTCCTCCAGCTGCAGAGAGCAGCACAGGTCAGAAAGTTCCTCCGGATTCAGAGAACCACAGCCGCTCGCATCGAAACTGTGAAACACCTCCTTCAGACGCTCCTCATACTCATCCTGCTCCTGGACCTCATCCATCCCACAGGACAGAAGCCTGCCCTGAGAGAGAAGCAGGAACATTCTGGTTATTAATCACGCTTTATATCACATTTCAGCTGATCTGTGTATCCAGAGGGATGAGCCAGAACAACAGCAGAACAAAGCATACAAAATATTAATTGATACCGGTTATCTAAACAAAATTGCCTGGATTATGCTTGCTACAAACTAGCCTTAAAAGGTCCCCTATTATACTGTTTTTCATCAATATATTACAGGTCTCAGATATATACAGAACATGTCTCTGAAGTGTTTGGCTGAAACACCAAACAGATCATTGCAGCATTACCCATAATCCCCTCTGTTTCAGCCCTGTTTCAAAAGTGCTGATTCTCTGTCTGTTACTTTAGATGAAAATAAGGAGCCCCTCCCCACGCCCCTCTGAGAGAGATTTGGTTAAAAATAACTCAATGGTGCTCTAGGAGGAGATTCAGGTGATAAGGGGGGGATCATAAAGTGTCCAAAATCTGATCAGCTCATTTTCAGACAGGTTTTTATAGAAATGGATCAGGACAAAAAGAGAGAGAATCTTTTTTCCTGAAACTTTCAGAGTCTCTTTACACAGAGGGGACACATGTTGATGAAGAAGAGACATGAAGAAGAGGGGACACATGTTGATGTAGAAGAGACATGAAGAAGAGGGGACACATGTTGATGTAGAAGAGACATGAAGAAGAGGGGACACATGTTGATGTAGAAGAGACATGAAGAAGAGGGGACACATGTTGATGTCAAAGAGACATGAAGAAGAGGGGACACATGTTGATGTAGAAGAGACATGAAGAAGAGGGGACACATGTTGATGTAGAAGAGACATGAAGAAGAGGGGACACATGTTGATGTAGAAGAGACATGAAGAAGAGGGGACACATGTTGATGAAGAAGAGACATGAAGAAGAGGGGACACATGTTGATATAGAAGAGACATGAAGAAGAGGGGACACATGTTGATGTAGAAGAGACATGAAGAAGAGGGGACACATGTTGATGTAGAAGAGACATGAAGAAGAGGGGACACATGTTGATGTCAAAGAGACATGAAGAAGAGGGGACACATGTTGATGTAGAAGAGACATGAAGAAGAGGGGACACATGTTGATGTAGCAGGCATGAAAAAGTGGATTTTGCATAATAGAACACCTTTAATCACATTTCCCATTTAAATTACCAAACAAAATAGCATGTAAAAAATATACTTTTAGGAAAAACACTTTTTGAAGTTTTTAATCAACGTGGTCATATTGAACAAGGTCCATGCATTAATGGGAGACGAGATCATTAACGCCAGATGGAAACCATGTTTTCCCTGTTGCATGAATACAATTGCTCAGCTTAGGCGAGCTGCAAACTTGCTTATCTAAAAAACGAATTGCACACAAAATAGTTTATAAAACTGGTATTTTGTGTGATTTTCAACACAAATTACACAATAAATCTTGACTTTGTGAGTAGGTTTACTGTCCATCAGTAAAAAGAAAAAAGCTGCTTTTGAGGAGCCATTTTTGGAAGGGAATCGATGTTAGCAGACAAACAAATCTGATTTCTTACATGAATCAATCACCTCTATCTATACCACCTTTAACATCTATCCTATCAGTGTTAGATATACTCACAGAGAGCGTGGAAACATCTATCTCTCAGTCTGTGATGCTAACAGCTCCGGTTTAAACTCTGCTGGACACTGAGCTCCAGACTCAGAGCCGCGGTGCAGGCTTTGGATAATCCCATTAAAACTCTTACACCACCAGAGAGACTGACAGAAGTCAAGCTGAGCATGACTCTCTTTTACCGACTTTAGATGGGATCATCATGTCTCTATTTGGCACAAGTGGTATGCAAATTCACCTTTAACCGTACACAGTTTGATGTAGTTTAAAATACATTTTAGTTAGGGCTAGGCTATATGGAGAAAATAACATGATATCTTGGAGCAAAAACCTTGTTATTGTACAGTAGGGTTTAATATTGGATCAATAACACAAATATTAACACTGATGTAGCACCTCTAGTCCGATCTCACACCAAGAACAGATGCACTAACATCTACCTAGGTTCGAATAGTGGTATGCCGTGAATATCTCTGGGAAGAGTTAGATTTTAGTTGAAGATTTTATTGCCAGCAATGTTCAACAACATTTACATTAAATTGTGCCAACAATATGAAAATAAAAAATAGAGCTCTTTAGCACACAAATAAAAATAGTCTCTTCCCTTTTGATTAAAGGGGACCTATCATGCAAAATGCACGTCTTTTATACATGAATATGTGTCCCCGGTGTTCCAGGGAACTCACCAAGTGTCAGAAAACACAACCCTCTCTATTTTCCTCCATACCCAAATCTCTAAAAAAGGGGCTGCAACGGATCTGATAAAAACTGATCCAGATTTGAACACTTTACTGACGTCACAGAAGTGGCGCTACGGCTATTGGGCCAACTCTCCACCTATCAGGGGAATGTGGGGTTGGGCCACGGCCGGCCATTGCCGCTCGAAAGCGCTGGAGACGCTGTAGTACATATGCCAGGCCTGTAAGTGGCGCTGTAGTCTGCCACAAAAGCAGCGAAGAAGACTTGGTTACCATGGTTACCCTTCTGTTTATTCTCCGCTGTGGCTTTCTTTCTCTCTCCCCGAGGCAAGCGTTTGCTCCTGCTGCTTTAATTCAATGCAATCCCTCCCCGTCGAGGCAAGCACTGTAATTCTCTCCGGTTAGTCCACCAGCAGATGACAAACACCCACCTCTCCGCCTCTTCCAAGGAACGAGGGGACCGTGCAGCAGAGTTTCAGTTTCACTTTCTTTCGCCGGTCAAGATGTCCGTTAAAGTTTAAATCTTCCGGACAAAATTAGAAAAGTGCCGGTCAAAGGTCTTCTTTGTTATTTATTGAGCTTTAAAACAAATGAATAACGACTCTATATAGGCTATAATAAAACACGGAGGACGGAGATCTCTTTTTCTCCCCCTCTTCTGACAGCCCAGCAGCTGATCAGAGCGGCTCCCCTCTCCTGCAGGGGGGCGTGGTCAGCTGCAGCTCACAAAATCAGACCCATAGACAGCAAACAACACATAGAGCGAAACGAGGCATGGCTAAAATGCATGATCTGTTTGGTATTTTGAAAACAGAAACGTATAAATATACCTTATATAGGTATGGCCCTACAATATATCATTTAAATATAGCTTGATAGGTTTCCTTTAAGATAATTCAAATCTGCTCTGCCTGCCTGCTATGGCTCTTCTACCCGGGTAGAGCTAATAGTGTACTGGTTCTTATCTGGAAATCAGTGTGAATTCAGCAGGATTCTTCAAATCTACATCCTCTGTAGGTCCAACGGTAGGCCACACCGCTTCCAACAACCGCTCACATTTTTAATTTTAATTTGTATTTGTTCCGCTCATGGTACGCAAAACCCAATGTACAATAATTGCCAACAAAACATGTCTCTAAAAGCACACTATTGAGCGAAAAGGAGCAGGGAGAAGAAACAAGAAATGCAAGACATTATCAAAAGAAAAGATCAAGTCTGACTTATTCAAGCAATGACATTCCCCACAACTGGTCAACCACCTGAAGCTTAATGAATGTAACGTTACCGGTAAATGGTGCAAAGCTGAACAAATTAGAACACCTGTCATTTTCTTTTAACACTTGTAAAAGATAGATTTGTGATATTTTAATGCCATTAAGGCCTTATATTTTTCTCAATTAATTCAGGACGTTTTAGGACTTTCATAAGGATCTGCGGTTAAATATCATGAGTTGATCTTTTCAGTAGTGTCTGTAGAAATGTCTCCACAAAAGAGTCCTGACCGTGCTTCTCCAGCTGCTCTAAGCCAGGTGTCCCCCCACACACACACACACACACACTTGGAGTTCCCATTCACCGTCAACAATAGGGACAAAAACCGCATCAGAATTCTGCATCTGCACGTCTGAGAGGCCGATGAAAAGTGAGAAAATCACCGCTTAGCTGCAAGGCAGATTCTATAAAACACAGGTCAAAAACATACAAACAAATGCAGGCAAAATAAGTATTATGATTTTTAAATTTCACTACTGACCTGATCTTATTAAAGGATATTTTTTATTAAAAAGTTTCACAGCTGCTGCAGCCCAAGAATCACTCGAGTAGAGGTCACTATAAGGAGGTTAATCCCTCACACAGACACTGCTAATTATCTCCAACAGATGTCAATATGGTAAAAATAAAAACTATTTTCTCAAACAACCACCCAGTGAAACATGCATGGGCAAATAACTGCAGACATCATCTAGATTGCATCAGTTTCTTTGTAAAAATGCAATTTGCAAATAAGTTAATAGGCTACAGTTGTTTTATAGTGTGCCTTTGCAAAGAACAGCAAAAGATAACAGAAATGCATTAAGAGTTTTTGGCATGATGATTACAGATGAAGCTTTTTTGTTTGTTTGTTTGGGTCAAGGACAAGCATTTTGCAAAGAGTTCTTAACATTTTGGAGATAGGAGATGATGACTTTGGGACAAAAGGAAGTTTCCTGCAGGGCTGAAAATATTAATATATCAAAACTATTACGTTTACATTTCACTATTTTGAGTATTAATTGTTTCGAGTCCTTTTTGGAGTAGAATAAAGTCTAATTCAAACCGTTTTGATGAAATTGTGTAAAATAAACCATTTTCAATGCCACATGTCATTTATAAAAACGTTTAGGGATTCACAAGACAACTGTTGATTATGTTAACAGGAAGAGAGTATTTACGTCAAGAAATACCAAATTTAAGTTAAAAATGACCAGATATCAGAATCAGAATCCAGTTCATTGCCAGGTTTACACATAAAAATAATCTGCTTTTGTGTATGGTGGTGCAAAGATAAACACAACATAAGAAAATATGTTTTAAGGGAAGGTAAAAAATATACTGATTATAAAAAGATTTAAATAAAAAGATGTAACATTAAAAAAGTAATAAGTACAAGTATTTACACCAAAGATAAATATACAAAAAAACTTAGTAGCCTACAATGAATTCATTAATTTAATAACATAATTAAATTGAGGTTCATTTATTAGTATAATATTACTAAATGTGTCTTTTTGGGAACACCTGAATGCAGTTTAACTACATTTAAAGTCAATTATTGTCTTTAGTAAACCCGTTAACTAGCTTTAACTAGCTTTAACTAGCTTTAAAAAGGTATAAAAAAAGTTAATGAGGATTTCCATTGAAAGTGATGCTATGCTAATGCGGCTAATTTGGCAGGAAACGGTTAGGTCTCGCTCCAAAATCACCCTAAATGTTTTTATTAAAACCATGAAAAAACATTTTAAAGTGAAATAAAAACACTCACCACAGTCTCAGAAGTTGGACGACAGTTGGCTCTTTTTCCAACAGATTTTTTGCTGACTTTAAACGCGTTTTTTAAATAACTTTTACAACATTCTTCCTGTTTAATCGCGGTTATAATCCTCTCCAGGAAGATATGATAAACCAGCCGTTAGTTTAAAGATGGCGCCGAGTTTTTTAGGCTTGTTTCGGTCGTTTTATCCCCAGAAAAGAGCTCAGAGTGGAGCTGGCTTTCTGAGCTCGCTTCATCCATGGACTGGATATAGCGGGGATTTGAAAAGCGTCTGCCGGGAGGAAGGGGCGGTGACCGGGGAGATGACAGAGGCCAGCCCCCTGGGGAACAAACTCAAAAAAATATTTGTTATCATAAAATAAATTAGAGTTTCAATATAGAAAAAGTTAAATATGTCTAAAGATATTCATAGGAACGAGAAAAAAGTCAATAAAAAGAGGATTGTTGTTCTACTTGGTTAATGTATAGAAACTCAATGCTGCATTGATTTCATTGATTGGAGTTTCTAGGTCACATAGGAAAGCATTGAAACTAGACTTTTCAATAAAAAAAGGCTTATTTTTCAATAGAATATTCATATAAAATAGCATTAAAATCAAATAAAAAATAAAGACAGCAATAGTGCATTAAAAAAAAGAGTTTCATAATAATATTAATAGAAAATGGAAAAAAACACTTTCATTTTCTTTGGTGTAATAGTGCATAACATAAATATAGCGTGAAGAAATCAAATCAAAATGAAAGCAAATAAATAATAAAATACATGATAAAATAAAATAAACAAAAAATAATATAAATAATAATAATAATTTAATAATTATACATTTCATTATTATAATAAATATTATTATTAGGAGTACTTTTATAATAATAATGATAAAATAATTATTAGTTTTATATTTTATTATGTTTTTATTTGTATTATTATAACAATTATTTGTACTAAATGTTTGTATTTTGTATTTATTTATTCATTTTTAAAAACCATTTGGTGGTTTGTATATATGACTACTTATAGATATATTATAGTTAAATCATTATTATGTTTTAAAATCATACTTTAACCAACCTACGAATGCAGCTACGAACTACTACGCCAAAGAACTCCAATACCCATTTTAGACTGAAAGGTCTCTTCTGTTTACATTATCTCACTCATCTTTTTCCCTTTCACATAATACTTATATATATTTACATTGTAATCATATGTATATAAGGGCTTAAGTAGGACAGAGAGAACAGATTACACACAGAGAAAATAACACCTTTATAAAAAGTGCAATTCAGCATTGGTTTTCTCTTTTTTATCAAGGTCACTTTTTAGGTTTTAACAAGATAAAAACATGCCAGAGGAAATGCAACAGAAAGCATTTTGCTGCATCTATTTCAAATGTGTAAAAGCAATACAGACTTTTGAGTCAATTAATTAGGGCTGTACCAAATGTATTTTTCCTCACATTGAAGATCCTATTGCTTCAAATGTCTGACGTAAGGTGTATATCAGTATGTAGTGTCTCTACTTTAAAGAGTCCTCTCCTGCTGATGTTCAGGTGTATATCAGTATGTAGTGTCTCTACTTTAAAGAGTCCTCTCCTGCTGATGTTCAGGTGTATATCAGTATGTAGTGTCTCTACTTTAAAGAGTCCTCTCCTGCTGATGTTCAGGTGTATATCAGTATGTAGTGTCTCTACTTTAAAGAGTCCTCTCCTGCTGATGTTCAGGTGTATATCAGTATGTAGTGTCTCTACTTTAAAGAGTCCTCTCCTGCTGATGTTCAGGTGTATATCAGTATGTAGTGTCTCTACTTTAAAGAGTCCTCTCCTGCTGATGTTCAGGTGTATATCAGTATGTAGTGTCTCTACTTTAAAGAGTCCTCTCCTGCTGATGTTCAGGTTCATATCAGTATGTAGTGTCTCTACTTTAAAGAGTCCTCTCCTGCTGATGTTCAGGTGTATATCAGTATGTAATGTCTCTACTTTAAAGAGTCCTCTCCTGCTGATGTTCAGGTGTATATCAGTATGTAGTGTTTCTACTTTAAAGAGTCTATGAGTATATGCTGTTGTTACTTTAGTTGCTTTACTTTGTGAACCTCAACACCCTCACACATACACGTCCATGCAACCCTCACCCTGCATTTACACTACTGATACCACTGACGTCCACACCTCATGCTTTACTTATTGTTGCACTTCATTTGATTTGGCTAATTTGAATTGTTTGGTTAAATAAACATATTTTAGTAACCATTGACATGGTGTGTCTCCTCTTTGTTGTGGCCTTTTGAGCCGGGTCGTAACAAATGGGGTCTCGTCCTACGGGTTATTTGGTTAAAAGTTTGTGTAGTGCTCAGAGCACATGGTGTCATTGAGCAGCTAATTAGTTGATGTGGTCCAGCTGTGTGCTGGCTTGGCGCTGCTATTTGGGGGACACATCATGTCTTTTGTGTTTCAGGAAGCTTTAGTGTTTGGCATGGCGTCAGGTTTTGTGTGCCAATCAGAAGGTAAGATGTTGCTGTTTGTTACGCTTTTGTAAAGGGATTTCCCCGCTAGGCTTAAGTGGCGTTTCCCCTTGGGTTGCGTCTGTTTGTTTTTTTCATAGTGTTGTGGCGACGTGGTTAGTGTCAGCTGTTTTCGGACAGCTGTCTCGAGGGCACGTCCGCGTGATTTTGTGGTGTTGCCTGCGTGCAGGTCGCTCCATAATTCCGCCGGGTTCCAGTGTGTAATTACCCGCCGCAAGCCACATGAAGACTAGGTGAGATTAGTAAGATTTTGGTTAGGCAGTGAGGGGGAAATTCTCTGTTGGGTTTGTCTTTTGCCCATGCGTGTTGGCAGGTTAATACTTTGCTTTCTGATTGGTTATAGGTAGTATATTATGGCTTCTTTGTCGGCGTTTGTGGATGCGCCCTCAGTGTCTTTCTTAGACGATTGCAAGAAGGCGCAGTTGGTCGAAATAGCAGAGCATTATGAAATTGCTGTTGTAGGGAGCAAACGGAAACATGAGATTAAAGCGGTCATCTTTGTTTGAGCAGGGGGTGTTGCAGAAGGGTGAGTTTGGTGCGGCAGGGGTCGTGCCGGTAGTGGTTCAGACAGCTGGTTTGACGTTCGAGCAGCAAAAGGAGCTTTTGGCCATGCAGTTTAACCAGGAGAGGTTGCGGTTGGAGTTGAGGTTGGAGCAGGAGAGGTTGCAGTTGGAGTTGAGGGGTCAGCAGCAGGAGGTAGAGAAGCGTTTAGAGGTGGAGAAGGTGCTGGAGGTGGAAAAGATGAAATGTGAGGTGGAACATGCTAGATTACGGCTGATTGGAGAGGGCAAGCTTTCTCCGGTGGAGGATGGTTCTGATAGGTCGGCATCCGGTAGTTGCGATATTATTTCTTACTTGCGGTTAGTGCCAAAGTTTAATGAGCGTGACCCTGACATTTTTTTTACTCTGTTTGAACGCATAGCAGAGGCAAGAAACTGGTCAGATTCGGACAGAGTGCTGTTACTTCAGTGTGTACTCACTGGGCGAGCACAGGAGGCCTATTCAGCTGTTGGTGGCGAAAATGCTTTGGACTATGCTAGAGTAAAATCAGCAGTGTTAAAATCATACGAACTGGTTCCTGAAGCGTATCGTCAAAAGTTCAGAAGTTGGGTCAAGGGGGATAAGCAGACACATGTGGAGTTTGTCCATGATTTGACTTCTCATTTTCAGCGGTGGTGCGCGGCAGCAAAGGTTGCCAGTTTTGACGGTCTTTGTGAACTCATTGTATTGGAACAATTTATCCCTCAGCGTGTGGCCACTTATGTAAATGAGCAGAAACCTTCCACCGCGCTTAGAGCTGCTGAATTCGCGGACGATTTTGTGTTGACGCATAAGGGCAGTTTTACTGAGAAGTGTTCTAGGGGTGATTGGAGACGTGGAGAAGATGTTGGCTGGTGTGCCACCATCTGTGGTGGTTTCCAGACCGTTGGCATCTGTGGAGCCAGATGAGAGCGGTTTGCAATTTCCAAGGGTGTTTCCAATTTGTACTGTTACGCGTGCGCATAGCCGTAGGATGTCTACTGACCTGTCTGTTTCGGAGGGTAGGAAAAGTGTTGTTGAACAGGTGGTCTCACTGCCTGATCTCCCTTCGTCTGTGTCAAAGGAGGAGGAAGACGAGGAGACTCTTTATAATAATAAATAAAATACATTTAATGAGTCTATCAAAAATAAATAACAAAATAAAAATAGAACACATTTGAGCTTATACATGGTGCAAAACAACACATTTATAAATGACTACTGGGGACAAACAATCATCAGTCCATTTGCTTCCATTTTAAAAGCCACACATGTCGTGTAATACTCAACTTCAACAAGACCTCTATGTAAGAAGTTAAAATAAGTTAAATACCTGAGGTTTTGGTTGTTGGTTTGCTCTATAGCAGCGTGTCTCTCATCCACCTCGACAGCGAGTTGAGCTTTTAGTTTCTCGGTTTTCTCCAGATCAGAACGAATCCTCCCCTTCTCCCCGAGCTCCCTGTCCACACGCTCTCTGAGAATAAAAACAACAATTAACTCATGATTACACATCCTACTCCTGCAGCTTTCAAACGGTTCCAAATCTATTTATTCAATATAAGTTAAAGGTCCCCTATTATACTGTTTTTCATCAATATATTATAGGTCTCAGATATATACAAAACATGTCTCTGAAGTGTTTGGCTCCAAACACCAAACAGATCATTGCAGCATCCCATAATCCCCTCTGTTTCAGCCCTGTTTCCAAAGTGCTGATTCTCTGTCTGTTACTTTAGATGAAAATAAGGAGCCCCTCCCCACGCCCCTCTGATGCGGCTTTCACACCAGCGCTTTTCCCTTTCTAGCTCCTAGCTAGAGCTTTTCTGGTTCAGCTCCGGTTTCCCTTTTCAGCTCCCGCTCTGTTCACACCGCCCAGCTGCCACTGCTGCGTCATGACGTCACCGTTTACATCGCTGATTTTCTCCCCAACGGAGCTCACAACAACAACAACAACGGGGGACTGCGTCGGGTCGATGATCGTGTTGCTTTTAATCATACGAAGCCAGATTAAATTAAATAACGACTTCTCCAACCTTATACTTTTCTCCAGAGTGCCGTGGTTCATTGTTTATTAATGTGTTTCAGCGGCATTTACCGACCGCTGCAGTGCCGGCTGCTCTTCCACGGGAGTTTATTCTCCCGTTAGCTCCGGGTTAGCTCACACGGCTCTAAAGTATTCACTGTCTGACTGTCACACAAGCAGCTGATACATATCCCCAGTTCCCCTTAAGTGAATGTGTGTCAGTCTGAATTGACGCTGTTTGGTGTCAGTCTGAATTGACGCTGTTTGGCATCACAACGCTGTTATGAAAGTTTCTCTGGTATAACATGGGTGATGTTAGCATAGCAACCGAAGCTAAACTGACTACTTGCTAAGCCGTTTTCTACAGGCACTTTTTACCGGCGTATTTTTCATTATGATTCTACTTGTGATAGTCGGACATGACAACCTGTGCAGCCCATGTATTGATTCCATCCGATAGCTGCTATAATAACAAACAAAACGTCTGCCTGCTCTCCACAATGATCAATAACAGAGAACGGATGGTCAAAGTAAGGTACAAATAAACAGAATCACACGAAGCCTGGTTAGTGTTGCCTGACTTTATAAAGTGTGTGGTTGCCTTCTAGTCACTTTGCTCAGCGCTACTGCTTGTAGGCAGGCATGACGAGACTCTTCAGTCGACCCATGTTCAGGGGAGGTGGGTTTAGTTTCCTGCACGCCTCAACGTAAGCGACGCCGCCTCTTAGCTCCGAAGCTCTTGCCTCTAGACCGACAATTTTTTGGAGCTGGAAGTGAACCGGATTCCGGAGCTAAGAGGCGGCGCCGCTGCGGTGTGAACAGGAAAAACCGGTACTTTTCAGCTCCAGCTCCGAGCCGGAACCTTTACCTTTTGGTAACTTAATTGAACTATTGTGGGGAAAACAGTATTTCTATGTGTTAAAACATCTCTGGGAAAGAAATAACTCAAGTCTGGTTTTCTTTAATTTGGTCCAACTTTATTATTTATGTATTTGTAACGGATGTTTTGCAGTGCGTGTTCAGAAACTAAGCGTGGAGGTTTTTCACCTTTCAGTGCTCTAACACAACAAATCCGTAGGAGATTTCAGGAATGAATTAAATCAAGAATACCTTGTAGTGATACTTTGATAACAGATTAAATCGTGAAAATCTTAAATGCAACATTAACTAATGCTACTTTCCTTACGACTGTACGGGTGTTTCTGTGATGTGATTATTTCACACTGAGAGACTCAAACATCAGAAGAGACTCGCTGAATTTGCAGAGAGCGATCCTGAAAAATAAATATCATTTTTCTTCTGCAGCTGCAAAAGAAGTGTTGCTGGAAGAATCGTTTACTTACACAAAAGTACTAATACTACATTTAAAATACTCCATTACAAGTATTCAACTATAATCAGGAAAAATATCCTTAAGGTTCTACAAGTAAAAGTACTCAATCTGCCCAAAAATCCTCGTGTTTTTGTATATATTAGTATGTACAATATATAATGATATTATTAGATAGTTCATATATTAATAGCATTTTTAACAAAAAAGATATGAGAATTCATGTGTATTTATTTAGTCTAATCAGGAACGTATTCTGCTGAAAAAATGCCTACATGTGTGACAAAGCTTAAATAATTATAATATTAGTAATGAAATATATATATATAATTCTGCATATTTAATTATATTTTGATGCTTATGCTTATGTGCTTTTAGTAAATCCTTGAATTTAAGAGTTTGACTTGCAATGGAGTATTTTAGGCCCATAGTATTTTTACTTTTACTTCAGTAAACCCATTGACTTCCACACAAACAGAACAAGAAGTGCTAAAATGCTGACTTATTTCTGGGTTTTAGGACTCATTCCTGCAGAAGCTGATGCAATATTATGCAAAAAGTCTTAAAATTGGAAAGCTTTTAACATTGAAGTGTATAAACTCAAAGGAATCGGTACAGTTAAAACGTCACTAATGTGGAATAATTCAAATAACAACGAGCTGTGTAAAGCTACATTCCTCAGATTTGCTCAAACATCCAATAAAAAACAAGACACACTCATTCCCTCAGCTTTAAAGAGAAAACACACAAACAGCAGATTGTAATATAATGTGTAAACTTCTCCCTGATGCAGAAATCATAATCAAAGTGCCGCGGTGAAATCATCGTCTACATGTATTTATGGCACTAAACCACTTTGTCACAACCATTAAACTGAATAATCTTACGACTTGCTTCAGAGCTCCAGAGAGGACGGACACTAACCATGCTGATGGAGCGTTGTTTTTTTAACACACAGTACACAGTTTGGCAGATCATAAGCATTGTTTTTGATGAACAGCACTAAACTCCGAAGAACAGAACCATCGGCACGAATGGGTTTCACACATCTGAGTATACTCTGAAAACCAGCGTTGGAGCCGAATGAGGTGGAAAAAAATGTGTTGGAAATTAAGTCAACAACAGACTGGAGCCCGTGGGCACGGACATGCGAAGGACCCCCCTCTTGTCTTTATAGTCACTTTAAGTCTTCTCGTGATAATGTTGTGTATTTATGTAGTTTTTTTGTAGTCATTTTAAGTCACTTTGTAGACATTTTGGGTCTTTTAGTGGTCATTAAGCTCTCTTTGTAATCATGTTCAGTCACTAAGTGGTCATTTTGTGTCTCTTTGTAGTCCTATTGATTCACTTTTTTGTCATTTTGTGGTCATTTTAAGCCTTTTCATAAGAATTTGATGTTACTTTGTTGTGATTTTATCTTTTTGTCGTCATTATAAGTCACTTTGTAGCCATTTCCAGTCACTTTGTGGTCAATATGTGACAAAATGTATGCATTTTGTGTCTTTATAGTCATTTTGTGTCTATTGCGGTCATTTAAGTCCCTTTGTAATCATTTGAAGTCACTTTGTAATAATTGTGTGTCTTTTAAAGTCACTCTGTAGTCATTTTGTGTATCTTTCTGATTGGTGCAAGTCTCTTTGAGTATATCGTAGGTGAAGGTAAGGGGGCCCCTGACACTTTGGATCCCAGGCCTGTGCCCAGTTATCACCCTCTGTTGAAGGTTGAATATGCCAAGACGATCCCGGAGCTTCTGTACAGGTGATATTTCATGGGGAAAAAAGAGCCGAAGGTGAGCTCCAGGCGCCGCTGAGGAGATGCTCTGCGTTTACATGAACATTACACAGTCCCTTATTAGCTTTGAGTAGTGGATGTACTGGTGGGCCGACACCAGAGTAAAAGAGTGTCTGATGGAGTCTGTCTCAGTGATCAGTTCCTCTTCCTGACCGGCTCCTCCGCAGCCTCGTCCTCCTGAGCGCCCCCGGGGAACGCGTGGTGGTAGAGGTGCCTGTGATTGGCTGCTACGTTGTACAGCTTGTAGAGAGCCTGTGGAGCAGACAGGTGTTTACAGGTGGTGGATTCACACACACATACTGCACATATTTTATTGCATTCTATTTCAATGTAAATACTGCTTTATTGGATTTTCTATTTTACTATATTTTTTTATTATTTTTTTGTAATGTTATTATAGTGTTCTTAGAATAGTTTGCTATCTGTGTTTTAAAATTTTACTTTTATGCAGTGGCGGTTCTAGACCAATTTGACTGGGGGGGCCAGGCTGGGGGTATTTGTTTTAGTACATTTAAGTTACAGTCGTTTGTTTCAGTAGTTTTTTTCATTTAGAGTATTTGTTTTAGTAACTTTAATTGACAATTGAATTAAAAACATAAACAGTATTTGCTTTTGTATAAGGTAATGAACAGTTTAATCTTGGCTTGGTCAGTGTTAAGGGCCCCTGTTGCACCACCCCCCCAAGAACCGCCCCTGCTTTGATGTATGCACCACGACACCAAGTCAAATTCCTCGTACGTGTCAACCTACAGTACCTGGTAATAAACCTGATTTTGATTCTTCTGATTCTGATTCTGACAATATCAGAATCAGAAGTCCTTTATTAGTCCCACAGCGGGAAATGTACGGTGTTACAGCTAACGTGGCATAGCAGGTAAATAAAGGCATGCAATAATAAAGAATACATTAACTTATTAAATACAGAGAAGAAAAGCACACATTAGTAATAAAATACACAACCATAATAAACAACCATGGCTAAAAATGAGTATTTGAACAAAGGGGAATTTATGTATTTCTTTAGGGTCGCAAGGGTCTTTAAATTAAGCCGAATTAACCTCAGAGATCTCCTCCTTCCTAAAACAACCAAACGTTGTAATTAAAACCAACAAAAACACTAAATAAAGCAGTTTCAAGTTTAAAATCAGTGTTTCCTCTATGGAAGCAGGTCGGAGTTGCTACGAGCTAAAGGCTAACGTTGGTTCAGCTCGTTTCTCTGATAAGTTAAGATTCAAAAGTTCAGGAGGATTTAAAGGTGGGGTAGGTAAGTTTGAGAAACCGGCTCGAGATACACTTTTTGTTATATTCTATGGAATGCTCTTAACATCCCGATAGCAAAGAATATCTTAAGTGCTTTGACAAAAAATCCATAAAAAATGTCATCTGTGGAAGCCGTAGTACTGTAAAAAGCACGACCAATCATTTTAGCCGGCCCGGCTAAAATAACTGGATGGCCTACCTGCCTGTCAGCCTTCCATCGGGGCACAAACTTATCTCGTGCCCTCATTGGTCATGTGCGCGTTCGTGTGTGTTGGAGGAGGGGCTCTGTAAGGAAGTCTGAAGGAAGTGGCAGCTTTTCTCCGGTTGTGTATTTTCAAATTCTAGCGATCTCGAGCCGGTTTCTCCAAAATTACCTACCCCACCTTTAATCAGAAGCCGAAATATCTACAACGGTCTGATCTTCTACAAAATCAAAGATAAACACTGGATAAAGCTGTTTCACTTAAAAAAAGCAGTGTTTCTCTGATGCAGTTTGATGAATTTAGGATACAGGTACACAAAGTACACAACTCAACTCAATAAAAAATATATTGCTAGACGTTTTTACATATTTTAAATGCAGAAATGTTACTGTTACATGCCGTAGTGGGTGCTTGTGTGTGTGTGTCTCTCTCTCTCCCTGATTGTCTCCAGGTGCAGCCTCTCCCCCAGGTGCTCCCAATCCCCAATCAGGGCCTCCTTAAAGGACCTGAGGAAGGCTGCAGTGGGCCTCTCCTTCTCCTCTGGCTGCATGTCGGTTTGCTATCCTGGCTCCAAAATGGTGGAATGAGCTCCCCATTGACATCAGGACAGCAGATAGCTTGCACATCTTCCGGAGCAGACTGAAAACTCATCTCTTTCGACTCCACTTCGAGCGATAGAATTACTAACAAAGAACTGCTAACAGAGCACTTATATACTAATAAAGGACTGGCTTATCTAAAGCCAGTTGAGTAGCACTTGAAATATTTCGGCTCTATGAAACCTGATGTACTTATATGATTCTGTTTTCTTCAAGTTTGTATCTTCCTGGTCGAATGCACTTATTGTAAGTCGCTTTGGATAAAAGCGTCAGCTAAATGTAATGTAATGTAATGTGTGCAGCATGGTGTCTCTGTCTCTGTGTGGGACCTGTGTTTCGTTAATTATTAGGAGATGTGCTCCAGTGTATATTTGTGTCCTAGCTTATCTTAGTTTACTTTGCAAGTTGGCTGATGAGCCCTTTTTTTTTGTCCATTAAAAGACCATCTTGTGGCTTCACAGATCAGTTTCCTCTCTTTTTTTTCTCTCGCCAGGTCATTTTATATTTTGTTACTTCCCTTTGGTTCCCCTAGCCCAGTAGGGAACGTAACAGTTACATATATTACATTTAACTACTTAGGATAACTTAAGTAAAACAACATTAAAATGTGTATTATTGTATGTATTTGCAAATATTTCTGTGAGAATCAGAATTAATTATCCACACGTTTAAGAAAATTCATGCCCAATTTTATTTCTCCACTTACCTCATTTGTGCTCCCCTGCAGAAGCATTAAAAAGAAAGAAACATACAGTATCAGCACATACATGCATTTATAACAAAGCATGGTCAATATAACAATAGATTATTTCTGTAAATGGATCTGTCCTCATTCTCTGCCGCTGATGTGAAAGAGGGTTGCTGCCCTCTGGTGGTTTGAAGATACTCAATAATGTAAGTTACTGATGAGTCAATTAACAGATTTTCTAATTAATTGTAATAATGGATTGTTGTTTAAAAAACTTTATGCAGTGACCCATTGATTTCGAGACTTCTCTAAGTGATCAAATGCTGACTCATATCTGGGTTTGAGGACTCATTCCTAAACCTGGAAATTAGTAAGCACTTCCTGTTCTCATGTCTTAAAATGAATGTTTTTTTTATTCGTTTTTTATTTTTTCCGAAGCCTGAAATAAGGTCTGTGGTTAATTCAAGCTTAAAAGATGACATCACTGCACCGCTCTGTTTCAGGCTTCAAACCAGAAACCCATACAAAAAAAAGCCATTGACTTTCAGATAAGTGAACAGGAAGTGCTAAAATGCTGACTTATTTCTGGTTTTGACGTCTCATTCCTGCTGTGGTCTATTCCTAACTTGTTGGGAAAACACTGAAAATACTCTTCCAATATCAGAGTAGCACATGATAACAAAGGTATCCCAACTGTAGCTGTGAACATGACAGGATGTATGATTACCTAGAAGAGCATCAGGACTGTTTGAGGCATGTGATAGCTATGTGATTAACATGATGATTCAGCCTCTATGGAGATAGACATATGACAAGCATGATCATTTCTGACGTGGAGCTAATCTGAAGTAAACATTGAATACTGCTTTCTATTCCTCCATCTTGTGACTGTGTAACTCCCTCTCTTGTATATCAGCATGTGAAGGACACTGTTCAGGAACTAGTTGATGCTCTGTATGTGATGACTACTTCCATTCTGGAGAGGATCTCAAATACATGGATCCTGAGATTGAAGCTCAAGCCGGTGACGAGTGACATTTTTCATAACTCTAATAATGTTAATGTTTTTCCAGCTCACCTGGTCCCACAGGGCCCCGGCCACCTGGTCGATGACGGCCCCCAGCTCTCGGTACTCCCCAGAGTATCGGATGTAGGCCCAGGTGCAGAGCGTGATGAGCGCCAGGCCCAGCACCATGTTGCACAGGCTGGCGATCACGTCCACGCCCACGAAGCCTGTGATGCCGGCGGCCACGTACATGACGAAGATGACCACGAAGAGGGTGGCGGGGGTGCGTGCGGCGTGGAAAATGTTCTTGGAGTCGTTGTGCTTGATGTACTGGACGAACACCTCGTCCACCTCGGCCTCCAGCTGCTGCAGGTAGCGCCGGCTGAACTCCTCGCCGCCCATCTTCTTCACGCCCTTGAACACCTGCAACGCCTCCTCTCTGATGGCCCCGTGCCGCTTCTGCAGCTCGCTGGGGGCGAGGAAGGGCCGGTCCCCCCCGCACACCTGGGAGGGAGAGGAGACGGGGTGGTAAGAATGATTTTAAAGGTCACCTATTGTCCAAAATCCACTTTTTCCTGTCTTTTCTACATCAACATGTGTCCCCTCTTCTTCATGTCTCTTCTACATCAACATGTGTCCCCTCTGTGTAAAGAGATTCTGAAAGTCTCAGGAAAAAAGATTCTCTCACTTTTTGTCCTGATCCATTTATATAAAAACCTGTCTGAAAATGAGCTGATCAGATTTTGGCCACTTTGTGATGTCATAACCAAATCTCTCTCAGAGGGGCGTGGGGAGTGGCTCCTTATTTTCATCTAATGGCGCATTTCCACTACACGGTCGGCCTCGGCCACACTCGGTACGGCTTGGCCGCGTTGGGCCTTAACAGGGCCGACTCACTTCATGCTGCGTTTCCATTACAGTTTAGGAACTGGGGTAGTTACTATAGTAACGCAGTGTAGGCGGATCCGTGACGTCATCTTCAATGAGAACTCCAGAAACACAACACAGCCGTTAGCTGTTAGCCCTCAGAGCTCACAGCTCCTTATATATGTTCAGAAACTAGACAAAAGTTAAACAAGTACACACCACAGACTGCCTGTGTCATGGAGAATACAGTCGCTGCTTTATTTATGTCTGTATAGGCCGTTGTTGTGAGTGTGGACGGTCGGAGCATATACTGCGTTAGCTTAGCCAATCTCCATTTAGAAAACACGCATTTTAAAAGGTTTTTCGCCTGCCGTCTGTCTGCAGACTTGACAAAGCATTAATTCATGGTTTTTACTAACCGGTATCAGTATGTTGTTACTTCGGCATCATTTTGAAACGTGTATTACAATTAAATCACGGTCAAATATGTTCATCTTGTTGTAGTTGTAGCCCCCTTGCCAGCGCTCCTCTCTCTAGTTTAGCATACTCAGCCCGACTCAGCCCTGTTTGTTGGCCCCGATAGAACCACAATTTTGTCGGGCCAGAAAAGAGGTGAAAAAGTGGCCCCGGGCCGGGCCGTAACTAGGCCTAGTGGAAGCGCAACCAAAAACAGGCACGGCACGACACGGCACGCTTAAAGCGAGCTCCGCGCTGTAGTGGAAATGCGCCATAAAGTAACAGACAGAGAATCAGCACTTTGGAAACAGGGCTGAAACAGAGGGGATTATGGGATGCTGCAATGATCTGTTTGGTGTTTCAGCCAATCAGAGACAGGTTCTGTATATATCTATAACTATAATATATTGATGAAAAACTGTATAATAGGGGACCTTTAAATACTTTGTGTTTTGGGTCTGGGCTCCTGTTCTCAGGCTTCAGATAGCTAACATACTGTTTCTCCATTATGTCTTATGATTGCACTTAGACCCTGAAGGCAGCATCTCCCTGGTTCAATGGGATTTCTTTTGGATCATTGCAGAAAATACCTCTATCGATTTCATTTTAAAATCCAGTTTCTACAGACCTGCTCCATCTTCTTGCTGTACAGATCCTTTGCAGCAGCGACTGCAGCCAGATTATTCGCCTCTGCTGTGGCCTGAGAGCAAGCAGGTGGGAATATGTGGATTATTTAAGGGGAATACAAGATGTTTTACAAATAACATTATGTTTTGCATGGATTTCTGTCCTCAAGTTAAGGAAAGTGGGAACATATTGAAAATATATCAGCTAGAAAACTTTAAAGCAAGGCATTTTTACTTTCAGTAGCCCATAAAATACTTATATATACTTAAAATTAGGCATTGCAAAAACATTTAGAGATACTAATTACTTTATGGACCAACATAAACAGTAAAGTGTATGGAGACAGAAGTAGTAGTTGCAGTAAAATGTAAGACGATGTGAAAACGTACCTGCAGCATGGACTTTGGATGGGGCAGCTCCTCACCTTGGTAAATTTTAATGTACGCCTGAAATAAAGAAAATAGGATAAAATACATAAAAAATAACATAATAAATACATTGAATCTAGACACAGCGAAACTCTCTCTGAAGGGAACACAGAGATTGTAGCCTTTGCAGACCATTAACATGCATTAAAACCTACAGAACACACTACAGGTGAGAGAACACCACACAAGCAGAATAGGGACTCTTTAACACTCAGAACATATGAAGAACTTTTCAAATCTGATGTTTTTTCTGGGACCTTGAAGTACTCCAGCAGGCCTCTGCAGGTGATCTTGCTGCCGTTGATCTCCTTCACGTCGATGTTCTCAGGGCTGAGCAGCCACGGCACCAAGACCTTCAGGTTGTTGATGAACTCGCCATCAATCTCTGCACGGTAAGACATGAAAAAAGTGTTTTACATTCAGCTCACGCATGTGTGTGGTAGTCCAAAAAAGAAACAGAAAATATAAAACCCAGCTTTTTTAACCGAGCGGTGTTTCTTTACAACTGGTGCAGAACCTGCTCATGCATAATTCATTAATGCTCGCTCTACAGGGAGATACATTTATCATAATTTACCATGAAAACTACGACAGTTTGCATATTTACTTTCATGCAGTATATATCCTGCATCCTGTCCAACCTCAGAGCCTCGCTGTGTTACACATTATTGAAACATTTAAGTTATTGTTATACTGTAGTACATTTGTGTACAGACCCTAGTATTTCAATTTGTACTTAAAGGTCCCCTATTTTACTGTTTTTCATCAATATATTATAGGTCTCAGATACAAATATATATACAGAACATGGCTCCAAACACCAAACAGATCATTGCAGCATTACCCATAATCCCCTCTGTTTCAGCCCTGTTTCCAAAGTGCTGATTCTCTGTCTGTTACTTTAGATGAAAATAAGGAGCCCCTCCCCACGCCCCTCTGAGAGATATTTGGTTACAAAGAACACAATGGTGCTCGAGGAGGAAATTCAGGTGATAAGGTGGGGGGGGGGGGGGTTACCTTGGTTGCTGATTGGCTAATGGTTACACAAGACAACACATCGTTATGACATCATAAAGTGGCCAAAATCTGATCAGCTCATTTTCAGACAGGTTTTTATAGAAATGGATCAGGAGAAAAAGAGAGAGAATCTTTGTTCCTGAAACTTTCAGAGTCTCTTTACACAGAGGGGACACATGTTGATGAAGAAGAGACATGAAGAAGAGGGGACACATGTTGATGAAGAAGAGACATGAAGAAGAGGGGACACATGTTGATGAAGAAGAGACATGAAGAAGAGGGGACACATGTTGATGAAGAAGAGACATGAAGAAGAGGGGACACATGTTGATGAAGAAGAGACATGAAGAAGAGGGGACACATGTTGATGTAGAAGAGACATGAAGAAGAGGGGACACATGTTGATGTAGAAGAGACATGAAGAAGAGGGGACACATGTTGATGTAGAAGAGACATGAAGAAGAGGGGACACATGTTGATGTAGAAGAGACATGAAGAAGAGGGGACACATGTTGATGTAGAAGAGACATGAAGAAGAGGGGACACATGTTGATGTAGAAGAGACATGAAGAAGAGGGGACACATGTTGATGAAGAAGAGACATGAAGAAGAGGGGACACATGTTGATGTAGAAGAGACATGAAGAAGAGGGGACACATGTTGATGTAGAAGAGACATGAAGAAGAGGGGACACATGTTGATGTAGAAGAGACATGAAGAAGAGGGGACACATGTTGATGTAGAAGAGACATGAAGAAGAGGGGACACATGTTGATGTAGAAGAGACATGAAGAAGAGGGGACACATGTTGATGAAGAAGAGACATGAAGAAGAGGGGACACATGTTGATGTAGAAGAGACATGAAGAAGAGGGGACACATGTTGATGTAGAAGAGACATGAAGAAGAGGGGACACATGTTGATGAAGAAGAGACATGAAGAAGAGGGGACACATGTTGATGAAGAAGAGACATGAAGAAGTGGGGACACATGTTGATGTAGAAGAGACATGAAGAAGAGGGGACACATGTTGATGTAGAAGAGACATGAAGAAGTGGATTTTGCATAATAGGTGACCTTTAAGTGAAGGATTTGAGGCCTGCATAAAACAGGAAATGTTAACCTTGAATCCTGCCGTCGAAGTTGGGGTTGGTGGCGACCTTGAGTCCGGGGTGGGGCATCAGGAAGCAGGAGATGTTGGTGAAGCAGGAGTGGATGTGTTTACGGACGTTCTGCAGCTCCTCATGCTGGTTCTCTGAGATCTGCAGCACACACACACACACACACACACACACACACACACACACACACACACACACACACACACACACACACACACACACACACACACACACACACACACACACACACACACATACACGCACACACACACACACACACACACACACAAACACACTTGCGTCAGGATTTAAGGATTGTGTGCAGCGATTGTTTAAAATGCATGTTATTAAGTCAAATCTGACCTTCAGTCTCTTCTCCAGGAAATTCATGCCTCCCTCCTGTCCGTAGGGAAACTCGTAGGGAAAGCTCCAGTCTCGAACCAGGAAGATCATAGACTAAAACCAAAAAAGTATAATTTTTAAATGTAATTTCCTGACATGTGGATGCAGTCATCACATTAAAGAGAGTGGAAAGGATTGAGGTACCTGAAAGGGTTTGAGGAACGTCTCCTCCATGGCTAGTCTGCCGTACTCAGTGAAGAGCTGGAAGAAGACAGATAAGACAAAATAAAACGTTAAGTACGACAGTCAGTTTTATTAAACATCAAAGGGAACCTTAAAGGGACAGTTTGGATATTTTAAAGTGTGGTTTTTGTGTATTTTAACTACTTTTTCTTGTATTCAGACTGTCCTTCTGATGTTATGCATGCTCTCTTGAAAGCCACCAGACTCCATTGACAAAACCACTCATTTAAACTGAACAGAACTAAGGAGTTTATGGTGCACCGCTGCCTCTGTCTGTTAGTTAGTTTGTGTTATTGTGTGTCTTCGGTGCATCCAAACGAACACTTTGATTCACCAAAGTCACACAATAACACTAAATAACTTACCAATCATTGCAGCAGTACACCGGCAGCTCCTGTGTTGTGTCAGGTTGAAATGACTGTTTTGTGAATGGAGTCTGGTCGCTTTGTCTAACAGAGCATTGAATTGAACTTAAGTTGATTTATTTAGGTGAATACACTCTTCAAAACATACAAACTATCCCTTTAAGAGTCCATGGGAGCATATTCCTCCAGTATGTGGGTTTATTTGGTGTTTCTTTTACAATATAACTGCAATGGTGTTTTTACCTGCAGGTGCTGAAGGTCGTCCTCTTGTACATTCTGTGAGATGTTGTAAACCTGAAAAATAACAATTATTATAGTATAACAACTGTCACCTGGTTATATATTTGTATCTATTGAATGAAGAGTGAAACAGGAACATAACGGTACTTAAAAGTACATATAACAAATATGAAAAATACAATTTAAAAGCTAAACAAATATGAACAACAAGAAAAAACTATAAAATATGAAAGAATGCCAGAGAAACTATGAAAAGATTACATCTACAATAACATACTAAAACAAAATGTGAGAATATGTGCAATATATGGGAATGGTGTCCAAAGATTGTGAACAGGTTTACTAAAAATGTCGACCTCTTGCTGTCGCTAAATGAAAGGTCAGGCAAGCATCATTGCACAATGTTTTGTGTCGATCCATTAAATAGAGACATCTCAGTCCGGTGTTGTAATGACGTACCATCCCTAGAACTTCTAAATGTACAAACCTATATTAAATCAGATAAATCTAAGCATCCTCTCCTGAGGCGAGGCGTACCTGCATGGAGCTGATCATGGTGCTCAGAGCGAACACGGTGGCCGAGTCTCTCAGAGTCGACTGGCTGTCAAACGTTCCCTGAGTGTCCATCAGCAAAACAGCCACCTGAGGAGGAACATACATAGAAATGATATATTATAATATACATAAATACATTTAAATAAGCCCCACATTTAAAGGTGGGGTAGGTAAGTTTGAGAAACCGGCTCGAGAAACGCTTTTTGTTATATTCCATGGAATGCTCTTAACATCCCGATAGCAATGAATATCTGAAGTGCTTTGACAATAAATACATAAAAAAATATCATCTGTGGAAGCTGTAATACTGTAAAAAGCACGACCAATCATTTGAGCCGGCCCGGCTAAAATAACTGGATGGCCTACCTGCCTGTCAGCCTTCCATCTGTGCACAAACTTATCTCGTGCCCTCATTGGTCATGTGCGCGTTCGTGTGTGTTGGAGGAGGGGCTCTGTAAGGAAGTGGCAGATTTTTTCCGGCTGTGTATTTTCTAATTCTAGCGATCTCGAGCTGGTTTCTCAAACTTACCTACCCCACCTTTAACAACTGTAACAATAAAGATATGTGGACATTAATGCATCAATATTAGTGATCCAATATCATAACAAACATGAGGCTAAAATGGATCATTAAGTTATTATACATTTAGTGCTTTAGGTATATTTATATATATTTATTTTTTCTTTTGATTTGGTAAAGCTTTAAGTATGTTTTGATGATCTTACTTTTGTACTTTAATATACTTTATTTAAGTGAAATTCCTGAGTTCTTCTTCCACTTCTGCATGTGGCTGATGCAGGTCTAAAACAGGTGTTTGAATGTAAAGATGTTTTCCTTTAAATGTGTCTTAAAAAAAATGTCTTAAAAGGATGAATTTAAGTGTGTCAAATGTAATGATGTCTCATTGTCCCTCTTGTGTTTAATGGTCTCCTCTCTGCAGGATGTATCCGGTCTTCACCTTGGTGCCGTCGGGTTTGTCCACCAGGAAGACTTCGCTCCAGATCTGGATCCCGGTGGTCTCTCTTTCCGACCCCCCCCTCCAGGAGAAGCCGGTCAGAGGCTCGTCTGCAACGCCCAGCCAGCCCTCAGACGCCTGCACACATTTATTAATTTCATTTACTCTCAGTCAATTGAAATAAATATTTTTCTAGGAATACATGCATGGAAAAAAAAAAAAAAAATACAAAAATGTATTTAGAGATAGTTTTTGTGTAAAAATAATAAAAACAAAATAATAATAAAAATAATAATGATAAAAAACAATAAAATAATAATATTAATTAAAAAATAATAATACAAATAATAAATACATCATGCCAGATCTTACGTGGTTGTACATGTAGCGCAGCATGAAGTCCATGAGGAAGGACTTGCCCTTCCGGAAGGCTCCGGCCACAGAGATGGCGACCACTTCTCGGTCCCGGACCTCTGCGCTCAGCAGGATCCGGCTCAGCGCCGCCTCGTCCAGCTCGAAGGTGTGGTCGTCCTTCACCAGCAGGACTTGAATCGGCCGCGCCCGTCCGTCAGGCTCCTCCTCCTCCGAGCTCCAGTCGTACACCGGCTTGTCGCTCAGGGACCCTGCAGGACCACACAGAGAGATGATGGCTTAAAGGTCCCCTATTATACTGTTTTTCATCAATATATTATAGGTCTCAGATATATACAGAACATGTCTCTGATTGGCTGAAACACCAAACAGATCATTGCAGCATTACCCATAATCCCCTCTGTTTCAGCCCTGTTTCCAAAGTGCTGATTCTCTGTCTGTTACTTTAGATGAAAATAAGGAGCCCCTCCCCACGCCCCTCTGAGAGATATGTGGTTAAAAAGAACTCAATGGTGCTCTAGGAGGAGATTCAGGTGATAAGGTGGAGGGGGGGGTTACCTTGGTTGCTGATTGGCTAATGGTTACACAAGACAAAAAATCGTTATGACATCATAAAGTGGCCAAAATCTGATCAGCTCATTTTCAGACAGGCTTTTATATAAATGGATCAGGACAAAAAGAGAGAGAATCTTTGTTCCTGAAACTTTCAGAATCTCTTTCCACAGAGGAGACATGAAGAAGAGGGGACACATGTTGATGTAGAAGAGACATGAAGAAGAGGGGACACATGTTGATGAAGAAGAGACATGAAGAAGAGGGGACACATGTTGATGTAGAAGAGACATGAAGAAGAGGGGACACATGTTGATGAAGAAGAGACATGTTGAAGAGGGGACACATGTTGATGTAGAAGAGACATGAAGAAGAGGGGACACATGGTGATGTAGAAGAGACATGAAGAAGAGGGGACACATGTTGATGTAGAAGAGACATGAAGAAGAGGGGACACATGTTGATGTAGAAGAGACATGAAGAAGAGGGGACACATGTTGATGTAGAAGAGACATGAAGAAGAGGGGACACATGTTGATGTAGAAGAGACATGAAGAAGAGGGGACACATGTTGATGGAGAAGAGACATGAAGAAGTGTTTTTTTGCACAATAAGTGACCTTTAATATAACATGTTTGTATTGTCTTTTGATGCATGCATGTGTGGATTATGAGACCAATAATGGACCCCTGGGATCAGACATGCAAAAGGCCCTATTACCTCTAAGAACCAGAAACACATACTTTTGGTTGTAGTTTTGGGTCTATTTATGGCCATTTTGATGGGTTATTTTGAGACTCCTTAAATTCATTTAGCCTCTGTGGTCACTTTAAATCTTATTGATGTAGAAGTGCAGGGGAAATAAAAATGTATTTAAAATGTTTTACTGTATTTTGTTGCATCCATGTGTGGATTTTGAGACCAATAATAAGCTTTTATTTCTCCTACAAAACCACTTCTAATTAGCACTGGAAAGTCGATCAAAATCAAATCATATGAGCGGATGATCTTCCAGAACCCCTCAGTGATGAGAGGGAAACTGAGCGGTCCATTAAGGTGACAGGAAACAGGAAGTTGAGTCCATTACTCCTTCCTCCTTCTACAGCAGCAGATCATTAGCATCGCATGAAACCTTGTTAATACTAATAATAATGAATCCTCTCTGTGTGTGTGTGTGTGTGTGTGTGTGTGTGTGTGTGTGTGTGTGTGTGTGTGTGTGTGTGTGTGTGTGTGTGTGTGTGAGAGATGAGATCATTCAGAGCCCTTCCTGTGTGTTTACTGGCACTGACTCAGTGTGTTGCCGTCATGCAGAGCTTCTCGATGAAAGACCGAAGTACTCAGATATTTAAATTAAGTAAAAGTATCTTTATTATAACTATAATACACCACTGTATACGTTGCAATGTACACCTTTTTACACATTTATTTGTAGTAAAATATGCACATTTTAAATGTAATGTATTATATTCATTTAAATATTTGTATTCAATTTTATTTTATTCATCCATTTTCTTCTTGTGTATTTATAGATATTTTGTAACGTTTTTGAATTAACCTCCATAAGATAAATAAGAAATGTATCTGATAAATGCAGTTTAAAAAAATTAAACAATGAGCTTAATCACAGACTTTACCGCTTTGAAAATAGTACATTTCTTGGAGAGAAGAATGAAAATGATCAGCAAGATATCACATATTTGCAGCTTCATTAGAAAATGACTGATTTTGCTTTTGGTCAATTTACAAATAGTGAAAAGAGTATGTGATGTTCATTCTGAGGCATCTTACATTTGACCAAGGCCTTGTGACAGATTAAGGAGAAGCTGGTCACATTTTGGAGCTAAAAGATTAATGCAGGATGTCAAGAAAGCACGTCGGTGAATAATTGAAGGAGGAATCAGCAGCCAAGGTTCCTGTCAGTTTGAGTTCACTTCTCCTGCAGGGGCCTCACCCTTCGCCGGCTTAACCTGAGAATACTGCTGCTGCTGCTTCTCCAAAAACAAGCCAAACACGTCTGCTAAAAGTGGGTCAAACCAGATCAACTCTATAATAACTAAACAGCTGCATTAACCCATTTTCACTTAAATGTAACCAGTCAATTTCCCTCCTCCTGCAGGACTGTATGTGAAGTAACACATACAGTAGGCATGATACATACCTGGATAATGATCATAGCATTCATGATTAGTATAGATATGGAGCTGATAAGGGCTATTTCCTGATGCATTATTACATAATGTGATGCACAGAGCATCATAGGAGGCTCAGTGTGACAAACACAGTGAAATCAGAAGGTTATTTTCAGGCCTTTTGGGGCCTGGACCGCCCAAACAGAGGCTTTCCTGCATGAAAAAAAGCACCACTACAGGCTTTAATGCTGGAATTGTCTGCTCGTTTATGCATATTAGCTCGAAATGCATGCAGGGACAAATAGGGGGTAAAATATATGTAACATTAGGGGTTTGAAATAAAAACAAACAGGTCGTAATTTGACTGAGAAACAAGACTGTAATGGAGGAATCTGGAGTAAACATGTAATTGGCTGCATTGCTTACACGCCTCGACAGGAATAAGAAAAAATGTACGTCAAGGAGAGAATAAAAAAACGGAATATTTGTACGTACACTCACCCCAGCTGTCTCTCTCTTTGCGGTGTTTAGCCATGTTCCTGTCCTGTATATCCCTGCTGTGTTTGTGCGAGAATCAGCGACCCTACTCGGTATTCATGAGTGTCTTAGGGCGGGGAGGATGCTCATCTCCTCCGGAACGATGCTCGATGCTCCGAGGAGGATGATGGAGCTTTTTATTCCTGCAGGATCTCATGCGTGCAGACAGGGGGCGCTGCTGTCTGTTGTTCCTGCTAATGTAGCAGCCTAATAATGCAGAGGAAATAAATGTGGTTCAGAGGGAAATGTACTCAAATGAGTGCAACCGCTGAGTATGTAAGGTATGTTTGCAATGCAAGTCTTTTATTGAGGCTGTTGTGAGAAAGAAATACCATTTGTCGTCAGCAGGTGGCGGTAGGGACACAGAGAATAAGGACTACGTGCTGCCTTCAAGGTCTGTCGTAAATATCTTTACTAAAACAACATTTATTAATACACTAAGATTGATGGAAGCTGTTTATGTTAGCATTTTTGTTTTTCAATATGGAGCAATTTCCAATTGTCAAAATTCTGAGAAATGTCAGCATCTGAGAAAAAAGTAAAAACCAGAAAAAAGTCAAAATTCTGTGAAAATAGTAAAACAATCTGACAAAATAGTCGAAATATGAACAGAGCAAAACATTCTGAAAAATGAAAATTATGTGAGAAAAGTCAAATATCAGAGAAAAAAGTCCAAATTCAGTGAAAAAGTGAAAAAACCTGAAAAAGTAAAAATTCTGAAAAAAAAGTCAAAATTGTGTAAAAAAGAAAAAGAAAAATTCTGTCAAAGTTACATCATAACACAGTTCTTTGATTTGGCTACTTATGCATCAACATACAGTAAACAATGCACTTCATATCATATGGTCAATCTAGGCTTTTCTGCATGTCAATTATAACTATAGCTGTCATACAAAAATTGGAGTAAAAAGTACAATATGTTCTTTTTGTTGGAATAAAGCAGGAATTGTATATACTTGAAGTTATTATTATAGTACTCCAACAAAAAGTTGGTGCATAATAATTTACATAAAACAAAATCACTGTTATGGTGCAGCTGAGCTTCACATCTACATTAGCATTTGGACATGCTTTGATAAAAAAACAATCATTGCTTTATTAAAGTTATTTGTATTTAATGCTAGAATTCCTGCTGAGCCGTGAAGGAGACGGAGCCTTCTTCTTCTTCTATTGTTTTATTAACAGTAGCTTGCATCCATGACATTGATTTACTGCCCTCTAACGGTTCCTTCACTCCCTACAGGTTTCAGAGTTAGAGACGGAACAGCAACTGAAGTTTATCTCTGTTTCCTCGCCAACAAAGAGGGACGCTTTTCTTCTGTTTTTGGACTTTTATTCGACGCCATCGCACGTGTTAAAAAGTTGAAATGCAAGGCGTTGTCGTCCACGGTGTCTGCATTATGAAAGGTGAGTGAAAGTTAAGGGCGAAGCTAAATTAGCTCGCTCGCTGTTAGCTTAGCCTGGATGCTAAGCCTGTCTAATAGTGACATTTGGATCAGGCTATTTGCTGGAATGACATCCAGTGTCAAGCCTGTCTGTTAGTAATATTTGAATCTGGCTATTTGCTGGAATGACCACATATTCAGTGCTCACTCAAGCTAATGTTGTTTTAGTGGGCAGGACGAGCTCTTAGTAACTTTAATTTGAGTTTACGATAAATTAAATTCCTAGGTTATGCTGATGTTGTTGTTGGGTGACATGTCATGGTTTGCAGAGGTGGAAGAAGTACTCAGATATTTTACTGAAGAAAAAGTAACAATACTACATTGTAAAAATACTCTGTAACAAGTACGCATTTTCCACAATGGCCCAAAAAAAACCATTACATTATTTTTTTATCAATATTAATGCATTAAAGACACTTGGTAAAAGTAGGGATTATTTGAATCTCTTTGTATACTGCTGTGTAGCTTGACCCTAAATGCTTTATTGATGCATTTATATTCTGTAATATAAATCCATACATGCAAAGTAGTTTGTAATTCAATTAGGTGGAACATGTAGTGGAGTAAAAAAGAAACAATGCCTCCAAAATGTAGTTAAGTAAGTAGGAAAATACTCAAGTGAAGTACACGTACCTCCAAGTATTGTACTTATCCACCACTGATGGTATGTAACACAGTTGCTCTTAGATGAATTTAAGGTAAGTGTTTGTCAACGTTGTGTCACCATTATACACTTTCTTAGTACTTTGTTCCAGATTTCACTAAAAGTCTAAAGGTATTAAGAGTAGCCTAGTTTAAGTATGACAGTACAACTACATAAAGTTATATAATTATGAATGTATCATCTACTAAAGCTTCTCTTAAACTAAAGCAGCATTTCCATGTCATGTTAAATCTTAATTTGTAAAGTAACTCCAGATGTAAAGATGGAGTATAAGTATATAGTGGCACATAATTGAAATACTTGTATAACCAGTTGTGTAGGAGGTACTTTTATCTTTTGCTTACAGCTCTGTAAAAGGAAAGGTACAATATTAAATCTTGATCTTTTGTAAAAGTCCAAATATATTAACAGCAAAAAGAAGAATGGCTCCTTTCAGAGAGTAAATATATCCTTTTATAATCATAATTCTAATGTTTTAACATGTAAGACGCATTTCTATATGTGTGTCTGATAGTTGAATCACAGCTTCATATTTAAGAAGTTGACATGTTTGGTTGTAAAAATCTGTATCTGTCAGAAGGATAATGTAGTGCAGTAAAATGTACAGTGTTTGTCTCTGATGGAAGTACAGAGCAGCATACAATTGAAATACTCATGTCACCAGTTGTGGATGAAGTACTCATATGTTTTTATTATAGTAAATATAGCAATACTCCTCTGTAAAAGTACTATGTTAGAAGTAAAAGTCAGATTAGTATAAGTAGTAAAAGTTCAATGTTTTACTTCCAACATCCATGATGTCCATAGCAGAGTATCGTATCATCTTGTTTAGTATGTAAAACAAGAATCTGTACATTTATTCCAGCTGTCGAATATATGTAGTGAAGATTAAAGTGGCATAAAAAGGAAATACTCAAGCATCTCAAAATTGTACTCAAATACAGTAGTTGAGTAATACATGTTTTTGGTTACTTTCCACGTTTAATGTCGGGTTTCTTAACTCTTTTCCACCAGATCTTCAATCCATCAAGTGATCAGTTTACTATAAGTAGTAAAAGTTCATTTTTTTACTTACAACATCCATGTCCATAGCACAGTATCGTATCATCTTGTTTAGTATGTAAAACAAGAATCTGTACATTTTTTCCAGCTGTCAAATACATGTATTGAAGTAAAAAGTAAAATATTTGCCTCTGAGATGTAGTGAAGATTAAAGTGGCATAAAAAGGAAATACTCAAGCACCTCAAAATGGTACTAAAATACATGTTTTTGGTTACTTTCCACTTTTAATGTCGGGGGTTTCTTAACACTTTTCCACCAAACCTTGTCTCTGCTTCAGGACATGGAGCATGGAGGAGGACCGCCTGAGTCTCAGTGATTAACTCATACATTCAGGACTTCATCAAACCCCATCGGCCTCAGATTGGATTAACTCAATGTGAAGCAGCGTCTGGTGGAAAGCGAGCATGGATATCTACCCCCGGCCCAGCGGAGAGATCCAGAGGAGGAACCCTCAGCACGACTTCGAGCTCCTCCAGAGGGTGGGCAGCGGCACGTATGGAGACGTCTACAAGGTACAGAGAAGTCGTTAGAGCTGCAGATATGTGGCTTCAACGTCACGTGACTAATCAGCTTCATAAGAGCGCTGTTTGTTTTCAGCCGTGATAACATGTGGCTAACACATTTGGCAGTAGCTGTTGAACGAGAGCCAGGTTTCTGCATGCTTTGTTACAGCCTTCTGCAGCTACTTAAAATATACTTATTATTAGCAGGATAAACTGCAGTTGACAGCACATAAGGGTTGGATTCATACTGTTACTCATCTGACAAAACTGTCCTATGAAAAAGTTAATTAAGAGTGAGATATAACACAATTATTAGTTGATCAAAAGCAAATGGAGCTGCAATGAAAGGTAATAAGCAACAGACATGTCTTTTAAATGCTGTTTCGAGTCTCTCAAACCTGGAGATTTGCTGTGTATATCTGTTTTATATCAAATAAAAGTGAATATTTGTAGCTTTTGGACTGATAAAACGAGACCTCTAAAGACGACACCTTGTAACTTTTGAAGTATGATGGACATCTTTTAACTTTTTCTGACATTTTATACACTAAACTAGAGTGATTGATATTCAAATGAATCGTCCCGCAGCCTTAAAAATAAATAAATACACAGTTATTGATTCATTCATTCAGTCAAATGCCAAACCGTTGCTGGTTCCAGCTTCAAAATAAAACTGTGTTTGGGTTTCAGACTGCGGGTCACGCACAAGGAATTGTCTCTATCTTTTTAAATGTTATAAACAATTAGTGAATATTAGGGCTGAAACATTTGGAGTGAATGTGTAATCAAGATTATTTTTGGACTGATATTGCAATTGCTATATGAGTCACGATATTGGAGGTAATTCGTTATTAGCATTTCCATTGAAACATATTTACAAATAATCATTGTGCCACTTGTCAGCTTTGCAGGATCAACATTTTATATTGAGAAGGTATTTTGACACAGGCAGTCTTTAACACATATTGTACCATTTGGATAGTAAGTGCGATATCAATCAAATTCCCATAAACCGTTTAGACTTATCTGTTAAGCAAGAATTAAGTCTGCAGATTATTATATTATAAAAAATAGTTGCAGTTCTAGTTGTGTTTCCCTCGTTATGCAAGCTGCATTACAGTGAATTAAATACTTTCCTGGACCTGTTTGACTGAGAGATTAACAGTGACTGCTTGTACCTGCTTGCCCTTTTTACCCACAAAACTTAGTGTTTTTGTCCCAGTCCTTAGTATAAAGAAAGCAGGATAAAAGCATGGATATTGGCTTACAATCAGTTAAGAGAGCCGAGCCAAATGATCCGGCTCACTAACGTAAAAAGACAGTATCGCTCTCGGGGTGGACGCCCTCTCAGCCCTGGTCTGACGGAAACACTGATACATATTTCTTGTTATATATTGTGAAACAAGGTGTACATATTTACATTATACTCTAACTTCTCTGTTTAAATTGCCATTTTTTTAGCCACGTGAATCAATAAAGTATCTCTCATTCTGAATAGTATTACATTATTTGTGTTATCTTATACTTCAGAGCGTTGTGGAGTCCAAAAGTCAACATGAAGCAAATACCAAATATTCTGCTTTCGCTCATTTTTGTTGACTTTTGTTTGCAGCCTTAGTCAATAACGATACTCACTATCTTCGGGTCGCAAAATAACAGAGTGTAAAAAAAAAAAGAAATCTTAAAGAGCAGAAGCACCTTGGCACTCACCTCTCAAAAACATGCATATTCATAATAAATATACTTTTTCTACAATACATTTCCTCTAAAACTGCGTCAGTTTTAAACAAATTGCAATAAAACAATATATTTGACATTAACCAGTCACAAACAAACTGCTAATTTAAACCTTTGAGCTGCTGTGAGTCAAAGATGTTTTTTCCTTTACACCAGAAATATTTAAACTCTGGGTCAGTCCAGTTTCTGGCACGCCGTCTGCTTGTTTGACCTTTGAACAATTGCACATGTTCCTGTCTGAGAGCGAAACTGACTCAAGTTCATCTGAGTTAGTAACCTCAAAATAATGTGATGAAACCACCTGAAGGGGCAAAAGGATCAAATAAATACAGTGCATTTCTATTTCCTCTCTGAATATGCAGACCTGCAGATCATGTACCATTATTATCAGGGTATATGCAGGAATCCTGAAGTCAAATATAAGACCTTTTTTAAGACCCTTTCCATACATTTTAAGTAGGGATGTCCCGATCACCTTTTTTTGCTCCCGATCCGATTCCGATCATTTGATTTTGACAATCTGCCGATACCGATTTTTCCCGATCCGATCTTTATGCAATGCATTAAGAGAAAAAAAAGGTAACAGATAACGGCTGGTCATCCAACGCGATGAATTCAGCTATCTTGGCTGTTATTTTGTTGGCCTTTTCACTGTTCTGGGGCAGTTTCTCTTTCCTTTTAAAAGTCTCTGAAAGTGTCGGTTGTTTCAGTGCCGTTACCTGAGTGGCCGCTGTGTACTCGTCGTGTTGTTGGTGGTGTTTGTATTAGATTGGTCATGTTGAACGTAGCTCTGTTCTTTCCACCACGCGGAACCTCCGCCTTGCAAACATTGCATCTGGCTGTTACACTGCCTTCGCTTTCAATTTTATAATACTTCCAAACTCCTGACATTTTCTCTGTCCCGACTCCCGAGGCACCAGCTGAACGTAGCCTCTCGTTAGCTTACTGCTACTATTAGACACTGCGCCCACTCTGTTGCCAGATTTGAGAGAAATAAGCAACCAGGTCTTTGAAAACAAGCCCAAAAGAAGCAACACATACATGATGTTGTGTAATTTTAAACCAAAACTAAGGCCTCAGGATGACTTTAAGATGTGAACATGGTCATTTTTGTTTTGTAACATTAAATAAAATTATTAAAAAAAATTATAAAAAAAAAAAAAAAAAAATCCGATCCCCGATTTTTTTTCTCCCGATTCCGATCTTTTGAAAATCACGTGATCGGCTCCGATCCCCGATCACGTGATCGGATCGGGACATCTCTAATTTTAAGACCTCATCGCCACTTGGAGTTTTAACCGGTTACCTTGGCGACACACTTTACCTCACATTGACTATATACAGTATTGATTGTCCTTCCTCCTTATCTTCCAACCATTTGGACGCAGACTTGCATTTCCCCATAACGATGTTTAACAACCGGCGTAAACGGGCCTTCGCGCGCTATCAAGCAGTGAGCGTGCGATGTCCTGTTCAGATGACGTCAAATCCAACGGGATGCCATAAATACACTACACAGAATCACACTACACACCTACGCAATGATTACATTCAGGCAAACTGTAGAATACAACCTCTTTGGACAATTTATATACTTATTGAAAACAAGCTACAAAATGTAATACCTTGGGAAATGCCGTTTAATACTTTTTAATAGCCTTCATTTTCGCTAAATTGATTGATCAACTTTTAATACTTTTGAAGACCCCTGATTATGGCTTCATATAAATGATATGACTCGTTAAAGCACCGGCTCTTTCGGCTCCCAAACGGCTCTTCATGTTACCACGGAGCCTCAGTTTCACCGCTGCGAGGCTCTGGTGCTCGCAGCTCACGCGCGTGCACCACTAGCACCGCTCATCGCGTCCAAATCGCGCACGTTCCGTGTTGTCTTGTAGCAGGCACCGCCGATGTCGGGGAAACCATCTTTTTCCTTTTCGTTATTTCAAGCGATAAAAACTCTCGATCTTCTCTCGAATTATTAATATTTTTGGACGCCCTCGGCTCGAGTTCAGGGCGCCTCTCTAGGTCGTCCTCAGACGAGCCCTCCATCGTCGCTTCCAGTCATCCCGGTTCTCCGTATAGGATTTGGGATGACTTTGTTCTTCAGCGTCCCGAGCTGAATAAGGGCGTCAAATGACGGCAAGACGCCCCCCCTGGCGGAAACGCTGATATGTACATTACAATATATGGAGTTGTGTATTATTATTATTATTATTAGTGATGATGTTATTGCTGAAAATGATATCTATGGTTAAATCTCAAAAAGTAAGTTATACAAGAATATTGCTCGAAGGGGTACAATTATTCGTTGATCAAAAGAAAATACAACAGCAATGAAAAATAGTTGGCAACTGTTTTGTTAATGGATTTATAAAACATTTCATCTCAGAAAGGATTTATTCCGCCTCTAAATCTGGAGTTCTGCGTCTTTTCTCCGTTTCAAATCATATTAAATGGAATATTTTGGGGTTTTTGGGACTGAAAAAACAAGACATCTAAAGACTTATAGAAACTACAATCGAAATGATTCACTAATTCTTGACTAAATCTAAATTAATTTGCAGTTATCGAATAATTGATTTATCCAAATGTCAAACATTGGCTTGGTGTGCCAGGTCCTCAGGTCATACACAAGTATAGTATATATGTTTTTATTATATGAAATAGCTTTGGACTCTGGGTCATACACAAAGTACTTTTGAAGATGTCCCTGTAGAAAACTAAATCTTCCCAGCTTTCAAATGTTGATAATAAATTATAATAATAATAATAATTAGCGGAGGCTGTGGCGCAGTGGGCTAGTGCGTTGGTGTTGGGATCATGGGAGCACAGGTTCAAACCCCACTGCAGTCAGCATGTCGTTGTGTCCCTGAGACACTTCACCCCAAATTGCTCCTGTGGGGATTGTCCACAGTATTGAGTATGTAAATCGCTTTGGATAAAAGCGTCTAACAAGTGACATGTAATGTAATAATAAAATGTATTTGTATAGCACCTTTCATGCACAAAGCCGACCAAAGTGCTTTACAGAAAACATGACAACAATATTAAATTATACAGAACAAGATAAAACATCTACAGTGTTAAAATAAAACAATTTAAAATGTCATTGGATGTCAAAGTACCATACACACTTAGCTGAACAACATGCTGTATCCACTGTGTGTCGGCTGCAGAATTGTGTTGTTTATGCATCTGCCACAGTCGAGTGGAGTCTGATCTGATGATAGTTCATGCTGTCAGGGTCCCTCTCCACACAAAGCCTCTGTGCAGCCCCCCCCCCCACCCCCCCAGCAGGCCACCGGTGGAATGCAGCGCCTGGTATTCTGCAGCCGCTCGCAGGCGGAGGCTGAAATCTGATCGGCCCTGTCCAAACACGCGTTGTGAGGGTGTGTTCAGGAGCACCTCAGAGGGAGGAAAGTTGTCTTATGGCAGGGGTGTCCAAACTTTTCTCACAGAGGGCTACATACAGAAAAATATACGAAGGGCTGAGCCACTCACTAGAGGTTTATCGCCTCATAAGTTCAGTTATAAGTTAGCCAAATTAATCAAATGTAGGTGAATGATGCTTGTGAGTGTTGGCAGCTCATCCCTTAAAGCAGAAGCCTCAGATTGATTATAATAAGGAGAAATAGGAAGTGTTTATTTCAAGCTTGTTATGTAAATAAGTCATTGGGCTTTTTTTCTTATCAACTAAGATGTGTTAGAAAATGTTTCCAACTTTAATTGACTGAATTTATTTGAAAAGTGGTCTCATTAACACATGAATACTACTGTGTAATATATGTTTACATTTATATTTAAAAAGCACAATATAAGACAAGCACAAGTTTCATTTATTTGCCGATTCAAAATGGGCCGCATTTGGCCTTTGTTTTGCTCTAATTGTCATAATGATTCATTTGGTTATAACATCAGACGCTGGGTTGATGGATTCAGTGTTAAAGTAGTGCAAAAATGCCGGAAAATGCAGTTTTTAGCCTCAAATCCGAAGATTTCTTGCTTTTATTTGTCTATTTAACATAAAAGTGAATATCCTTGGCCATTTAAAGACTTCACTTTGGACTTTTTCGAAACTATGATGGACATTTTTCAATATTTTCTCACATTTTCTACACCACAAGTTGGTTTTCATTATCAATACATTTTTTAAATACTTTTAAGAATGAAACGTTTGTCTAGAACTACAGCAGTCCTAGTTTGGTTTATAAAATGTGGAAAAATTGTGAAAAATGTCCATCCCAGTTTTTCAAAATCCTAGGTAAAGCTTTAAATGTCTCACTGTAGCAAATCTCCATATTGAAGAGGCGGAAAACTGGTTATGTAGAAAACTCATGAGAAAGAGGATGTTTGCATAATAGGTGACCTTTGTAAATGAGTACTTTTCAATAGCTTACTAATCATCATATACCAGATTCTTATTATTCTCAACAAGAGAAGTAAGAGTGAGTAATGTAGGTGAGTGTACTGATACTAGTGTCAAAGTTAAATGACAAAAAAGGGAACCAATGAATCTTCCACCTTCACTATGCCTTCATAGTTTGCAAAAATAACATGGAAGTGTTCAAAGTTGTCAGTTTCTGCAGTTATATAGACATCAGGCTCACCTTTTTACTCTGACAATGTGATTTTGTGTAAGATTTTGTCTCTTTTAGAGCTCTGTTCAATGCCAGAATGCTTCTTCCAGTCACAGGTTGTCTCAAGCCTTGAAGTTTTGTCTCACATATTTGAGCGGTCGCTGCAGAAACTTCCCCTTTCTGTGTTTGTCTACTTCAGGAAATGCAAAGATAGCCACAGGTTGTTAGCAAGAATGTGGTCATCACTTAAACAGGTTTTAAGCAGAATAATGACTTGTAAACAGTTATCTACACAAATATGCCATAATCCCGTAAAAAACACATTTGTACACAGGTTTTTTCTGATATTTGTGTTTGTGTGTATGCACTGTTTGTCAGCTGCAGAACGATCTGTCTATGGGTGCGTTTCACTTCGGTTAAATGGATTCCTTGCGTCCCTCACTTGCGTCATTTCCCTGCGACTAGTCCCTCCCACCAAGGAAGCATGCTGAGACGCAAGGAAACCACGAGAAGCAGGGAAATTAGTTTTAAGAGCAACGGGACGTCGTTTCCTCCGGAGCGTCACGGGAAGCGACGTCCGTTTGTGATGACGCCGCACAGCTGATCGTCTGACAGCAGCCAGATCAGTGCATGCGCTGCATCGTCCAATCGGTGAGCGATACACAGTAAGGGGGCGGGGCGAGTGGCTGAGGATTTCTCCGGAGGATGGTCTGGTAGTTCCTCGATTATCGCTCCTCCGGCAAAAATAAGGCCACTGGGACGGTACTCAAGATGGCGCAGACGAATCAACTTCCGGTGATACCGAGCCCGAGGAGCGAAGAAGTAAGAGAAGTGAAACGCACCCTATGTGTGAATCGGCAGCACATTCCCTGTGTTGAAAGGGTTTTATGGTTTCGGTTGATATAGCTATTCGTACCATCACTCCCCCGGATTAGGGAGCATCCCGTCTTGACCTGGATTTATGTCAGTGCAGCCTACTTGAAGATGGAAAGTTCACAAAGTATGGATGTATATGTTCAAAGCCTTTGAGATGTAGACGTTGGTACAATAGAATATTAAACTTTGAAGATGTTTCCGTTCAAATATACAGAAACAAAATGATTCCACTCTTCAGATTGACTGACTCTTTCATCATCTACAAACAGGGATATTAAAGATTTATGTCGTCCAGCATGAGGTCTGGGGATGATGCCTGTTTAAGCTGATTTACGGTTTGATCTTATTTAGGATTATAATGATGTTTAAGCTTAAAGCAACCCTGATGAGGTACGTTAACCCACGTCAAACAGCAAGAGAGCTGCAGGAATGAGTCCTAAACCAAGAAACGCTTACTATTTTAGCACTTCCTGTTCCCTTGTGTTGAAGTCGATGTGTTTTTGGTTGTTAGCCTGAAAGAAGGTCTGTGGTTAACACCAGAGAAGAGATTTTAAAGTGTTGTCCTATGACATAAAATACATCAGTAAATACCCAACTGGTGATTTGAAAAACTGTGGTTTCTAACAAGTGTCTAAATGAGACGAATAAACGTCATCACGCCCAACGTTAGCCACCTTTAGCTTAGCGGTGTTGACGTGAAGTCATGTGACCGTGCTGTAGTTCCTTTATAGCCCAACGTTAGCCGCCTTTAGCTTAGCGGTGGTGACGTGAAGTCATGTGACCGTGCTGTAGTTCCTTTATAGCCCAACATTAGCCGCCTTTAGCTTAGCGGTGGTGACGTGAAGTCATGTGACCGTGCTGTAGTTCCTTTATAGCCCAACGTTAGCCGCCTTTAGCTTAGCGGTGGTGACGTGAAGTCATGTGACCTTGCTGTAGTTCCTTTATAGCCCAACGTTAGCTACCTTTAGCTTAGTGGTGGTGACGTGAAGTCATGTGACCGTGCTGTAGTTCCTTTATAGCCCAACGTTAGCCACCTTTAGCTTAGCGGTGGTGACGTGAAGTCATGTGACCGTGCTGTAGTTCCTTTATAGCCCAACGTTCGCCGCCTTTAGCTTAGCAGTGGTGACGTGAAGTCATGTGACCGTGCTGTAGTTCCTTTATAGCCCAACGTTAGCCACCTTTAGCTTAGCGGTGGTGACGTGAAGTCATGTGACCGTGCTGTAGTTCCTTTATAGCCCAACATTAGCCTCCTTTAGCTTAGCGGTGGTGACGTGAAGTCATGTGACCGTGCTGTAGTTCCTTTATAGCCCAACGTTCGCCGCCTTTAGCTTAGCGGTGGTGACGTGAAGTCATGTGACCTTGCTGTAGTTCCTTTATAGCCCAACGTTCGCCGCCTTTAGCTTAGCGGTGGTGACGTGAAGTCATGTGACCGTGCTGTAGTTCCTTTATAGCCCAACATTAGCTTTTTACTTCTGGAGATTGCAAACACAACACCGCCTCTATTCAAATGTAATAACCGTTGTTCATAAATGTGTACTTAATGTATTGTGCTTTACTCCTTGTTTCATGTGTTCAAAATTCCTCTGTCTTTTTTAATTCAATGCAATGCCAATCACAGAAAATAGGAAAGTATGTACTCATGTTGAATTAGACTGATTAGAGAGATGTTGTGGTCGTGTACCACAGTTCAATATTTCCACTCCACTTCTCTCTGAGTCGAAAGGATTATCCAAATGGCATTTATTGGTTTAATGCGTATGTAGGCCAAAACTGTCAGGGATGAACCGTCAGAATACAGTATCATGCTACAGTATAGAGCTCAAGGCTACAGCAGACCACATATTTTCAGTATTTTGAAAATGTCTCATGTCTAAAAAATGTAAGAAAATATTAAAAGTTGTCCATTGTAATTACTCTAACCCTACATTAGGTTAGCCAACAGTCCAAAAGCAAAAGATATTCAATATTATCAAATAAAATAACCAAAAAGTGACGAAACCCTCACATGAGTCCCTGGAACTCAGAAATGTTTTAGTTTTTTTTTTAACAGAAACATGTCCAAAATCAATTATTAAGTAGCTGTTTATTGACCAATTAAACTACTTGGTTTGTCTTTAACAGTTGGACCACCAGTTTTGATTAAAGCAGTAATATTGACAGTATTCCTGACCAATATGTTGTTGTTGTTGTTGTTTATTTCAGGCGCGAAACATTAAAACTAGCGAGCTTGCTGCTGTGAAGATCATAAAGTTGGAACCAGGTAAGAGTCTTTCTCTTTATCTCAGTTTTAATAATAATACTAATTCTGCTTAACAGGGCCTGCTATAGTTTTTTGCTCATAGACCCACTGTTGTTTATATGTTTCTTTTTACAAGTGAATTAATGATCTTAGTTCAAAATCCCCAAAAGTTCTGTATACATTGTTTGTACAAAGTCTTAGTATACATTTGAACCATCCAGGAATCCTTTGATATTTACAAAGTTACAGCAAAGGTACATAAAAAGGCAAAAGTAAAGAGTAAACTTGCATATTAAATTAAGTCGCAAGCACACGTTAATACAAATAAAAACAAATAAGTTCACAGCCATGGTACCTAGCCGTTATCAGAAATAATCACAGCTGCTTACAAACCAACAGTGACATGAAACCAACCAACCGATCAAAAGTCAACATAACAATTAACCACATGGTGACCATCTTAAAAAGAAGCGTCTGGGGAAAAATACATTTCATTTTTATTTGTTCCGTTCATGGTATGCACAACTTAATGTATAACAATTATTTGCAAAACATGTCTCTATGTGCACATAACTGGTATGCATGCGCGGCAAAAATCTGAAATGCGTACCGTCACTTGTGTCACAAAGCGCATATGCGTACCGACGTACTTGTGAAACCTTTCTAGAAGGCGGTTAGATCACCGGAAGACAACGTCGGTCTCCGTGTGCACAGACAGGGCTGCTGTTAACGTCGGTCTGTACAACGGACTCCCCCCCCCTTCTGTGCCCTGCGCACACACAGTTGATCACAACGTTCACTTTCCTGAAGTACTCCACTAGCCCCCGTGATACGTTCGCGATACAGAGGGCTTCATCACACAACTTTAAGTGGAGTCAGAAGTTGGAGTACCAACCACTGACTCCAGGTACTCATCTGAGTACCTCACTGAGAACGTTATGTGCACCCCTGCCTATAAACACACCATACCTGAAAAGGGGGTTAGAATGTTCTTTTCTTAATCACAGCCAATCATAACAGTATCGTAGGAAAATAAGAGAATCACAAAAACTTACAAAAAAAAAAATACTTAGTTCCCAGTTGACAGAAAGAAACAAAACAAAGAAACGACACCAAAACATCACATGTACAAAGAAAAGTGCAACACCCTCATCTGAGTCCTACTGGAGTAGAAGGGGGGAAAGCGGCGCATAATAATAATAATAATTATAATAATAATAATGGGACCTGCAAATAAAGAACCGACATCACAAATATTTACCATAATACATACATTTATTCACATTCCGCTTCGTATAGTCCCATTTTTCTTAATTTATACAACTTTAACAGAAAATGATGATAAAAGTAATCAAATCAAATGCAGATTGGGGTGATTTGAGATGTTTTGTGTGGTGAAGGAAGGAGGCTGTGGTGCCTGTGTGGGGATGACCTACTGACAGAGTGGAAACAGATTAGTGGGATTACGATGAGCTTTGTACCACCGGAGACCAGACTGAGCTCGGATGATCACCAGAAAGAGTCCCTTTTCTCTTTCACTCGCACCTCTCTGTTTGTGTTAGAGAGGAGGTGTTCGTCTACACCTCAAGTATCATCTCATCCTGTATCTGAGAATTCATTTTGAAATGATTGCTCTGAAATCTCACTTCCTGATGAGTCTGTAGACGTCTTTAACTATTATTTAAAGGCTTAGATATATTCTACTGAGGTATAGGAGGAGGGGGATTAGCGTGTGTGTGTGCGTGCGTGTGTTAGTGTGTGTAAGTGTGTGTGTGTGCGTGTAAGTGTGTGAAGCAGAGGATCAGCTGGCTTAGCTCTAACTTTGAGGAAAAGTCAGAAGGAGAAACAGGAAGTAAATATTCCTGCCATGACTTTTGATTCGATAGAATAGAAAAAGTATATATCAATTCCACCCAAAAAATAAATGCACTCGGGGGGCTTCAAAGAATCTGCTGATTATTGTCTTGATTAATAGATTTAAAAAAATGAAGGTGATGTCTTTGAAAATACATGAATACAAGTTACAGTGCAGTGCAAGAGATGAATAGTTCAATTAAAAGCAGCGGCAAAGAGAAAAGTCTTCAGCCTGGATTTAAACGTAGTAAGAGTTTCAGCGGACCTGCAGGTTTCTGGGAGTTTTTTAAAAACCACTCATATTTATTATATTCCTGTTTACTTAGATATTTGTAGGATAGCCGCAGCCCGGGTCATCCTGTTTTAGCAGGACTCTCCTTTCTTTACCTCCACGTTTATCCAGAGTCACTCCACTGGGCCTCAGGTAAACAGCTTTGGGCGGAGGCAGAATGAAACAGGTTAGACGGGAGGAGGAGTGACGGCCGTGTGAAGAGGAGGGAGTGTAGAGGAGTGTAGAAGGCCTCTGGCTGCAGCTTAATCTGATTATCTGCATGGTAAACAACTATTTAAGATCAATTAGCGCTGGTCACTTTCTGAGAAGGAGATAATTTATCTTTACTTACCTTTTTCCTCCTCGAAGTCAGTTATTATAAACACTATCATTAGTCCTCTTTTCATTCCTATGACAAGTCATTTTATCGTTGAGAATAAGGACCAGCCCCTTGGCAGTAGAGATGTAGCTGCAAGCCGTTTGGGTGTGGAACAACGTCCCAGCATGCAGTTGGGCTGCAGTAATCTAGAAGAAAAATGGGAAATGGGGAAAAATAAATCTACATATTATCTGTAGTTTTCCATAAAGTGGTCACAATGCACATGTGCTCTCTACCTGGGAGCCTTAATGGTTATTTGCAGCATATAACCTTATTGTTATTTTCAATATTTTCTACTTGTATGATAACAACAGACCCAAATCCACCAGGCTACAAGCTACCTGAAGGCATAGGTTACACATTTAGACCCCTCTCAATAAAAGAATGGATCAAGCCTCGATTCCACATAGAATATTCATTTGTCGCTAATTTCGTATATTATATGAAGTACGCCCCTAGTGTTCATTGCACTGAAAAGCTTCTTTTTATTGATGTTTTTCTAATGAATAGAAACACCTCTGTAGTTATGGTAGAGAATTAGATTTGTTTTAGCATTTTTTGTTGCTAAGTTTTATGGAATACCTGAAGCATTAATGACAATTTATTTTAAAATATTGTATATGACCGTAATGGTAAACCTACCCACTTGTATGCAAGGTCTTTTTTAGATGGTGTAGGCTGTAACTTATACTTCATTCACAACGTTTTAAACTGCTGAACTAGTTTAAAGGCTGAGCTCAATTGAAACAAGAGCACAGAAATGAAGTAAATACCATATTTTCTTTAGGTGGAGATGTTAGAGCACATGTGTCAAACTCAAGGCCCGGGGGCCAAATCCGGCCCTTGGTGGATTTAATTTCGGCCCACAGGATCATTTCTAATTACTATTAGATCTGGCCCTCTGGTATATTGCACGCACACCTTCACTCAATCCTGAGGGTCTCCTCAGCTCAGAGCCTGACCCCAAACATTGATGAACTTGCACCCAAGATGAGATGCCAAGTATCTGGCTTGAGCTAGCATCACAGAGCAGCACACTGAGTTTACATGGATGTTTCCTTCTGCACTTTTTCTCTCACGACAACAGGGCATGTTTGGTTTGTTCTTTGAGGGAAATAGTTTTTTTGAAGCTGTTGTTGGCCTGTGGAAAAATGTAATCATAAGAAATAAAGCTGCAGATAGAGCCATAAGAAATGAATGCAACTGATTATTTAATGTTTAATGTTGTTTTTATAGGCAATCATTTAAGCTTTGTTAGTTCTAGGTTTAATATGTGCAATAAGTTCATTTAAATAAGTTTTGCAATAAACATTGAACCAGTCCGGCCCTCGACTAGTACCCATTTTTACATTTTGCCCCACTGTGTATTTGAGTTTGACACCCCTGCATTAGGGAAACACTCATAAGGTATGCATTTCACCAGCAATTGTGCCACCAGTAAGAAATTGATTGGAAAACAACAAACCGGAGCATTTATCTCTACCAAGTTATTGATGTAGATTTCATTTCATTTCATTTCAAACCTTTATTTATCCAGGTTGTATCCCATTGAGATCATTGATCTCTTTTTCAAGGGAGACCTGCTAATCTTATAGTTAAACTGACTCAATATCTGTCATATCACACCAGCATGAGATTGGTAGAGATTGAATAAATCCAACTCGTTAAATAGAAGCTTGTTGTGTGAAGTTGTGTGAAGATGTGTGAAGATTTCACAGAGCAGAAGGAAGCGTTCACAGGAAGTGGCTTCACTCTCAGGCCTCCTCTCACCAACAAGAGATGTGATGTTTTAAAAAAAAATGTTTAACCAAACTCAGTAATGCCACTGAAAATACCCCTGCTCACATTTCTGTGGCTCCTCGCACGCTTTCTCTCTGTCAACACATGTGGGAAACGTTTGTGATCAACAGTAGTTAGCCTTAAATTAAAAACACTCTAATTAAAATACAGTGATATATGTCATTGTGACCTAATTCAAGTGTCATCTTTTCCTTACAGCATGTGGCAAACAAAGACGAATGCAACATTATTTCCATGTTCGTCATCATTAAAGCCTCATCATGAGACACCCACTACTGTACGTCTTTCTTATGCAACAGAAAAGCAATACACAAGTAGGGAAATACAGCTTACATTTTACAAATAGAAAGGAAGGAGTCAAACTGAAGGATTAATATCGTTGATTATACTTTTTTTGAAAGAGTAACAGACTTAACATGCATCTGTAAAACATGTTTTAATAGGAAATGCATATGATTAGCTTGTAGGATCAGGGTTCTTACGGTCATTAAAAACCTGGAAAAGTCATGGAAATTCAAAATGCTAATTCCAGGCCCTGGAAAGGTTCTGGAAAAGTCATGGAAATGTAACTAAAGTTGCATCAAATATAATTTATATTTTATCTAATCGCAGAAATAGTAATACTATAATGATAATAAATACTGTATCGTATAGTAATGAAACGTAAAATGGCATTTAACTGACGAGGTGTTTTGCTGGTGAGAGATTTTAGTAGAGTGTAGAAGCTAGTAAGCCTACTATTTGATTTGTTTTAGATAGGCACAACATGTTTCATATGCAGACCTTTATTTCCATGTTAAAATAAACAATTTTCAGTGGTACCGCTGAGAGTCATTTTTTTGGTCATGGAAAATTAGGTAAAGGTCCTGGAGAAGTCATGGAAAATCATTGGTGAAAAAGTGTATGAACCCTGTAGGATGGTCTGTAACAGAGTGCTGAACATTTGAGAGACTTTGCATGAATATGATTTAAGGAGGAAGTTGATTCAAGTGATATAATGTCATGTAGCAGAGTACACTCCTATTTACAGTACATTGCATGCTCATAATCTCCCACTGGTGACTCCTGTTGTACAATCATCATCACAGCTGTTTAAAAGCTAAAAATAATGTGTGACATGTCTCCTCCCGTTCTTAAAGATTAACGTTGCTTATAATTGTATTCTTTGTTATTGTCAATCTCATGGAAATTCCTCCATGAGTTAGTCGAGCTTTCAGTATTCTCTGACATCTGTTGTACTAAATCTGAAGCCCTTGGGACCTTCTAAAGACGAAAGTAACAGATATATGAAATGAAATATGACCTTTGTGATTATTATTACACCGTCACTAGTGATGCAGGTTGTTGTGTTTTAATGTAGGTAAGATTTCCAATAGTTGCATAATGTCACTAAATACCCTAATTAGTAGCTGAGGGTAATTTCAAAGCTCACGTTGAAATGTTAATTCTCTTGGTTGTTGTTTATCAGCTGGATGATTTCACACATGTTGGCATTGCAGACGCTTAGAGAGAGAGAGCCTGACCTTTCCCACTGAAAACACCACTGCTCTTTTCATTTTTTTTATACAAATGAAATGATGTTTGTGTGCTCAAAGACTCCTCTGTGGTCCAGGATGTATCTCTGGTGGTTTTCTCCCAGAGTTCAGACGTCTGGAGCTCTGAATCAGAGTAAAGAGCAGGTCAACAACCAGCTGGTGTTGGCTGCCAAATCTAACTTTGAACACTATTTTGTGAGACAGTAGATTTTTACAACAGAATTAATCCATTAAAAATACCTTTGTTTACATGTAAGGTCGTAGGGCACATTTTGGACTATATGTCAACAAATCTAGCATTTTGGTCTCATTTGACTTTTTTCTAGTCGACAAGTCCTTTTGCTTTTTTCATGCTGACTTATTTATGACTGATGAGCACATCTCTGGTAAACACAAGATTGAAGTTGGTGCTTTGCATGACGGTACGTCCACACGGCAGCGTGCCGGTGGGCGTGTCTGGCGTGCGACCAACAACCAATCACATGAATCTCCCGCCCCGGACACACAAGCACGCGGTTTGATTGGCTAGAGCTTGTAGTGGCATATGATTTGATTGGCTGGCGCTTCCGTCGACGCTTGAAAAGTTGAACTTTTCTCAACTTTCGAAGCGAGCAACGGAGGCAAAGCGACGCGACGGAACCACAATGCAGTTTGGCAAAGCGTGACGTCACCCCATTCAAAGTGAAAGGGAAGCGTCTCCGTTGAAGCACGCAACGCTGCCGTGTGGACGGACCGTGACTCTGTAGAATAAGAACTTCTTTAATCAAGTAATACCCTTCAAGATTACTTAAAAGGGTTCCTTAACATCCTTAAAAAGTCTTAATAAGCATTGATTATATCTAAAAAATGTATACGTTTCATTGGTATTAATAAGCCCCAAATCTAATTTCTTGAGTCTGGAAAAAAGGAGCTTCGGCATTAGGATTTACTTTCTCACATTTCAATTTAAAATTACAAAATAATTGTCCTACATCAACTGAAAATAAAATGAACAGATGTTAGCAGATTAGGATAGTGGAATAAAACAACATTTTTAATTTTGTTTGTTTTAAGATAAACTGTCTGCCAGATAGCAACGACCTTGGTAAATGCTTCATGTTGCATTAAACATTTCTGCAACATTGGTTCCTCAATTTTTGTAATTCTGTAAAAATAGTTTTACATTTTAATTCTGATTTGTATTTTAAGAAACTGTAAAAAAGTCTTAAATCTCCCTTTACCTGAGCTGAAGGTTTTTGTTTGACCATTTTATTTTTTAAGACGTTTTTTGTTGACAGTAATCACTGAAGGTATGTGCAATGTTTTGGCAGAAGATGTGTCCTGTAAATGAGTTTATTCTGTAGTGAGTCAGTTGATAAAGCGCTCTGGCAGCAGCTGGCTTTACATATTTTATTTCCCTCTTCCTCCTTCCTGGTCGGATGTGTTAGTGCTGTACTGGATATCAGCCGATACCACATAAACCTTAAAAGTACAAGGTGTTCTCTCTATTGTCATTGGCTGTTCAATAATCCGCGGTATTTACACAGCAGATTAAAGCATATGGTCAGAGGGAAGAACCCGTTCTCCGGGTTTCACTTTGGCAAACTAAACGGAAATATTTTTCTCAACCTTTTTATCATCAGAGAATAATTGTGTGGTCCTTCCTGTAGATTTTATTCATGAAACATAAACCAAATAGTTGTAATTTTAAGGCTATACAACCGTTTTTATGTGGTGTTTATTTCTTAATGGAAAATGTTAAATTGTTCCCTGAGTTAAGTCTCACTCTTTGTCCGTGTGCCTCTGATTTCTCCTGTTTCCAGGGGACGACTTTTCCATCATTCAGCAGGAGATCTTCATGGTGAAGGAATGCATGCACCACAATATTGTGGCCTACTTCGGCAGCTACCTCTGGTAAGAGCCAGCTGGAAATACTTCTGCTTTGTCATTTTACTCTCTGTGTTTTCTCCTCTCTCACAGACAGCGACCGTGTGAGGTTCATACGCTTCTGTGAAAAGGATTTGAAGCAGCCGCTGCCTGAAACTCACATGATGTTTAATTATTGAGTCACACCTGAGTGTGAAAGTGTGACGCAGAGCTCAAACTGGCCTTCAGAGCCAGGATGTAGCTCCAGAGGTGGAAGAAGTACTCAGATCTTGTACTTGAGTAAAAGTAGAAGTATTCAGATCTTGTACTTGAGTAAAAGTAGAAGTATTCAGATCTTGTACTTGAGTAAAAGTAGAAGTATTCAGATCTTGTACTTGAGTAAAAGTAGAAGTACTCAGATCTTGTACTTGAGTAAAAGTAGAAGTACTCAGATCTTGTACTTGAGTAAAAGTAGAAGTACTCAGATCTTGTACTTGAGTAAAAGTAGAAGTATTCAGATCTTGTACTTGAGTAAAAGTAGAAGTATTCAGATCTTGTACTTGAGTAAAAGTAGAAGTACTCAGATCTTGTACTTGAGTAAAAGTAGAAGTACTCGGATCTTGTACTTGAGTAAAAGTAGAAGTATTCAGATCTTGTTCTTGAGTAAAAGTAGAAGTACTCAGATCTTGTACTTGAGTAAAAGTAGAAGTATTCAGATCTTGTACTTGAGTAAAAGTAGAAGTATTCAGATCTTGTACTTGAGTAAAAGTAGAAGTACTCGGATCTTGTACTTGAGTAAAAGTAGAAGTATTCAGATCTTGTACTTGAGTAAAAGTAGAAGTACTCAGATCTTGTACTTGAGTAAAAGTAGAAGTACTCGGATCTTGTACTTGAGTAAAAGTAGAAGTATTCAGATCTTGTTCTTGAGTAAAAGTAGAAGTACTCAGATCTTGTACTTGAGTAAAAGTAGAAGTATTCAGATCTTGTACTTGAGTAAAAGTAGAAGTATTCAGATCTTGTACTTGAGTAAAAGTAGAAGTATTCAGATCTTGTTCTTGAGTAAAAGTAGAAGTACCAGAGTGTAGGAGTACTCTGTTGCAGTAAAAGTCCTGCATTCAAAATGTTCCTCAAGTAAAAGTAGAAAAGTATTCTCATCAAAATATAGTTAAAGTAGCAAAAGTAAAAGTAGTCATTGTGCAGATTGGTCCATTTCAGAATAATAAATATGATAGGTTTTATAATGATTGATCATTAAAGTGTTCTCAAAGCTGGTAAAGGTGCAGCTAGTTTGAATGACTTTGTATACTGCAGGGTAGCTTGTGGATTTACTCCAGGTGGAACTAACGTCTGATTTAACACTTGATTATATTTCACATCATTCATCCACATCTGTGAAGTAACTAAAGGGATTAAATACATGTAGTGGAGTAAAAGTACACCATTTACCTCTGAACTGTAGTGAAGTAGAAGTACACAGTAGCATAAAATGGAAATGACTCGAGTACAAGTACCTCAATATTGTACTTAAGTGCAGTACTTGAGTAAATGTGCCCCCCCCCCCCCCTCTGTGCAGCTCTTCTGTTTTAATGCAGCCTGTGTTGTGGCTGACAGGAAGTCGCGCCGGTCCGCCCACCGCGGCCCCGACTTCCAGCAGGTTTAACTGGAACTGCAGCCTCTGATGTGTTTTATACGTCCACAGATGCATGTCTTATCACAGCAGGACCCGTCTCCACACACAGGAGCACAATGGCTTACTGTAAACTGTTAATGAGCAGCCCACCAACATGCCTTCATTATATATAAGACTACATTAATTATATTAGAAGAACCACCGTTTTTATTGGGGGAAATTTCCAGTTTCCTGGCCTGAAATCATTTCCATGTCCCGCTCTAAGCTGTGAGAAGTAGCACAGCTGTGATTGTATCCTCACCTCTGCTATCACAGCTTCATCACACTCACACTAGTTTTATTTTTAGCTTTTTGTCAGGCAGAGAGAGATCATGTTTACAGACAACTTAGTTTGTTTTTTCAACGGCAGAAGAGCATGACCTTTTTATACGGCTGCCAATTAGACATCTGTTGCTATCATAATCTCAATAACTATGCATATCTCGTTAAAGCACGTTTTCCGGTTATTAGATAAATAAATACTTTAGAATAGCTAATGGTTGATATGACAACATATGAAAATGCGCAACTTTAAATGGAGTTGTTATGTGTTATCTGGGGTTTTGCACGACTTCTTTATAGATGACTTTATTCATCGAGATGCTTTCTTCACAAAACGTTGCCTGGCCTTTCTGTGAATCAAAGTCTGCCTGTTCTCGATAAGGAACCAAAAAAAAACACCCAGGCATGTGTCACACTTTACAGAAGATGGTTTTCTTCTCAGTGTCTTGAGTTTTGTAGCTAAACAAGCTTTTCTTGTTCAGGTTGGGCTGAGTCAGAGACTGTTTCTGCATGTCGGGTCCTCTCCATGTTAGCAGACAGCGCCTCTAGGGTTTACTACAGGGTGTCCGCGGGGTCATAAAAAGTATTACAAGTTGATAAATCGATTTAGCGAAAATTAAGGCTATTAAAAAGTATTAAACGGCATTTTCCAAGGTATTACATGTTGTAGCTTGTTTTCAATAAGTATATAAATTGTCCAAAGAGGTTGTATTCTACAGTCTGCCTGAATGTAATCATTGCGTAGGTGTGTAGTGTGATTCTGTGTAGTTTATTTATGGCATCCCGTTGGATTTGACGTCATCTGAACAGGACATCGCACGCTCACTGCTTGATAGCGCGCGAAGGTCCGTTTACGCCGGTTGTTAAGCAACATGGTTATGGGGAAATGCAAGTCTGCGTCCAAATGGTTGGAAGATAAGGAGGAAGGACAATCAATACTGTATATAGTCAATGTGAGGTAAAGTGTGTCGCCAAGGTAACCGGTTAGAACTCCAAGTGGCGATGAGGTCTTAAAATGTATGGAAAGGGTCTTAAAAAAGGTCTTAAAAGGTTTTACATTTGACTTCAGGATTCCTGCATATACCCTGTTACTACAACTTCAATTTATATAGCCCAATATCAGAAATTACTCTTGTTTTCGGGGCTTTACCCTTACAGTAACAAGGAAAAACTCCCAAAGAAACCCCACAATTAACGGGGGAAATGGTAGAAAACTTTCATAGAGCAACAGAGAAGGATCCCTCTCCCAGGACGGACAGACGTGCAAAAGATCTCAGGTTTAGATATAAAAAAAAGATGATAAAATATCAACATAGGCAATCCAAATGTATAACAATTATAATAAGTATCTAAGTGCAAGGATCAGAGGGTTCAAATGATCTAAATATTGTCATGAAGCAGTTCAGTCGCTGATTTTTTTTCTTAACGGTAGAAATGCTAAACAAAAAACGTATAGGTTGGACATTTCTATTTTGTTTTGAATATATATATCATCATATTACTCTGCATTACTTGTTTATTAACATGTTGCATGTGCTGATTCGTAGAGCTTAACCTGTTCAACAAGACACTTTTGTTGAATGCTTTTGCTGCTTAATTATGTCTTTCTAGCTTCTGGCAAAGCAGCAGTTCCTAACTCAATATTTCCCTCTGTTTTGTCAGTCGCGAGAAGCTGTGGATATGTATGGAGTACTGCGGTGGAGGATCTCTGCAGGACATTTATCACGGTGAGCTCTTGTTATATATCACTAGTAAGATGCATTGCGGTCATAAAGTGGTTTTAAACACTGTGCAAACATTGTTAAACAAACATTAAATGCAACCGTGTTGTTATAGTGACGGGACCTCTCTCGGAGATTCAGATCGCCTACGTCTGCAGAGAAACCATACAGGTAATTTAAACATTGTTTTAAAAGAATATTTCAATGTTTTTGAATTGAACTAAGTACTGATTTTATAATTTCCCATGACAGGGTTTGGGATATCTTCACACCAAGGGCAAAATGCACCGTGACATCAAGGTATTATATTGTTCAAGCCTTAATTCATCCCATTGTTATGTGCCAACTACAGACACTTTGCATCCTGCCAACACATACAGATTTAAGGGGAACTACGCCTATTTTAAAACAGTTTTTCCTATGCTCTAAGATAGTGTTACCGCCTGGCTTATAGGCTGCAACAAAGATGGGAGACCAGACAACTTAAGTGTAACAAAAAGCGTATTTATCTACGATATAACAAAAACCAAAGGACTTCAAAGAAACCTAAGCAAACGTGGAAGTCAGTTATCAGTAATGATTGCGTGTATGGGTGTGTGAAAATGTGCAGAAACAAAGACGCGGCCGTGTCCAACAGAAGAGTGAGAGGGCAGTTTGGGTTGGTGTTGGCCTTTTATGTCGACGGCCTGAAACGCAAACAAGAGCCAGCAAGCAGAGCACAAAGGCAGAGACCCCTAGTGGAGTGGAGGGGGTCGTAACGGCCCGTCCACACAGCAGCGTTAAAAAAATCTTGGAGGTGGGCGTATCTGAAGCTTGGGGATTTTTTGCGAGCAAGGCACCAACAACCATTCACATGAATCTCCCGCCCCCGACATACGAAGCAAAAAAGCCCGAAGTAAACTGGATATAAACTCCCCAAACAGGCGAACACCTACCACTGTCTCTGCCACCTCCCTCCATGCCTGGCTCCTCCGGTTTGTATCCCGGTAGGTAAATAGGGACTGGTCATAAAGCACCGGGTGATTCCCTACCGCTAATTTCTCCTCCATTTTTTGGAATATGAGGAAATGACCTGCGGTATGTCTCTCCCAGCATACACGCCGTTTGATTGGCTAGCGCTTGAACTGTCAGATTTGCATACACAGGATTTGATTGGCTGACGCTTCCACCTCAGCTTCAAAAGTTGAACATTGCTCAACTTTGAATCCTGAAAATCCTGAAAATCTCCGCTCTGCTGCCCACAATGCAGTTCGGCGCAAAGTGACGTCACCCCATTCAAAGTGAATGGGCAGAAGCGTTTCAAGATTTTTTTTTAACGCTGCTGTGTAGACGGTCCGTAACAGATAGTCTCAACATATTAGAAATCATGAACCACGCTCTCCCAAATCCCCAAACTAGCATGCTTAACTAACATTTGTTCAAGAAGAAATGGGGAAGCTGGTAAAGAGGACACAGAGAGGACCCAGGGGAGGGTTCTGAGTATATGGGACATGTTCTAAAGATTACTTTGGTACACAAAAGAAAACAAACAGTCGGTGGATAAACAAACATTCATTTTTTATGAAGCAGCTCAGGATTTTGAATTATGATAAGTTTGAGACTCTGGTTTCTGTCTTTGAGATAAAGCAGCTCATGATCCCAAATATTATTCAAACCTTCCCATCTCACGGAAATAACATCCTGGGATTTTAATAAGAGGGCGGCGCACCCTTTAGCAATAAAGTATTCTAGCAACAACTGTAAGGGATACAAAGAAAAGACGGATGCACAATTAATCGAATATCAATTGTGATCAAGATTTTGGCAACAATATTGATTTTTTTAAATGCATCCCAGAGCAGAAGAGTACTAAACAAAGACAATGCACTGGATTTAGATGAAGAATAACTTTATTTGAAGTCTTATTTTGATGCAGAGATTTTAGATTAGCACAAATATACCACAGCATGAAAGTAAAAGCAGTGCTCTGTTGATTTGGATTTGCATAGAAAATACTGGTAAACAGTTTTTTTATAGCTTGCTTTTAGGAGATGCATTGTGTAAAGATTCAAGGATATGTACAAAAGCAGCAAGAATGCACAACATGGAAGTGAAGGCAGTGCAAATTGTCTTCTCAACTTTGATCAAAACAATAGTTTAAAGCCATAATCATGATATAAATATGGATCAAACTACTTCTTTTGGTCATACTCGTGCAGCAGAGAGGTGTGAGGTTGACATAAAGAAGCCGCCTTTGCACATGTCAGAGGTCTGGCGCTCACCGGTGTGAACTGTAGTCACAGGAAGAGCATGTGTTACTCTCTGAGGTTTTTGAGGGTGAGCAGGAGTGGATCACGCCCGGTGTTTCGCTCTCACACCGGAGCCTGGTGTTATCACAGAAGCTCAGGGCTGGACCTATTATCTGTTCTCGGCGCTACGCAGCGAGCACTTCCTGTTTCCTCTCCTCTCACTGCCGGATGCCACCAGAGAGACTTGTCAGTCACCGGCAGCAGAAACAGAAAGTGTCAGAAAGCTTCAGAGCTGCAGTCGAGGCTTCACTTGCACCTGAGGCAGCACGTGATTGGCTCTTTGTTATAAACCAGGCTAACATCCCTCAGTATCTTCAGCCTCACCTGTGCAATTATTAATCTGTGCAATAACACTCAGGATTATATCTATATTACAGCGTGCATTTCAAGCAGCAGTCATATTTTTTACTTTGATTTATTTATTAATACTTATACACCACTGTATATATTATAATATACACATTTATAAATATTTTTTGGATCTCTTTTTAACCAGGGTGCCAACATCCTTCTCACAGACAACGGAGATGTGAAGTTAGGTAAGTTAAATCCTAATTCCCGAGGACTTGAGCTCGTCTGCTGCTCTCAGCCGTTTCACGATGACATAATCTGAAAACCCTTTCGATCCCTGTTACAGCGGACTTTGGAGTCGCTGCCAAAATAACAGCCACCATCGCCAAGAGGAAGTCCTTCATTGGAACGCCTTATTGGTGAGTGAGTGTGAGACTGTTGAAGAAGGTTGTGTGTTTTCGTCTCAGGTATTTTTACTTAAAGGTCCCCTATTATACTGTTTTTCAACACTATATCACAGGTCTCGGATATAAAAGAACATGTCTCTGAAGTGTTTGGCTGAAACACCAAACAGATCATGGCAGCATTACCCATAATCCCCTCTGTTTCAGCCCTGTTTCCAAAGTGCTGATTCTCTGTCTGTTACTTTAGATGAAAATAAGGAGCCCCTCCCCACGCCCCTCTGAGAGATATTTGGTTACAAAGAACACAATGGTGCTCTAGGAGGAGATTCAGGTGATAAGGTGGGGGGGGGTTACCTTGGTTGGTGATTGGCTAATGGTTACACAAGACAAAACATCGTTATGACATCATAAAGTGGCCAAAATCTGATCAGCTCATTTTCAGACAGGTTTTTATAGAAATGGATCAGGACAAAAAGAGAGAGAATCTTTGTTCCTGAAACTTTCAGAGTCTCTTTCCACAGAGGGGACACATGTTGATGAAGAAGAGACATGAAGAAGAGGGGACACAGGTTGATGTAGAAGAGACATGAAGAAGAGGGGACACATGTTGATGTAGAAGAGACATGAAGAAGAGGGGACACATGTTGATGTAGAAGAGACATGAAGAAGAGGGGACACATGTTGATGAAGAAGAGACATGAAGAAGAGGGGACACATGTTGATGTAGAAGAGACATGAAGAAGAGGGGACACATGTTGATGTAGAAGAGACATGAAGAAGAGGGGACACATGTTGATGTAGAAGAGACATGAAGAAGAGGGGACACATGTTGATGTAGAAGAGACGTGAAGAAGAGGGGACACATGTTGATGAAGAAGAGACATGAAGAAGAGGGGACACATGTTGATGAAGAAGAGACATGAAGAAGAGGGGACACATGTTGATGTAGAAGAGACATGAAGAAGAGGGGACACATGTTGATGTAGAAGAGACATGAAGAAGAGGGGACACATGTTGATGTAGAAGAGACATGAAGAAGAGGGGACACATGTTGATGTAGAAGAGACATGAAGAAGAGGGGACACCATGTTGATGTAGAAGAGACATGAAGAAGAGGGGACACATGTTGATGAAGAAGAGACATGAAGAAGAGGGGACACATGTTGATGTAGAAGAGACATGAAGAAGAGGGGACACATGTTTATGTAGAAGAGACATGAAGAAGAGGGGACACATGCTGATGTAGAAGAGACATGAAGAAGAGGGGACACATGTTGATGTAGAAGAGACATGAAGAAGAGGGGACACATGTTGATGTAGAAGAGACATGAAGAAGAGGGGACACATGTTGATGTAGAAGAGACATGAAGAAGAGGGGACACATGTTGATGTAGAAGAGACATGAAGAAGAGGGGACACATGTTGATGTAAAAGAGACATGAAGAAGAGGGGACACATGTTGATGGAGAAGAGACATGAAGAAGAGGGGACACATGTTGATGTAGAAGAGACATGAAGAAGAGGGGACACATGTTGATGTAGAAGAGACATGAAGAAGAGGGGACACATGTTGATGTAGAAGAGACATGAAGAAGAGGGGACACATGTTGATGTAGAAGAGACATGAAGAAGAGGGGACACATGTTGATGTAGAAGAGACATGAAGAAGAGGGGACACATGTTGATGTAGAAGAGACATGAACAAGTGGATTTTGCACAATAGGTGACCTTTAAAGAAGCATTGGCTAATACTTTTAATCAGATACTGAAACATTTTACCGGTGAACTGTATGGAGTCATTCTCTATCTAACAGAATCTAGTTTGTGGTGGTGAAGTGTTCAAAAGCTTCCCCTAAAATACAGAAGTCTCCCACAGCAGCAGAAGTAAGGCTGTAGACATGAAGTCAACATAAAGGGCGACCACATCGAAAAAAGAACTGTAGACATGAAGTCGACATAAAGGGCGACCACATCGAAAAGATAACCAACATAAAAACGGGTTATCTGCAATTCTAAAATATTTATCTAAATCACTCGCACATGGATTACCTTTAACTTTATAATAATGTTCTATGGTTTATTATATTAAATGGTTTTCTTACATTTTTCACGTTTAATAGATGAATGAAATATAATCATATCAACACTAATATATTTATTGTGATATTGAGCGTGCAGAAGATACCTTTACTCTGCCAGCTTCTCATTTAAAACTCTTGTCCTATATTGTTCTCTCTATTTGTCTAAAACTTTATTTAAAACGTTCAAATATTACAATGATAAAGCTCACTCGTATTACGTTATAGGTTTCCATTTTTCACAACTTGTTCTGTGTGTTAGGAAATACAGACAGTAGCACAAGCAATGGCTTTTGCTGGGATAAAAACATTTAATATATATATTTGTATCACTATACCAGTTGACACACTTTAAATGTATTTTAATTCATTTTAATGGGACTGACCCTGAGCTCTAAACACAGGGAAATAACATTGATATTGGTAGAACATCTGTTGTTATGTCATGTCAGAAACTTATTTTTTCTTTTTTATAATAATTATAACAAAGAGATTCAAAACAAAAAAACGTTCAAGGTACAAAAAAATAAAAATGACTACTACTAACATTTCAACGCTATTTTTGGAGAGTTGTCACTGAGTTCTGCTCCTGAATGTGTGCAGGATGGCTCCTGAAGTGGCAGCGGTGGAGAAGAACGGCGGCTACAACCAGCTGTGTGACATCTGGGCCGTCGGCATCACAGCCATCGAGCTGGCGGAGCTGCAGCCGCCCATGTTCGACCTTCACCCCATGAGGCATGAGACTCTCCTCTGAAAATAATCAGTCCTCAGACGAGGCTACTTTCTCCTCTTGTGTTGCTGTCATATTTCATAATCTTCTCTATCTACACTCCACTGGTTACCTGTTTCTTTTAGAATCGATTTTTAAAGTCCTTTTTATTAACTTACAAAGCTTAACATCACCTAGCACCTTCTTATCTCAGCGACTGCCTTTCTTTTTATATTCCAACAAGAACCCTTAGATCAGGGGTGTCAAACTCAATTTCATCACGGGCCACATCAGCATTATGGTTGCACTCAAAGGGCCGGTTGTAACTTTAAGACTATATTAAAAATACATAATATGCTTAATAATGTATGTATTATTATATTACAATATTGCCTCTGCATTTGATTATTATCAGATAGGGTAATAACTTCATAATTAACTACGTCTGAAAGCAGAAGTCTATGGCAAATAATTGCAAGTCTCTTCAGTAAGAATGTCACAAAATGATTTAAAAAGAAAGGCCAAATTCTGAAAAAAAAGTGACATTTTGAAAAAAAAAATCTAATTCTGAGAAAAAGGAAATTTCTAAGAAAAAAGGCATATTTTGAAAAAAAAAGTCAAATTCTGAGATGCATTGTGGGACATGTAGTTTATGGGCAACGTGCTTCTGTAAAGTAGCATGTAACCGTATAATAAACATATTATATTCTTTGCAAGCTCTTGTGGGGCCACAGAAAATGAAGTCGCGGGCCGGATTAGGCCCCCGGGCCTTGAGTTTGACACCCCTGCCTTAGATCCCCCAGTGCCCTGCTTTTAGAAATTCCAAGGGTATCACACAAGCCCCCAGGAAGTGCGCCGGACTCTGTGCCAATATTCGTTGTGTCCAAACGACGGTACTGCAACTTCCGTATCAGTCCGTGACGTCACCTGGCCCAAAACTACTTTTTCCCATTCACTAACATTGGGAAAGAGACGTCTGTAAATCGGTGGATAATTTTTTTTAAACTAAATAAACTACCCAGTTTGAACTATTGTATAGCCCTCATTAGAATCATTAGCTCCTTAAAGTTGTAAAATGCACTAAAAGCCGAATCTAGATTTATTTTCTCTCTCCATTCATTCTACTAAGCCGAGAGTGGGGGGGCGGGGCTTAAGGGGCGCATGCTCTGTGGGTGTTTCTCAATCGCGAGTACGCTTGCTTGGTAGCACATGTCTGCCGAGCATCTTGCTTCAGAAGCGAGGCAAGAATACTTCCTGGCATTCGGAAAACAAAGAGTGGAACAGGCTAGCAAGTGTGCAGGTGTGCGTCATATGAGAGGCCCCGCCTTACATCTTCCGCCACAGATTTGGGGAAATTGGTCCGTGCGCAAAGCATTGTGGGGATTTTAAGACCGCGGAGTCTACTCATGTGCAGACTCGATATTTCTCCAAACGGAGTACGCCGGGCTCGGTAGATTTCCAAGTATGCTGGACATTGGAACAGTACTTCGGCGGCACTCGATGACGTAGTATGCTTGAAATAGTGGCTCTGAAGCAGCTTTACTCGCGATTGAGAAACACCCGGAGACTGCACATACGGGTTCTTCTGCTCCGACAGCTAGGCATGATGGGTAATCTGTGACGTTTCGCTCTCTCAAAAGTTGGGCCATTTTGTCTTCATGCGCCAATGAGCAGCTCTCATAGGAAAGAACGAGACCCCGCCTCCGACGCTGTATCCAGTTCTTATTAAACATCCATGGTATCACACAAGAGATCTGTTATTATTATTATTATTATTATTATTATTATTTCTTACACAGCCATCCTGTTTGTATCAAAATACGTGTTAGGCTTTTATTTAAGAGGTTACAGACCAATTAAGGGTCTCTTTACTAAAGTTTATTTCCATTTTTAAGTGTGTCTTCACCACTCTTAATCCAAGTGTTCTTGTTTTGTTTTTAGGGCCTTGTTTTTGATGTCAAAGAGCAGCTTCCAGCCTCCGAAGCTAAAAGACAAAGCCAAATGGTGAGTGCCTGATGATATTGAGTGTGCTGTTCTGCGACGATGTTAATGATTCTTTACACTTTGTTCAATCTTTGCATTAAATCAAAAATGATCTTGTTCCTCAGGTCTAGCCACTTCCAAAACTTTATCAAAGTGTCCCTGACAAAGAACCCAAAGAAAAGGCCCACTGCAGAGAAACTGCTATCGGTAATAACTCTTATTCTAATTGTAGTTCTCCTGGACTTTGAGTGAGAGATCGCAGGATGTGAGACCCCGATCTTAAATGACGCACTAGTTTTTGATAACCTGTCCTGTTTCCTGCAGCATGTTTACGTGGCTCAGACCGGTTTGACCCGACGGCTCGCTGTGGATCTCCTCGACAAGATGAACAACCCCGACAACCACCAGCCCTACAGCGAGGTGGACGACGACGACGTGGAGGTAACCATCAAAAATATCCCCAAGGTTGTTGGAAATTCACCTTTTGCTTTGAGAAAATAGGAAGGAAATTGACACAACCTACAACAGGGTTCTTACGGTCATTCAAAACCTGGAAAAGTCATGGAAATTCAAAATGCTAATTCCAGGCCCTGGAAAAGTCATGGAAAACAATATTTTTCCCAAAGTTTTGGAAAAGTCATGGAAATGTAACTAACATCAAATATAATTTATATTTTATTTAATCGCCGAAATAGTAATACTATAATGATAATAAATACTGTATGATATAGTAATGAAACGTAAAATGGCATTTAACTGACGAGGTATTTTGCTGGTGAGAGATTTTAGTAGAAGCTAGTAAGCCTATTGGATTTGTTTTAGATAGGCACAACATGTTTCAGACCTTATTTTCCTGTTCCATGTTAAAATAAACCATTTTCAGTGGTACCGCTGAGAAAGAGTAATTTATTTTGGTCATGGAAAATTAGGTAAAGGTCATGGAGAAGTCATTGGTGAAAAAGTGTATGAACCGTGCTACAAAGTACTGATAAAAAAGACATAGACAGCGCTTTAGTATATACAATGATATGAATGTCTTTTTGCAGCTAAATTATAAAGAAAATTCAGCAAAATGATTGAAAAACTATTCCTCCTTGACCGTTATGACTAAATCACGTTTTAAAACAGACGTTCATGCAGTAGTCAATCGATCAAACACTATATTTATAGCACTTTTCATACACAAAAGGTAACACAATGCTGCAAAGTGTTACAAAAAACTAAAGAAATACACACAAACAATACAAAAACAATGCCACCAACAGAACTCAATAAATACAGGACTGAATAAAACAGGGATTTTAAAATATGCTCCATCAGCAGTCAAATGCAAAAATGGCGAAAATTGGATGACCATTTTAGTTTTCATTTCATACAGCACTGTAAATTGCATGACATTTTGAGTTGTTTTAAATTTGTTGTATGTATGTTTATGTATGTTTTTGTGTGTGTGAGGACCCCAGGAAGAATAGCCAATGCTCATGCTAGTGCTAATGGGGATCCTAATAAAATCTTTTATTAAGAAAACTTGGCAATAAACGGATTGAAGGGGATCTTTTGTTGATGTCAAAGCTCCCCTCCCCCCTCTTCCTGATTCTCTGCATGGACATTATTATTCCTGCTCACATGTATGTGGCAGCCAAAGAGGTGGTACCAGTGCCTTTAGGAGACCATTGTGCCTTTCTCACACTGACAGCAGTAGCACTGTCTTGGCCACCGTGAATGAAAGCAGCATGAAAGCTGTTGACTGAAGCAAAAAGCCTCTGGTCTGCATGATAATGTGACGAAGTAGCTCTCAGTTCTGCTCTAATGTCACACGCCAGTTTCAGGACTAGTTTCTACAGAATATTTCTAAATATGAATGTAATAGCTGGACTAAATAACTCAAGGCAATGCATGGTATAACCGTGATTGTCAAGTGCTCCTCCCTCCGTCAAAATGTTGCATTATTTTAATGGACATTTCATAAAGCATTCACCTTAACCACAATAAAACTGTCTCTTCATTACTATCCAGTTGTGACACACATTGTAAAAGAGAACAAAGAAAGAAAGAAATACATAAATGAACAAGAAGCCAATACAAAAAGAGGGGAAAACAATTAAATTAGCTCAGAAATAATGTATTACTTATTTACACCCTAAAAAAAAAGTGGCTGGGTTCAAAAGCAATTAAGTCAATTCTGCCAAAAAGAGAATTATACTTTTTGTTTATCAACTAAGTTCGCCTCTCAAAGTACAAACTCATGTTTTTACATAAAGCTGTACAATTAAAGCATTATTCATTATGTTTTCCATGTGTTACCACTTGCTTCAATTCTGCCCAAAAGATCTGTGTTCAGCTTAAAAATCATATCAATTAATCCATTAAATAAATATCCATCACAATTGTATTAAAGGATTGTTATGAAGCTGGTTTAGGCTGTACTTTCTTTGTTTTCTTACCTGCCGAAAAGTAGTTGTTGTATTTAATCAAACCTTAACATAATTGAATTACCATCCCTCTATAGTCATGTATGTATTGCCAAAAGGAATAAATGACATTTCTCAAACATACTCCCATAGTTCCTCAATAAACAAACATATTATTGTTTTTATTTTCTGTAGTTCAGAGATCGTATTGTTGTTAAACTTTGTGATCCATATGTTGAATAAAATCCCTTCCTCTCCAGCCCCTCTCTGCAGTCAGACACACGATCCGCTCCACCAACAAACAGGCCCGAGCTGAGAGGACGCGCTCAGAGATCGACTGTAAGTAAACACAAGCCCCGCCCCCTGCAGTGTATCTGTGCTCTGATTGGTCAGTCGGCAGAAGTCCGGCTGACTGTCAGACTGTAATCCTGCAGCACAGTCTGGCCCGTCTCCAAACCGCCGCATGTGGTAATGTGGATAAAAATAACCCGGGGGAGAAAGTGGATTTAGTGAAGTCCATTAAGTTCACTCACCATGTTTTTTACTGAATGAATTATGTGTAGAGCTGGTCCAAACAAGTCACTATGCAGGGGAATTTGGTGTTGTGTAACGTTATGTGTCATCAGTAGTCGTAGATTAAGTTGTGTTGTAGTTTTAGTGTGACGCATTAACAATCCAGAGGTGAGATATGTGACATTGTTTTATCAATCCATCGTGCTTCCTTGTGTTTCGTGCTGTGATTGTACCCGATGCACTTCCTGTTTGTAGTTTTTATCTTTTATACCGTCTTGACTTTCCCTCCTCCATGAAGCAAACAATGGGACAGACCCAGGAAGGCCTTGCTCAGGTCCTAGCTTCTCGCAGAGACACAGGGGGGAAGCAGGTCAGTGTAGAGAGACAGTGTGTGTCTGCTTAATCCCCTCTGAAATAGCTTAATATCCCCACCCCCCCACCCCCTCGCACATAACGGATAACTGTGTGTGAGATTGTAGTGTCACTAATAAGGTGAGTTCCTCTGCATGGGGTGGATACTTACAGCTGGGACATCTTGGTTTCTGTCAGAAATGAAATAACAGTGTCCACAAAGCGCCTTTTTCTGGGAGGAAGGCGCTGAGGAAAAAACGCTTGCAGTGTTTCCAGTTTCTTCACCGCTGTTGTATGACAGACTAGCTTCGCCCCCTTGGATTTTACCAATATGTTTGGGCTACTATATCATTTTTTTTTTTACATGAGCACCAACGTGAAGATGCATGCTCTGACACTTTGTATGAACGAGCTTCCTCGCTCAGTCTGAAAGCCTGAGAGCGAGGAAGTGGGTCAATAATGTCACATACTCTCAGACCGCATCACTCTGGCCCAATTCCAAACCGACCCCTACACACTCCCGAACTGAACTCGCTCTGTAGTCACTCTCAGCTGAATGAGGCTTCCTTCTTTCAGGTAGAGGGTGTGAATACAATACGCATTTCCATCACAGTTTAGGAACTGGGGTAGTATCTATAGTAACGCAGTATAGGCGGAGCCGTGACGTCATCTTCAATGAGAACCCCAGAAAAACAACACGGCCGTTAGCTGTTAGCCCTCAGAGCTCACAGCTCCTCATATATGTTCAGAAACTAGACAAAAGTGAAACAAGTACAAACCACAGACTGTCTGTGTCATGGTGAATACAGTCGCTGCTTTATTTATGTCTGTATAGGCCGTTGTTGTGAGTGTGGACGGTCGGAGCATATACTGCGTTAGCTTAGCCAATCTCCATTCAGAAAACACGCATTTTAAAAGGTGTTTCGCCTGCCGTCTGTCTGCAGACTTGTCAAAGCATTAATTCATGGTTTTTACTAACCGGTATCAGTATGTTGTTACTTCGGCATCATTTTGAAACGTGTATTACAATTAAATCACGGTCAAATATGTCCATCTTGTTGTAGTTGTAGCCCCCTTGTCAGCGATTCTCTCTCTAGTTTAGCATACTCAGCCCGACTCAGCCTCGTTGTCTCTGGCCCTAGACACACGATTTTATGAGGCCAGAAAAACTGTGAATTAGGACCCGCCGGCCGGTACTAGGCCAAGTGGAAACGCAACCAAAGACTCTTAAACCGTGCTCCGCGCTGTAGTGGAAACGCGCCATTACTTCCCTCTCTCAGGCAGAAATAGGAACTGTCAGAACTTTACATCTCATGGACAAACATTTTTAAATATGAACTGTTTCGCCTACTCAAACAGTTGAGCAATTCAAATTCGGCAAATAAAAAGATAAAACATGTTAAAAATAACATAAAACAGTGTGTTAAAACAATGAAAGGGTTAAAACAAAAAAAGACATTTAGAGTAGAGTTTCATTTTCTTCGAGCTCCCTGACCCTCTGCTGTTGTGTCCCACAGGCTGTCAGTAACTCTGAATAATCTAGAGCAGGGGTCGGCAACCCCTGGCACCGTAACCAGTGGCACACTAGGAATAAGTGTGCAAAATATTTCAATTTTATTTTCGGATCATCTCTCATCGAAAATAATATGCTACACAGGGGCGGACTGGCCATCTGTGTGTTCTGGAGAATCACAGAACGGACGGTCGCCATTATTATTATTATGCCGTTTAAACCAATTATTCAAATTTGTGACAACTGGCTGTTTAATTGTGCCGCCATTACGAATGCAGCCAATAAGACACTGGTCACTGAGATCGCTACAGAAGACGCCAGTGTTGTACCTGTCAGGGTTATTTGTGAGGATGACATCAAGGAGGGTGGCTTTTTCTGGATTTTTGGTGTCATACCGTGTAGGAGTGAGGATAATCTGCGAGAGATTAAGAGAGTCCCATTTGTTTTTGGACCTGCGCAGGAGGGTTGAGCATGTCCCAGTTTAGATCCCCCAGTAGCACAAACTCAGAATGAGCGTGGGGTGCCAGGAGGGTGCTGAGAGCAGGTAGGGTACATGCTGGGGCAGAGGGTGGGCGATAGCAGCCAGCGACTGTCAGTGTAGAGCCAGTTTGATGTTTACGATAACTAGGTCAAATTGTTTGGGGACAGATTTACTAGTGGCGATAGAACACTGGAGGTGTTGCTTTGTGAATATAACCACCAGCTTTAGATTATCTCTCCTGCCTAAACACATTATAACCAGCGATGCCGATGTCAGAGTCTGGGATATTCTTCTTCAGCCAAGACTCAGTGATGACAAGTACCTCCGGATTTGAGCTGTGAACGAGTACTTTTATCTGGTCAATTTTTGGCAGTAAGCTTCTAGCATTAATATGTAGAAAACCTCAAGCTTTACGAGAGCAGAAGTCAGGGAAACTCAGATCATTGGGACAAAGATTGACATCAGGGCACAGGTCAGAACTAGGGCTACATACAATAGAAGGTCCAGGATGAACATGCACATTGCCCAATATCATCAGTAGTAATACAATCAGAGCACGGCCAAGAGATAGCAGTGAGTCACAATGCATAGTTTGTTTTGTGGAAGGTTGTAGGAGGAAGGTTGTAGAGGTTGGATTGGAATTGGGCCTTACCCCTCGATTCCACCGGGTCCGTCTGCGGTGCGTTACGGCTGCGCGTTACGGCTGCGCGTTACGGCTGCGCCGCGGTGCTCACGGCGATCGCGGCCACTCTAGTCAATGGGTGCTATTCCACCACACGCGGCGCGTTACGGCTCAGAAGCGTCCCAGAAGCGGCTCGGCGCAGGGCTCCTCTAAAATTAGGATCGAATCCTATTTTTGTCGCGGCGCAGCCGTAACGTAAGGTCGGGCAGGCAGGAAGTGGAACGTTCAGAGCATATATAGCATATATATATATATATATATATATATATATATATATATATATATATATATATATATATATATATATATATATATATATATATATATATATATATATATATATATATATATATATATATATATATATATATACACACACACACACACAAACTAATTTTGCAGACTCTATCCCTCCGTAGTCTTTCAAGTAGGAGGAGAAATGCCAGCGTTCTCCTCCGGTTTACAGGCACTGTGTCAATTATATATATATAGAATAATTATGATGATGAATGCATTTTTTTACCACTAAAATACAGCATCACATCTTTGATTCATGTCGTTTATAACTGGAATATTACAGTTATTATTAACTTTGTCTGTACAAAGTAGCCTGTCCAGGAAATATGCCCAAATCAACAAAAACTGCGAGCCGGCAGGCAAGACGCTCCGCTTCTGAAATGCTTCTGAAACGCGCCTGGTAGGGTATGACGCCGGAGGAGGCCGGACCAAAACCGCGGCGCGGCCGTACCCGGTGGAATCTAGGGGTTAGTGTCCGTCCAGCCGATCTGCTCCAACAAAAAAAATATATATGTTGTTCTTCGTTATGATAAAACAAGCTTCTCTTCCAATTACTACTGTGACGTCATGAGGGCTTTTCTTGTTATCTAAGATTTTTTTTTAGCCACTCTTGCCTTTGTTGTAGAGTCAGAGTTGAAACAGGCAGCTAATGGTCCCGAGGAAATACATAATTGGGAAGTTATGTGAGCTATTCATTGGAAACAACTACAGAGAAGACTCAGAAAGAGGCGCTATGTGCACACGAGCCCTTAGATGACTAATCAGATCCTAACGGGGTCATTTAGTTTCACTCGTACCTCCATCTTTACTGCCTGTTATCTGCGTTTTGAATACTGCAGCACCCCCACATTATCAGCATACCTCAAACAGGAAAACAAACCTGTGGTCTGAATCCCTGAATACAGAGTCCTTTTGTTATTGAAAGCTGATTATGTTGAAGTATTTATTGGCAGGTTGGTGCATTTCTACATCACTACAGCAGCGTGTTTACACTGATCCTAAACCAGTCAGCTCAACTGTTTGACAAAACGGGACCTCAAACATCAACTGAACGGAAACTGTGCCGTGATTTATTTGTATTTCTGCGTCTCACAGTGAACAGATCTGGTTAGTGTCGACTGGAATCTGTTTGAGATTTTTCTTAAAGCCCCAGACCAAATATTCACATAGTAGAATCATAAATAAAGAAAGGACTTGTGTGTTTTGGCAGGTACATTGTAAAGGAAGCAGTTCATCTGAGTGTTTTCCAACGCTGCTGCTACTAAGAGTTCAAATGTGTGTGTGTTGAAGTGTTGTGCACTGATGCCCTCTAGTGTCGAAGGTGTGTATGCAAAAAATACAATTAAATAATGAACACATATTTTCGTCTTTTACAGTCGACAAGCTCCAGTTTGAACCCCCGCTCCGGAAAGAAACCGAGGCTCATTCTGAAATGGTGACAGTCATATTTCTAATAAATACTTCTATGTACTTTGGGTTGAAGTCAATTCATTTGAAGTGTAGAGAAACACTGATTTATAAAAAGGCAGTTTAACAATAAATACATCTATTTGTGTGCATGTGTCTTTCCACAGGATGTGAGTAAAGAGAACGACTTCTCTTCCCCCTGGAGTCCCTATGATGGAGGAATAACAAGCAGGTAATCACGGAAACTGTTGCCTCTGTTTCTCTACCTGTCTCGTTCATTAGAGCGATGCACCTCTGAGACTCCTCCACAGAAAGGAAACACAATGCTTTGTTAAGGATGTGTTGCTATCTTACTTCTTTGGATTGTGTTTGTGCTCCTCATACTAGGATCAGTTAAATGCTTGTGTGTGCTTTGCTGTGTGCATGTTTTGATGATAAGAAATTAGTCAAGAAAACTCTCCTGGTGAATTTCTTCCTCAATCTGACAACATGTACCCCCCCCCTCATCGACCTGCCACGGTGCTGCAACTGAGGCTAAACTTCAAGGTTGATGAGGGAGGGGTACATGTTGTCAGATTGAGGAAAAAAATTCACCAGGAGAGTTTTCTTGACTAATAGAATTAATTCTGGGGGTTGGAGCTTAGACTTTCCCACTTACAATTTTAAGGACCACCCTAGTGTGCGCATTATACGATTTAAAAAAACGACAGAAAACAGGGAGAGATTACTCTGAGCAGCATGCATGGAAAATCTAAAATATTATACCATGACATATTTGATTTTATTAAAAGAAATTATGAATAATACACTTTATTTGTAGAGAGCTTTTCAAGGTACTCGAACCCACTTTACATATAGATTTAGAAAATCCATAAATGATCAAAAGTGGTAGTGGTAGTGGTGGTAGTAGTGATAGTAGTAGTAGTGGTAGTAGTAGTAGTGGTGGTGGTAGTAGTGGTAGTGGTGGTGGTAGTAGTGGTAGTGGTGGTGGTAGTAGTGGTGGTGGTAGTAGTAGTGGTGGTGGTGGTGGTGGTGGTGGTGGTGGTGGTGGTGGTGGTGGTAGTGGTGGTAGTGGTGGTGGTAGTGGTAGTGATAGTAGTAGTGGTGGTGGTGGTAGTAGTAGTGGTAGTAATAGTGGTAGATGTTGGTAGTAGTAGTGGTGGTAGTAATAGTGGTAGTAGTGGTGGTAGTAGTAGATGTTGGTAGTAGTAGTGGTGGTAGTAATAGTGGTAGTAGTGGTGGTAGTAGTAGTAGATGTTGGTGGTAGTAGTAGTAGTAAAAGCAGTAGTAAAAGCAACTTTTTAAAAAGGGCATTATTTTAATTTTTTCTCGTTCTTTAATATAGTTGCTTTGAGGCTATGAAAAGTCGCTAACTATCGCGAGCAAGTTTCCAAGTTCACTAAGTTTCCAAGTTGACAAAAGTTTATTGCACGTTCATGTCTATGTGACTTATAATAATGTTAAATATACTATTTATGAGAATGATCTGCATCCCTCATTAAATATTTATAGAAAATGAAATAATCGAGAGAACTGCCTAATGCATTTTGGTTGATATCTTTAATTTGATATCCCTTATAGACTCCGAGTGTAAATGAACTTCCCCTGGATGCTCCTCACTCTCTCCCTTTAACCTGCTGATTCTCCAGATATAACCTGAGTCTGTGCATGACCTCCCCCCTGCAGTCTGAAATGTTGCCTCCTCACCTTTCTGTGTGCACGACCCCCCCCCCCCCCCCCAACTCCTGCAGTCTAATGTGTTGCCTCCTCACCTGTCTGTCTGCTTTCACTGTCTCTCTCTCTCTCTCCTCTCTCGACTGTCTCTCTCCCCCTCGAAGGAGTCTTCTCAAAAGCGTTGAGGACGAGTTGTTCCAACGGTAACACTAACACTGTAGAGATGTAGAGCCCCTCACGTCATTCACTCGCTTCCCCCCCCCCCCATCCTTTCACAGAAGTTTAGTGCTCACCATGTCCACAAATCACCCCCCCCCCCCCCCCCCATTCACCGTGATCATAGCTGCAGAAACAAGCTGCTGCTGACTTTAGACCCAGACAGGCAGGCATTGAGGTTTGAAGCTTCTAGTGCCTATTGTCATTATTTTGGATGTAAACACCTACAAATATATTCTTTTTAAATAAATAAGAATAATAGAATAATAAAAAAAATCCTGAACAAAATCTCAATTTAAATAAAGTGATTAATCTAGTTTTTTTTTTATGAAACATAAGTTTAATTAAAGGAATAAAATTAACAGTAAAAGATTAATTTAAAATGAAAAAATGATGGGTACAAATATATATTCTTTTCAAATGTAGAGGCCAACACGTGGATTGAAGCAGAATATTTATTTATTATTACATTCAAGTAAAGTTTTAAGAAAATATATCGTCGAGGTGTAAAAATACCGGTTTTAAACTCTCCCAAGATATGCTAATATAAAAAATAGCTGCACAGAATTTAATGTTGATTTAGAGTTTGAATGTCATATATCTAATGTCCTCTAAATACTTTTTGCAGAATCCAAATAACAGAGTATTTGATGGAGGGTAAAGATGAACTGCAGACGTTGTTTTTGTTATTTTTTCATTCTAACCTCACAGTAAACACAGTCTGTGATGACAGATCTCAGCGATGTTTACAGAACATGTCTTGTAGTTTCCATCCCATGATGCTCATCCTTCTCCTTAGAGTCATACTGTTCATCTCTAAGGAGGATTTTAAATAAACACCTCCACCATTAACCCCCCCCCCCCCTCCCCTCCGTGCTCTATGACTCATATCTTCCACTGATCACTGTCTGATCTGCAGGGGACACATCGCACACCTCCAAGATGCCTTTGAAGAGGTGGAGCTGTGAGTGACGTCACGACACATGACATCATGGATACAGAAATACTCATCATTGTAGTTAACATGATTATAAAGACATACCTTTTGTGTTTCAGGTCGACTCTGAAGCCCGGGGTTCCTCCTCCTCTGCCCCCGAAGGTGAGAGGAGAAATTATAATAACATTTTTATGTAAGGATTGTTGAAATGCAATTCCTGATGCACTCGATTTGTGCTCGCTCACATATTTTGTAAAGTTTTCACCAACTTTTCAGACATGACAGCCACAAAGACTGATAAAAGTAAAGAGCCTGAATTAAGAAGTAGCATAAAACAAGACTTGGGGAATTTGAAAGGATGTGGGGTTCAATGGTTTCATTTTTTAAGGGGGACAGCAGCTGAGATGCACTGCACACACTTACTTTAAATGTATTTCTTTCTTTTTATTATATATACTATTTTGTATATTCTTTCCCACTATGACTATGTATAGGCGCTTTCACACTGGAGTACTTTTCCCAGTATAGTTCCGATAGTTCTTGAAATGTTGCGTTCACACCCTAAAAATCCGGAACTATGAGAACCTTTCCACCCCCTTTTCAGTCCTTGCTAGAGAGGTGGTACTTTCATGGGAGAAAAAGGTTCCCATTTCTGATTGGCTGGGTGGATTGCAAACCACGCCCCGTAAAATTCGGAAAAGTTTTGTGAAGCCGCCATTGTATTTGCTGGCATTAGCATTCGCCCCGCGCACCAACGGAGAGAGACTAACTTATGGCAAGACAAAAGAAAACATGGGAGCGGTGGAGATGAGGAGGTGTCGGCGTTCTGGCGATTTACTCTGAAGGCTTCAGTAGAAGCAGCTGGGAGTCCCAGCAGCTTCTACTGAAGCCAGTCCCCAACTCCGGGGACTTCCGGCCGGGGACTTCGGGTGGCAGTATACGCCGTGAAGTTGTTTGCGGCCTGTCAGTAAACCCAAAGCAGAAGAAGTGACGTCAGCGGCTTCATTTGCCCAATCCTCCCTCAGGGACTTATTCCGGTGTGAACGCGATCTGTACTTAGTTCATGAGAACTAAAGAGTTCTGATGAACTAAGTTCTGATGAACTAAGTTCTCATGAACTAAGTACGGCAAAGAACTTGGTGTGAAAGCGCCTTATGTCATTAAGTATGGTATTCCTGTCATGCTATGTTTTTTTTTTTATTATTTCTTGTTGGCTGTTCTGTTTGTCTTCGAGGTTGGAAAAGCGAAGCATGATTTCCAACGCAAAGAAGACTGTACTATTGCTTACACTTGCTTCTTCTCAATACAAATATTTGAAAGAAGAAGTAGCATAAAACAGGTTATCAGTTACTCATGTGTACCGTGGTGTTTTGCCGGTAAAATCACCAGTTTTTTCACTGAATATTGAGTTTTTACGCCCTTGATGTTTCGGAGAACGCTGCAACAAACAAAGCGTTGAGCATGAACGTCTTTGTGCATGCTCATAGATGCAGCCTATCCAGAGATGGCAAAAGTACACACATCCTTTACTCAAGTAGAAGTACAGATACTTCATGTTTAAAAATACTCTGGTAAAAGTTGAAGTACTGACTAAACTTCTTTACTCAAGTGAAAGTAAAGAGGGCTTTGAAATGTACTTCAGTAAAAAGTACCCATAACTAGCAGCTGTTTTAAAGAGTACCTGACCTCCCTTTATATTAATAGAACAATAATGTCATTGTTAGCTAATGAATGTTTCCATGCTGAACAACGGCAACATGACAACGTTTTCATTGGTCCCTCTTCTTTAGAGAAGACCAGGAATGATGGATACACGGATCGTGTTCAAATCAATAGGCACGCAATGACTCTAAATAATAATGATCACGCCACCAAACACACATTCAAACTAAAGGAACCAGCCTGTTTGGGAAATGTGAGAAGTAGAAAGTACAGGTATTTGTGTTCAACATGTAAGAAGTAGAAAGTACAGGTATTTGTGTTCAAAGTGTAAGAAGTAGAAAGTACATGTATTTGGGTTCAAAATGTAAGTAGTAGAAAGTACAGGTATTTGGGTTCAAAATGTAAGAAGTAAAAAGTCGTCAGAAAAATAAGTAGTGGAGTAAAGTACTGATACCAGAAACATGTACTTAAGTACAGTAACAAAGTATTTGTACTCCACTACTTCCCACCTCTGAGCCTATCCAAGGAGGCCAGCACCAGTGTCTTGCTCCTGAATAAGAAAACACCTGTGTGTATCTGTAACTAGAACTCTGATTTACCACCAACCTGTTTCCCCCTCTCAGCCGCGGTTGAACAGCTCGTCTGAGGAGCTGGGTCTGAACGACGAGCGCTCCCTGACGGTGCGGAGGTTCCCGAACTCTGAGAACGGACCGACTCCAGTGGCCCGTATCCAGAGCACACCGGAGCACCTGGGCAACAAGCTGGAGCACTCCTCTCCTGACTTCCTGTCCGTCAGCGTCAGCAGCCCCGGCCTCCTGTCCCACGCCTCCGACCCTGGTGAGTCTATCTATCTATCTATCTATCTATCTATCTATCTATCTATCTATCTATCTATCTATCTATCTATCTATCTATCTATCTATCTATCTATCTATCTATCTATCTATCTATCTATCTATCTATCTATCTATCTATCTATCTATCTATCTATCTATCTATCTATCTATCTATCTATCTATCTATCTATCTATCTATCTATCTATCTATCTATCTATCTATCTATCTATCTATCTATCTATCTATCTATCTATCTATCTATCTATCTATCTATCTATCTATCTATCTATCTATCTATCTATCTATCTATCTATCTAAATGAAAATGTGTTTTGCTTTTTACAAGCTCTCATTAAACGTGTATGTAAAGGTAAGAGAGCTGCATGTAAACATGTCTCATCTTATAAATCAGATGTTATTGTTTTACACATTTCATATTTACATTTGTTTTTATTCTGCAGATAACGATTCGGATGACAGTGTGAATGGAGAAGGTAACATGCAGCCGCTCAACAGGCAGCGCCACACGGATAAAAAGGAATTCCCTGTGAGTTATTACACAATATATATATTATGTTTTTATATGCATTATAAGCCTGACTACCTATGTGTGGTTTCATGGGGTTGTAAGCAGTTCTTGTTAGAGTCAACAAAACCAAGTTTTTTTTTATTATATTGACTCGAGTAGACGTAAAAGTCCTCATAAATATAGTTACCCGAGTAAGAAAATAACAGTATCTTCTCAAATAGTGAGTAACATCATAAGATAAAGTTTATCAAAGTTTTATTTTGGTTTATTGCAAATTTGGTTCATCATAAAAGGAGATGCTTTGGTTTAGGCTGCATAACATAAACAAGAAAATAATCAACTTAAAGGTGGGGTATGTCATTTATTTCAGAAACACTTTTTGTTATATTCCATGGAATGCTCTTAACATCCCGATAGCAATGAAAATATTAAATGCTTTGTCAATAAATCCATAAAAACATATCATCTGTGGAAGCCGTGGTACTGTAAAAAGCACGACCAATCATCTGAGCCGGCCCGGCTAAAATAACTGGATGGCCTACCTGCCTGTCAGCCTTCCATCTGTGCACAAACTTATCTCGTGCCCTCATTGGTCATGTGCGCGTTCGTGTGTGTTGGAGGAGGGGCTCTATAAGGAAGTGGCAGATTTTCTCCGGTTGTGTATTTTCAAATTCTAGCTCACTCGAGCTGGTTTCTCCAAAATGACCTACCCCACCTTTAATAAAAGGACAGTATACTATAGCAAAAATCAAAAGACAAGTATAAAATAAAGAAAAATATGATGAAAACTGTATATATATTATGTTATTTAAGTGCAACATCCAGAACAAGACGAATGACAAAAGTAAATCAACAAGAAAAAAAACACATGATTGGGTGTGTAGGATATCTCTTGCTAACGGATAATTGCTGTTGCTTGATTAAAAAAATATATATATAAACTTTAGATAGAATTGTGCACCCTGTAGCCAAATGTAAGAAATAGTTTATTTTATTTGCACAAACAAGAGACTGCATTGAATCCAGATCAAATACACTAAGTAAAGTGACAGGAGATGTCAGAAGCTTAAACAACCAACCGCCCCTTAGTTTAAGGAGAACAACAAACAATAACAAAGCACATAAAATAAGCAGAAACCCCAGCCAAACGGAGGACAACATTACAAAGAAAACAACCCGAGGAAAAACTATATAAATACACATCAGGATATAATTAGACGTCATGAATTAAATATGGTGAAATCTTCTGAGGGAAACGAGCCACCGCTGGTTTGAGCTTGAAATCATGTGGTTTAAGAGTTCTTTTTTATATCTGGAGTCAGTGTCTCTAACTATCGGACTGTCATCACACTGAAACCTCAAATATGTTATATCTTATTATAAGTCTTCGATACGTGTGCCCTCTTCACATCCAGACACTCACAGCTGAAGAAGGAGATATGGCTGCACAGTAACACACACCAAGGAAATCATTGTTTGTTTTGTTGATCTAATTTAAGCTACTTCATTAAAAATAAATGCTGTCTGTGTTTTCTAAATTACCTTTGTTTTCCTCCTCGTTAGAAACCAGCCATCAACGGTCTTCCTCCCACTCCTAAAGTCCTGGTGAGGGAATCTTTTTTCATTTCTGTGTGTTAACTTATTTGATTGTTATTGTAATGGCTACTTGCCTCTTTATTTAAAGGGGACCTATCATGCAAAATGCACTTTTGTACGTCTTTTCTACATGAATATGTGTCCCCGGTGTTCCAGGGAACTCACCAAGTGTCAGAAAACACAACCCTCTCTAATTTCCTCCATACCCAAATCTCTAAAAAAGGGGCTGCAACGGATCTGATAAAAACTGATCCAGATTTGAACACTGTCCTGACGTCAGGACGGTGGCGCTACGGCTATTGGGCCAACTCCACCAATCAGGAGGAGACAGCCACGGCCATTGCCGTTCGAAAGCGCTGGAGACGCTGTAGTACATATGCCAGGCCTGTAGATGGTGCTGTTCTCACTGAATCTGCCCTTGCTAAAACAGAGCTAAAAAATGTCAAATTGAGCAAAATGAGGCATGGCTAAAATGCATGATCTGTTTGGTATTTTGAAAGAAAAAAAGTATAAATATGCCTTATATAGGTATGGTCCTACACTATATTATTCAAATATAGCATGATAGGTCCACTTTAATGTTGCACACTTCGACATAAAAGGGACTTCCAGACGTGCATAAGTTGAAATTAAAATCATTTGACTTTCTTTGTTCTATAATATGCAAACACTCGGCCCGGTCTAATAAGTGATGTCTTTGCTTTTACATTCGTTCACATTCTCTTAATTTAGAAACAGGTGATGACACTCGTTATTCCATATTAGCTAGCAGGTACATTTAACTGGTCAAATGTACCCTTTCACATACTTTACTCATCCCTGTCACTACTTAAAGTCATAATTGTAGCTAACCTGAAACATACAAACACATCACGGCAACATGGCTGCATACATTCGGCTCGGTCTAATGATGTACGATACCTTTACCCTCCTGCGTTTCACCTGAAGGACCCCTGAGCTGCCCTCTGTGCCTGTGTGAGCTTTACTCCTTGTGATTATAACTCAATATTAAAGGTCCCCTATTATTCTGTTTTTCATCAATATATCACAGGTCTCAGATATATACAAAACATGCCTCTGAAGTGTTTGGCTCCAAACACCAAACAGATCATTGCAGCATTACCCATAATCCTCTCTGTTTCAGCCCTGTTTCCAAAGTGCTGATTCTCTGTCTGTTACTTTAGATGAAGATAAGGAGCCCCTCCCCACGCCCCTCTGAGAGATATTTGGTTAAAAAGAACACAATGGTGCTCTAGGAGGAGATTCAGGTGATAAGGGGGGGGGGGGGGTTACCTTGGTTGGTGATTGGCTAATGGTTACACAAGCCAACACATCGTTATGACATCATAAAGTGGCCAAAATCTGATCAGCTCATTTTCAGACAGGTTTTTATAGAAATGGATCAGGACAAAAAGAGAGAGAATCTTTGTTCCTGAAACTTTCAGAGTCTCTTTCCACAGAGGGGACACATGTTGATGTAGAAGAGACATGAAGAAGAGGGGACACATGGTGATGTAGAAGAGACATGAAGAAGAGGGGACACATGTTGATGTAGAAGAGACATGAAGAAGAGGGGACACATGTTGATGTAGAAGAGACATGAAGAAGAGGGGACACATGTTGATGAAGAAGAGACATGGAGAAGAGGGGACACATGTTGATGTAGAAGAGACATGAAAAAGAGGGGACACATGTTGATGTAGAAGAGACATGAAGAAGAGGGGACACATGTTGATGTAGAAGAGACATGAAGAAGAGGGGACACATGTTGATGTAGAAGAGACATGAAGAAGTGGATTTTGCATAATAGGTGACCTTTAAATGTGGCTCTGCACATGAACATAACAGAACATTTACAGGTTAATTTAATACAGAAAGACAACACATATGTGTTTTTGCAATGTTATACAGTGTCATGTCCATCACCAGGCAGGATATTACCATGGGTCCAGCATTAGTCTTTTTATTTAGCTTTTATCTGCACGGTCTCTTTGCTGTAACCCTTTGCTGGATGAATGAAGGGTTTCTGATCCTCTGTCTTCACCCTGTTATTAAATGTGATGCCATTGATGTTCGGGGTCCGCAGAGCTTTCAGCTGCAACTCATTAAACTCTGGCTGACATTTCCCCGCCTCACTGATCCAACGCTGAGCCCTGTTTCCCTTTTTTTATTTCAGATGGGAGCGTGTTTCTCTAAAGTGTTTGACGGCTGTCCTCTGAAGATCAACTGTGCCACGTCATGGATTCATCCGGACACCAAAGGTACAGGTTCAACAACAACAGTGGCACACAAACATGTTTTATTAAAACCAGTAAATAACTCTTAAGAATGTTTTATTTTTAGATCAGTACCTCATCTTTGGGACGGAGGATGGCATCTACACGCTGAATCTTAACGAGCTGCATGAAGCCACAATGGAGCAGGTAACAGCTGCTAAAATCAATTAAAATGAATTATTAAAACCAGGATTGGGTCGAAAAACGTACTTTCTTTTTCCGACAGAATTTTGCTAAGACATGCTAATGATTGCAGCTAATGTAGGAGCGTATAAGCTCACTTTTTAATCCGTTTCTTTATACTTTTAAGCAAATTTATTTTTGTTTAATTCCCTCTGCAGCTGTTCCCGAGGAAATGCACATGGCTGTACGTCATCAACAACAACCTGATGTCTCTATCTGGTGAGTGGTGGATCCCCACAGCCTCCTGCTTCGCTGTCATAACCTGCTGCTCTGTTCTGTTGTCTGGAAGAACAGTCTCTCCATACCTGTAGCTTATGTTGTCTGGAAGAACAGTCTCTCCATACCTGTAGCTTCTGTTGTCTGGAAGAACAGTCTCTCCTTACCTGTAGCTTCTGTTGTCTGGAAGAACAGTCTCTCCTTACCTGTAGCTTCTGTTGTCTGGAAGAACAGTCTCTTCATACTTGTAGCTTCTGTTGTCTGGAAGAACAGTCTCTCCTTACCTGTAGCTTCTGTTGTCTGGAAGAACAGTCTCTTCATACTTGTAGCTTCTGTTGTCTGGAAGAACAGTCTCTTCATACTTGTAGCTTCTGTTGTCTGGAAGAACAGTCTCTCCTTACCTGTAGCTTCTGTTGTCTGGAAGAACAGTCTCTTCATACTTGTAGCTTCTGTTGTCTGGAAGAACAGTCTCTCCTTACCTGTAGCTTCTGTTGTCTGGAAGAACAGTCTCTTCATACTTGTAGCTTCTGTTGTCTGGAAGAACAGTCTCTTCATACTTGTAGCTTCTGTTGTCTGGAAGAACAGTCTCTCCATACTTGTAGCTTCTGTTGTCTGGAAGAACAGTCTCTCCTTACCTGTAGCTTCTGTTGTCTGGAAGAACAGTCTCTCCATACCTGTAGCTTCTGTTGTCTGGAAGAACAGTCTCTCCATACCTGTAGCTTCTGTTGTCTGGAAGAACAGTCTCTTCATACCTGTAGCTTCTGTTGTCTGGAAGAACAGTCTCTCCATACCTGAAGCTTCTGTTGTCTGGAAGAACGGTCTCTCCATACCTGTAGCTTCTGTTGTCTGGAAGAACAGTCTCTCCATACCTGTAGCTTCTGTTGTCTGGAAGAACGGTCTCTTCATACCTGTAGCTTCTGTTGTCTGGAAGAACAGTCTCTCCATACCTGAAGCTTCTGTTGTCTGGAAGAACGGTCTCTCCATACCTGTAGCTTCTGTTGTTTGGAAGAACAGTCTCTCCATACCTGTAGCTTCTGTTGTCTGGAAGAACGGTCTCTTCATACCTGTAGCTTCAACACCAACAAATCACATGTACAAGGAAAAGTGCGACATCTGAGTCCTACTGGAGTAGAAGGGGGAAAGCGGCGCATAATAATAATAATGGGACCTATATACAACGTTGTTCTCTATACTAATTATTAAAAATAGAAAATAATGAATTGCAATTAAATGCTATTAAGTAGGACCTATTTTGATGGACATGTTGCGACCCTGTCCATCAAAATACTTAACCTCTGATCTGTTGTCAGAAAACTCAGATCCTCCCTCATTTAAAACCAAACTGTCCGTCTGTCCTCTTCCAGGTGAGGACGGTGTTATAGAGACTACTCTCAGTTTAACCTCCAGCAAGTTAACCTCTGTTCTCTCTTCCTCTTCCTCCTCCTGTTCCTCCTCCTCTTCCTCGCCTGGCTTCATTTGATCTTCTACTAACGGCTTCATCAGAAGGTAATCATCTTCACATCATCGTCACACTGCTGATTTACCCTGTTCACATCTAACATTTCTACAAGCTGCTTCATGGGATCAAGGATGTGTAACAAGCAGAAATTATTAGAGCTGTACCGAAAAGTTTATTCATGAAGTTTAAAAATCTTAATCAACATTTGAATTCAGCAGAGCTTTTTTTTCTATGTATATTAATTGTGTTTGAATGCAGGATTACTGCACAGTGTCAGATAAAGATGAGTCTACAGTAATTTCATTAGTATTTAACTTTTAGTAGAGTTATATTCCACTGTTGGCTGTATAGGATTGTGGTCCAAACATTTCCAATAACTCCAGAGCATTACCCCTAGATTCCACCGGGTCCGTCTGCGCCGCGTTACGGCCACGTTACGGCCACGTTACGGCCGCGTTACAGTGATCGCAGCCACTCTAGTCAATGGGTGCTATTCCACCAGACGCGCCTCGTTACGGCTCAGAAGCGTCCCAGAAGCGTCTCGGCGCTGGGCTCCGCTAAAAATAGGATGCAAGTCTATTTTCGACGTGACGCGAGGCGTTGCATAGCGCCGGGCAGGAAGTGGACCGGTCAGAGCATCCAGTCAATCCCCAAAATAAACTAATTTTGCAGACCCTATCCCTCCATAGTCTTTCAAGTAGGAGAAATGCCAGCGTTCTCCTCCGGTTTACAGGCACTGTGTAAATTATATATATAGAATAATGATGATGATGAATGCATTTTTTTACCACTAAAATGCAGCAACACATCTTTGATTCATGTCGTTTATAACTGGAATATTACAATTATTATTAACTTTGTCTGTACAAAGTAGCCTGTCCAGGAAATATGCCCAAATCAACAAAAACTGCGAGCCGGCACGCAAGACGCTCCGCTTCTGAAACGCTTCTGAAACGCCCCCGGTGGGTTATGACGCCGGAGGAGGCCGGACCAAAACCTCGGCGCAGACGGACCCGGTGGAATCTGGGTTAGAGTCAAAACGTCTTTACTGAAAATAAGATGGATGTAATCATCTCCAAAATTCACAACATATCTTATACAACCAAATACTTCTACTTGTTGCCAACATCACCGGGATTTTATCCTTTGCAGACCATTCACATGCACACAAACCTATAGAACTTATACAGGGAGGGAACACCCCAGAAAGCAGAATGGAGTTAAGAAGAGTATATACACCTGGCTTTGACTATTTTCTACACACCTTCCTGTTTTTACTCATAAATCTCTTTTGTGCTTCAGGGAAAACCTTCCAGCTGTATTCTCATAACCTCATCGGGCTGTTTGAGCAGCTGAAGAAGCCCGGCCTCGCCGCTCAGTTCCAGACGCACCGCTTCCCCGACAAAATCCTGCCCAGGTGAGACCACCGCTTCACAGACTTATATCTGAACCTGTCTAACCATCACTTCTCGGACTGTAATCATGTTGCCACTCTCACGCCGTGCAGAGCTTTTGTTCTCTACCATCCTTACAAACTACTGTGAAAGTACTATAATGAAATAAATACAACCTCTGGCAGACCTCCCTGTTTTCAGACGTCATGACATTTTATAAAACCTTCGCCTCAAAGCCTCTCTTGTTTCTCTCCTCAGGAGGTTCGCCCTGACGACCAAGATCCCCGACACAAAGAGCTGCCATAAGTGCTGCATCGGTGAGTGCCCCTCCAACACACACACACACACACACACACACACACACACACACACACACGTACACACACACCTGTTTTATTTACTCACTCCATCATCTTAAACTGTGTCAATACACGAGGATCTCCTGCACTCCTGTCCCTTTACTTTGCTAATGGAAATGTTTTTATTCTGTGAGCTCGTCTCCATAACTTTGTTGGACCATATATTGTCCCAGAAATAAGAGATAAACGATAATAGTCATTTTAAAACCCTTTAATGCAAGTGGTGTAATGATCATTTGAGGGGATATGATTGCAAGTATACCCTTTCAAAGAGTAATAATAAGGAATGCTACCTCTTCAATATCTTCTCTGTATTTTGTCCAAGTTTCTTCATTGAATTTTTGTTTTTTGTATAAAATGATTTGTAAAGTGATTTTGCGAATGTGGCTGCGGTCGTCTTTCAACCTTTTTTATCATTAAATAAATAAAATAATAATAAAATAAAGCCCCACAACTAAAACAATTATAGAAACTGGACGCTCAGGCTCTTGAAATTGTCCATTTAGTGAGAAATAAAAAGTATATTGGGAGGTGTATGCACTCGTGACTCTTCATACTTTGCATTCATGTGACTAAGTTTTACACACATGTATATACATACATACATTATAAATTGCCCGCTGGCCCGGAAGCACTATTTAGACACCCCGGGCCAGCGTAACGTACTTTCCACTTGCCCGCTCGGGCCACTAAAAATATTGCTTTAAAAAGGTTCTTTGACTAGCAATGTTGTTAAACTGTTTCGTTTATTAACGCTACAACAAAGTATTTCGTGAGGCGGTTGTCGTTGTTGGGTGAAAAGCAAACCGCTGTTCACTACAGACTTTCTCGCCACCTAACCATTCGCCAAAATGTTTTTAATACCAGTTGTAACCAGCCAAGTGCCTGGCAAAAAACAATCTTCAAATAAAAAAAATTCACCGGAGGAGTTAAAGGAGAGTGACGGGGAGTGTGAGAAGAAGAGGGAGAGAAAGTTTCAGCCACACTGGCTTGATCGATGGAGTTGACTTCAATATGATGCCAATATAAACTTAGGGAATAATTTGCTTAGGTATTCAACCTTTGACCCAGTTCATCATGTTCTCCTCTCACTGTCTCCTTTCTCACGGCATAGTTCTACGTCCTTGGGTATTGCTGCTACCTCTCTTAAGGAGCAGCTTGGGCGCGTTGTTGTTGCCAGTCTATGACCGAGCACAAGCCGCCATGAGGTAGTTTACTGTTCAGGGACGTACTGTACGTTCCCTGGCGCACATTATTTTCTATGGACGACAGCTCTAGTTAGATTCAGGGTCCATGTTGCTTTAGTCTCACTGATGAAGAATGTTGATTATTACACTCTGAACTAGTTAAAACCTCGAGCTACAGAAAGAGTTCTTCAGAATTGGTTTGGCAACCGCTGTGTCAACTCGTGACACACCACCTGTCTTGTCAATTCTCCGGCCGAAGCTCCAAATAAACTGTCAGTGTTTGCCATCAAAGCTCCAGCTCTCCTCGTGCCTCTCTTGAGTCCTGACTCTCCATTGCTTCAGAAGTTTCCCCCACATAAACAAGGTCTTTTGTCAGCTCTGTACATCAATGCCGACCCATGCTGACAAGTAAGTCAAGAGTAGAAAATATATAAAGGTATATTCGCTATAGGGAAATGTCCCAGACGTTTAGGATAATGAAGAATCTAATCTATTGCATAGCCATTACATGTCTAACTCCTGATGGCAGAAAGCACATTATACAAATAATAATACTCATAGCAATGACCACAATATAATTATTTTAATAAACCAAATATGAACAATTGAGGAAAATGAGGAAGAACTGATGATTCAAATGTTGTAGTAGAAGTAGTAATGTAGTTTGTGCATAAATTACTATTGCAACAAATGCGTTCATTGTCTTCATTATTAGTCGATTTTTTGGACGAATGCTCTTGGGTTACAATGGTGGGGCCAGTGACAATGAAATTCCACTAGCCCGGAGGACCAGTTACCCTTAATGTCTACCCCTGCTTTAGGTTTACCTAGCCCAGGTTGTATACTGTCATAAAGGACCTCAGTCTGCCTGCTCTTCTTCATCCTCTCTTCTCTGTTTCCCAGTGAGGAACCCGTACACCGGCCATAAGTATCTGTGTGGAGCTCTGCAGTCGGGCATCGTTCTGCTGCAGTGGTACGAGCCCATGCAGAGGTTCATGCTCATCAAGGTCAGTTTAACTTCGCATCACCACTGAAGCCCCGGGGAAAACGAATCTGTGTGATCCATGAATTTATATTATTAATATACATTTCTAGCCCAAATAACGAAGTCACAACTTGCAACTCACACTATAAATTGATTTTACATTGCATTAAGAGATAAAAACATGAATGCTCAGAATCAGAAATCCTTTATCTGTCCAGCTACAGGGAAATGTACATTATTACATCAGCAGGTAGTGCAGATATAGAGAATAGACTTGCATATTTTTTTGAATATTCAAAATGAAAAATGACTAAGTATGCACCAAAAATGAATAACACAATAAGTTAAAATATATTAGGGGTGGGAATCACCAGGCTCCCCACGATACGATACTATCGCGATACTTAAGCCACGATACGATAGTATTGCGATTCTACGATATAAGTATTGCAATAGGATATAATCTGGCGACTGTGGCTCAGTGGATGGGGGGTGGACTTCGAATCATGGGGTAGCAAGTTCGAGTCCCACTGCAGTCAGCATGTCGTTTATGTAAATAACCCAATTTGTGTTCTTTGAACCTGAAAAGGAGATGGCATTGTTTTTGTTACTTTCATTGCAAGAATAGAGAGTATACATGTCTTAACGTAACATATACACCATTAACCCCCAGTGTCGTCTCTCCCCCCCCCCCCCCCCCCCCCCGCAGCACTTTGACTTCCCCCTGCCCAGCCCCCTGAAGGTGTTTGAGATGCTGGTGGTCCCGGAGCAGGAGTATCCTCTGGTGTGTGTGGCCATCAGTCAGGGCACCGATCGGGGACAGGTGGTCCGCTTCGAGACCATCAACCTCAACTCCTGCTCCTCCTGGTTCACCGAGATTGGAGCAAGTGAGTCAAAAATATGGAGACAAACACCAAAGAAACTGTTGGGAACATACTGAATGTCCTCTTCCAATATCAGAGTCCACATGATAACAAAGGTATCCCAACTGTAGCTGTGTGCATGACAGGATGTATGATTACCTAGAAGAGCATCAGGACTGTTTTAGGCATATGATAGCTATGTGATTAACATGATGATTCAGCCTCTATGGAGATAGACATATGACAAGCATGCTCATTTCTGACGTGGAGCTAATCTGAAGTAAACATTGAATACTGCTTTCTATTCCTCCATCTTGTGACTGTGTAACTCCCTCTCTTGGATATCAGCATGTAAGGACACTGTTTGAGATTTTGAGAAAGTCCGAATTTCGAGATTTTGAGAGAAATTCAGAATTTTGAGAGAAATTCAGAATTTTGACATTTTGAGAAAAAAGACAGGATTTTGAGAGAAATTCAGAATTTTGACATTTTGAGAAAAAAACAGGATTTTGAGAGAAATTCAGAATTTTGAGGAATTTTGACATTTTGAGAAATAAGACAGGATTTTGAGAGAAATTCAGAATTTTGAGAGAAAGTAAAGATTTTGAGAAAAAATACTGGATTTTGAGATTACCAGAAAAAAGCCAAAATTTTGAGAAAAAAACTCAGTATTTTGTACATGACAGGATGTATGATTACCTACAAGAACCGGTATTCCTCCATCTTGTGACTGTGTAACTCCCTCTCTTGGATATCAGCATGTGAAGGACACTGTTCAGGAACTAGTTGATGCTCTGTATGTGATGACTGCTTCCATTCTGGAGAGGATCACAGATACATGGATCCTGAGATTGAAGCTCAAGCCGTTGAGTGATATTTTCCTAAAAGAAACAATATAAAGCCAGAATGTGTTCTGTGGAGATGTGGCCAGTGGGGGAAGAAGTATTAAGACTTAAGGGGAAGTACTATATCAGATTCAAAATCACAACAGGATATTTATTGTTGTTCATTTCCTCCTCAGCTTATCAGCAGGTGGATGCGATCCATGTGACGCAGCTGGAGAGAGACACAGTGTTGGTGTGTTTGGACCGTGAGTACAATCTCCCTCTTAATGAGATTTTAAATATCTATGTTCTCCCACGTCTTCCTTACAGCCTGTCGCTATTTCTCTCCTCAGAAAATTTGAAGATAGTGAACCTCCAGGGCCGACTGAAGTCCAACAAGAAGCTGGCGTCTGAGCTCAGCTTCGACTTCTGCATCGGGTCTGTCGGTAAGATTTAGACAGGAAGTCTCCGATTTTACAGTCTGTGTGAAGCAATATAGGTACATGTAATTATGTAAGGCATTTTAAGACACTTATGCAGCACTTCCTATCCTTAAGGAGTAACCTGGACCCTATTTTCCAGGGGTTTTGTGTCTAAAATCAAATGTTCCTCCATTTCTCTTGACAGTGTGCCTTCAGGACAGCGTTCTGGCCTTCTGGAAACACGGCATGCAGGGGAAGAGCTTCAAGTCTAATGAGGTAAAACCGATACATCTCATGACCTTGAACACTTAGTGGCTTTTATTATGAAATACACATTCAGAAAAATATCTCACTTTGTTGAAGTCAAGTGTTGAGTTCAAGTGAAAAAACGTGCAAAGTTACAGAGGTGACAAAGAGATGACACACTGGATTAAAGGGGAAATTAACAGCCCGTCCACACGGCGGCGTGCGTTGAATGGGGTGACGTCACGCTTTGCCGAAATGCATTGTGGTTCCGTCGCTTCGCGTTGCTCGCTTCAAAAGTTGAGAAAAATTCAACTTTTAAAGCTTCGACGGAAGCGTCAGCCAATCAAATCATATGCCAGTACAAGCTCTAGCCAATCAAACCGCGTGCTTGTGTGTCCGGGGCGGGAGATTCATGTGATTGGTTGTTGGTCGAGTTTCAGACACGCCCGCCAGCAAGCTTCAACGCACGCTGCCGTGTGGACGCTGCGTGAGTAGTCTTAAAAAGCCTTGAATTAATTCACGTTAAAATACGGCATTAAGGGGTAAGAAAATATCTTGAATCAATCTTTTACTGGATGCCATTTTCTCATTTAACGTCATAAGATCAGGAAACTACAACACTCGTATTTAGTTTGATGTTTACAGATAAATAGTCGGATAGCTAGCAACAACTTAGGGAAGTATTTTGGTTATCGTTAATACGATACGAAACCCTTTATTGTCCCCGTTAGAAAATGTGTTACTCGCTGAGTCCTGCAGTTGCACAGAAGATACAAATCATACTCTTACATAGTATACAATTTAAGAAATGTATATATAAACACATGCAACTAAGTCTCAGAAAGTCTTGGATTTAACTTGCCTTAATCTGCATTAAACATTTCAACATTTAAAGTCAATATTGACACCAAGACATCAGCCTTATACAGGTTATAGGTTCCCCGGTGACAGTGGAGGAGACACTCCGTTTGTCACGTCTCTGAATACAGGTGTGTTTGTTTCACACACCAACAAACACCTCTTGTCCACAAAGCCTCTGAGGTGCAGCGGCTGTTAAACTCGCGTCTACATGCTGTCACTGATCCTGCAGATTAGACTCAAAGTGTCTTTGTGTCGCTGCAGGTAATGGATTTGTCCTCCACGCTGACCTGAACACAGCGCTGTGTAAAAGTTCAAGGAGTCGCGGGGAGGTGAAGCGTTGTGTTTTTGTGGAAAGTGATACAGCGCTTCAGAAAGCCTGCAGTGTCACACACAACAAAAGCTCTGTTTGAGGAGAGATTTCTGAAATGTCAGCGGCCATGAAACATTGATGGTCCGTCATAAAGCCGTCACAGGACAGCGAGCGGAGATGAATAATTCAGCGTTCGTCTCGTTATGATTCCTCACAAAACGGAGGCACCTGAGAGCTTGTTGAGACGGATCACATCTCCTGAGGCCAAGCTCTCACACCTCGCAGGTGTCACACAGACACACTCACTATCTCCCATCTGTCCACACGCTTCACCACAGGTAAACAGGGGAGAGTGTGTTCTGCAGTGTCAGGATACAGAGACGGTTCCCTTCAGAAACATTAAGACGTTTTTCTATTCAAAGACACAATCAGTGATCCACGAGCAAACAGTCGCCTTGCCATCAAAAGTGAAAACACAACAGGAGAGATTTTCAGAATAAAAGCCCCCCCAAGAGACCATACTGTATCAAGTGAAAGGTTGAAATCATATTATTTCTTTTAGGTCTGATCGATTAATCAATCAATATCTTATATGAAAGAATACAAGTGTTTAAGTGTCAGAACCACCAGATATTTGCTATTTTTGCACAAAAAATATATTATATAAATATATTATAATTATATATAATTTATATTGCTTCAGTTAACTTGCCCTTTAGCATCATCTCACATTCCTAAACCAGAAGAAATAATCATCCAATCAATCAAAATGTGATCAAAGTCACAATATGGAACAGTGTAATCTCCAATTTGCCGAAAACGTAATATTTGTTTAAAGTGACATATCCCATTTGCAATGTCAGTCAAAAATAATCGTTATTTTATTATTTATATCTCTCTAGTCTTGACTCAGACTGGGTGTTTCTCAATGTCGATAACGCTTCCTTGGTAGCACATGTCTTCCGAGTCAGGTCCTTCAGAAGCGAGGCAAGAATCCTTCCTAGCCTCGGAAAACGAAGAATGGTGGAACAGGCTAACAGGCTAACAGGCTAACAGGCTAACAGGCTAACAGGCTAACAGGCTAACAGGCTAACAGGCTAACAGGCTAACAGGCTAACAGGTGTGCGTCATATGCGAGGCCCCGCCTTAAATGGAGCGCGATTTCCGCCAAATATTTTGGAAATTGGTCCGTGCGCAAAGCATTGTGGGGATTTTAAGACCGCGGAGGATACACATGTGCAGCCTCGAAATGTCGCCGGCCTCGGTAGAATTCCAAGCATGCTGGACATTGGAACAGTCCTTCGGCGGGCACTCGATGACGTAGCATCCTTGAAATAGTGGCTCTGGAGCAGCCTTCCTCGACATTGAGAAACTCCCTGGGTGTTACAGCGGTGCTTGTTGATGGGTTTGTTTGTCACACTTTTTTTTTTTTTTTTTCATTCCTCAGGTGACCCAGGAGATCTGTGATCCGAGCCGAGTTTTCCGCCTCCTCGGGTCTGACAGGTAGGAGCACATCTAAATCTGTAGAGACACACACACACACACACGCGCGCACACACACACACACACACACACACACACACACACACACACACACACACACACACACACACACACACACACACACACCACACACACACACACACACACACACAGACACACACACAGACACACACACAGACAGACACAGACACAGAGACACACACACACAGACACACACACACACACACAGACACACACAGACACACACAGACACACACAGACACACACAGACACACACAGACACACACAGACACACACAGACACACACACACACACTCACCTCCCCTTTACTCGCTCAAGCATTTTTTGATTTGGAAAATATACCTTAATACGGCAACTCCTACTTTCATATTATTATTATGTCATCACTTGCTGTTTTTAATCACATCAAGTTCTTTCCTGCAATTATTATGAGAACATCTAAGTTGAAATATCTCAGTAATGAATATAATGTGAATTTATTTTTGTTATAACAGACTAAACTTTGGCTTTAGAGGTAAACAAAGACCCCAGATTTGCTGTTTTTAACGAAAAGATCTCCCCTTAGAGAGTGATCTAACCCAGTGTAGCACCATAGTCTCAAAGGACCGCTTAAACCCTTCACCTCACTTCCTGTTTACCTTTATTTGTATTTATAATTGGTGTGATTCATTATCTTCATGACTTCAATATTACTAGTAGTTATATCAGTCCTCCCTCAGGTGTTATTACCTGAGACATCCTCTCCTCCTCAGCTCTCTGTCTCGACCTGCCTCTTCTCCTCCTTAGATTTGACTTTCCAATGACTCTAAGCTTTATTGCTGTCCCTGAACGCACCACGGGGTCTTATCCCTGAATGCCCTCTCTCTCTCTTTGTTTGCTGCTTCAGGAGCTCCGCTGGCTGAGCAAAATGTCAAACACCTCACAAAAAGTCACAGCTGTTCCTTTTAAATAATACATCTATTGGAGTTCGGCAGTAAATTGAAAGCTTGTCATATCAGGGTGTCCGCGGGGTCTTAAAAAGTATTAAAAGTTGATCAATCAATTTAGCGAAAATGAAGGCTATTAAAAAGTATTAAACAGCATTTTCCAATGTATTACATTTTGTAGCTTGTTTTCAATAAGTATATAAATTGTCCAAAGAGGTTGTATTCTACAGTGTGCCTGAATGTAATCATTGCGTAGGTGTGTAGTGTGATTCTGTGTAGTTTATTTATGGCATCCCGTTGGATTTGACGTCATCTGAACAGGACATCGCACGCTCACTGCTTGATAGCGCGCGAAGGTCCGTTTACGCCGGTTGTTAAACAACATCGTTATGGGGAAATGCGAGTCTGCGTCCAAATGGTTGGAAGATAAGGAGGAAGGACAATCAATACTGTATATAGTCAATGTGAGGTAAAGTGTGTCGCCAAGGTAACCGGTTAGAACTCAAAGTGGCGATGAGGTCTTAAAATGTATGGAAAGGGTCCAAAGATCCAAAAATACTTAAAGTTCCAAAAATACCGTAAATTCCAAAAATACTTAAAGTTCCAAAAATACTTAAAGATCCAAAAATACTTAAAGTTCCAAAAATACTTAAAGTTCCAAAAATACCGTAAATTCCAAAAATACTTAAAGTTCCAAAAATACTTAAAGATCCAAAAATACTTAAAGTTCCAAAAATACTTAAAGTTCCAAAAATACCGTAAATTCCAAAAATACTTAAAGTTCCAAAAATACCGTAAATTCCAAAAATACTTAAAGTTCCAAAAATACTTAAAGTTCCAAAAATGGTTGGAAGATAAGGAGGAAGGACAATCAATACTGTATATAGTCAATGTGAGGTAAAGTGTGTCGCCAAGGTAACCGGTTAAAAAAAAAGTGGCGATGAGGTCTTAAAATGTATGGAAAGGGTCCAAAGATCCAAAAATACTTAAAGTTCCAAAAATACCGTAAATTCCAAAAATACTTAAAGTTCCAAAAATACTTAAAGATCCAAAAATACTTAAAGTTCCAAAAATACTTAAAGTTCCAAAAATACCGTAAATTCCAAAAATACTTAAAGTTCCAAAAATACTTAAAGTTCCAAAAGTACCGCAAATGGTTGGAAGATAAGGAGGAAGGACAATCAATACTGTATATAGTCAATGTGAGGTAAAGTGTGTCGCCAAGGTAACCGGTTAAAAAAAAAGTGGCGATGAGGTCTTAAAATGTATGGAAAGGGTCTTAAAAAAGGTCTTAAAAGGTCTTACATTTGACTTCAGGATTCCTGCATATACCCTTCATACGTTTGTGAGAGTCCGACATGGCTTGTTCTGTCCGAGTAGTCGTCAAACACAAAGTTTTTCCTAAATGAAATCATAAAGAACGGAGAAAAGAAGAATGGAACAAAACTAGATTTTTGGTATTTTTGCTGAATCTGTGACTAAAGTAGTTTAATCGTGTTGATTGGTCTGCTGATTATTAAAACACTTAAATGTACAATAATACTTAAAAATAAAACAGTAAATTCTCACATCCGAGAAACTGGAACCTCAACATGTGGGAGAGAAACTCCCTCTGGAGCAAACACAGGGATTTGAGCCTTTGCAGACCCTTTACATGCACTAACACGTATAGATCAAACTACATTGTGCTGTTACAGAGAAACGTCAGTTCAGCGTCGACAGAGAGCGGAGAGGAGACTGAGCTCTTTCTCTCTGGTGGTTTGCAACAGGATGTGATTTAGCTCCCCACCTCACACACACTCACACACACACACTCTCTCACTCTCACTCTCACTCTCACTCTCTCTCACACACCTCTCTCTCTCACACACACACACACACCTCTCTCTCTCACACACACACACACACACCCCTCTCTCTCAAACACACACACACCTCTCTCTCTCAAACACACAAACACACACTCACACACACACACACACCCCTCTCTCTCTCAAACACACACACACCTCTCTCTCTCAAACACACAAACACACACACACACACTCACACACACACACACCCCTCTCTCTCAAACACACACACACCTCTCTCTCTCTCAAACACACACACACACTCACTCACTCACACATACACACACTCACTCACTCACTCACTCTCACATACACACTCCCTCACTCATATTCACACACTCTCTCTTTGACTCTCACTCACACACTCTCTCTCTCTCTCTCTCTCTCTCTCACTCACTCACTCACTCACAGACACACACTCACAAACATGCACACACACAATCTCTCTCACTCACTCACTCACAACAAAACACGCCCGCACGCAGAGCAACACGCGCGCGGGCACGCACCACACACACGCGCGCGCGCGCACAGCACGCACACACACACAACACACACCCTCCACACGCCACGCACACACACGAACACACGCAAACACACACAGACCACGCACGCGCGCGCGGGCTCACCTCTCTCACACACATACACTCACTCTCTCTCTTTCTCACTCTCTCACACTCACACACACACATTTTCTCTCTCTCTCTCACACTCACACACACACTCACAAACACACACACTCTCACTCTTTCTCACTCTCTCTCACACTCACACACATACACTCACTCTCTCTCACTCACTCAGTCATTCACTCACTCACACTCTCACACACACACACATGTTCTCTCTCTCTCTCTCTCTCTCTCTCGCCCCTCTGGTGCCAGCAGAGCGTCCTCCATGTTTTATTCACCTGCCGGGCACTGCCAGCTGCTCGGTGTCTCTGCTCTGTAATTTCATCTTCTCCGGAAGATTCTCCAACACATCTCACTGTAACACAACGTCACCATCAAACTGACAGCAGATCAACAACCTCTGCACCCAACTCTGAGTCATATACCGCTCCCGTGATATCAGATTAGATATAGAAGATTCAGACCAAATTGCCCCACCTTCAGGTTTCATTTTCTTTGTGATTTCTTAACGTTCCTGTCTGTTTTGTTTTTGTTTTACAGGGTGGTTGTTCTGCAGAGCCGCCCCACAGACAACCACACATCGCTGAGCAACCTGTACATCTTAGCCGGACACGAGAACAGTTACTGAGAGCAAGAAGAACAGCTTTTATTTTGGGAGAAATCTGCAGACTTCCTGTGTGGTCTGTTATCGGGAGCGTCTGTTATCGGGAGCGTCTGTTACTGGGAGCGTCTGTTATCAGGAGCGTCTGTTATTGGGAGCGTCTGTTACTGAGCAGCGTCTTCTGCGTGGATTCATCAGCAGCCTTACAAACCAGCAAGAAACCATAACCCAGCAACAGTAAAAGCTCAGAGGAAATGTTACTCAGTGTTTTCTCTCCTTCATACCGTGGACTGAAAGTATCTACAGGTGTTATTATTGACAAAAAGTGCCATTAAACTCACAGCAATGTGTGATTGTATTAGCAAAACCAACAGGAGATTTACCGTGTTATCGTCTCATAATCAAATGTTAGATCTTACTCAAACTAATAGCTCAGATTTAACAGAAACCCACGAGCATTGTGGGTAGTTTGAGCAATATTTATTAACCTGATGTAATAGGGTTGTTTGAGCATTAACTACCTAGTGTTCGGTCCTGAGAGGCTTCGGGTTATTCTCTGCTTTGTAATATATCCTGCAGCGTTTTTAGAAGTTAAATATACTGTACATTCTCTTTTGTTTCCTCTTTTATTGACCTTTTACTTCTCATTATTTGCACCATGTAAGCACTTTTGTACATTTTTTTATTTAAAATAAAATGACAAAATGAGGGACGATGCTCGGTCTTTGTTAACATCTCTGCATTCCCTTTCGCAAAATGTTTAATGTATGCTGTTTTTTGTAATAAAAAAAAAGCTGTTAACAAGATAACCGCGACTCCGGGGTGTTTTTGTGAGAGTGTTATATCAATCTTGGACCTAGTCATAGTAACTAGGTATGTTATTAAGTTACAGTTTCCATAGAATTGTCTCTTTGCTAATTATTACGTTAAGTGAGCTGAGGCCGAGCTCAGAGGAAATGCAAAGAGACTACATTTAGATATAATACAGTTAAATGTTAGTTAATGAAATAAATGTATGTGCGTTCATGTGCAGACGTATATATAGTTTGTTAATTGGATAATTCATATCCTGCAAGACTCCTAAAGAAGTCATGAGATGATGACCTTTCGACATCTGGAACATGTCCAAGTTTGGGAGAACTGACAATGTGTGTGCGTTAAACATGTTTAGGGAACATGTTCGTGTGTCATTTAGGAAACCTATATCTCCCCTGTGTTTTCTTGTGTTCGTGGGAGCATTTCTGCGATTGGTTGCTGTTGAAGCAAGGTAATGTTTCCCCATTGTTGTTTGGTGGTGCGCAACTAAATAATGATTAATCTCAACTATTCCTGTGTTTTGTGTTTCATTGATTCCTCTGTTTCATTCTTTCCTGTTGTGTGAGTGCTGGATCGCCACAACAAGAGTCTGATGAGAGGTAAGGTGAGTTTAGGTTTTCCATCCTGCACCTGAGGAGGATGTGGCTCACTTCATCCCAGATTGCTCCTGTGGGGTTTGCCTACAGTACTGAATGAATGTATGTAAAGCGTCTTAACAAGTGACATGTAATGCACTAATTATTCCCAGAGCGACAGAAACACACGTCACGTTTCCCCGTCTGCTGCTTTTAACGTAGAATAATGTCACAGTGGAAGAAATACATTATAACACAGTATGAGCTGTGCAGGACAAACCTAGAGAAGCACATTTTTGCCAAGTTAAAATTTAGACTGAGACCTTTTTTTACTATGTTTAAAACGTTTTAATCATTTACAATTACTATGTTATTTTTATGACTTACTTTCTCCTTTTTTTCAAATTAATTTAAGGTAATGACTTTATTCCTTTGAGGGATGTTTTCAATCTTTTTTTGTGAATATTTAGACATTTTTCAGGTTTTTTATGCTTGACCAGGCATATAATTTAAAGTTCACCTATTATGCAAAATCCACTTCTTCCTGTCTTTTCTACATCAACATGTGTCCCCTCTTCTTCATGTCTCTTCTACATCAACATGTGTCCCCTCTTCTTCATGTCTCTTCTACATCAACATGTGTCCCCTCTTCTTCATGTCTCTTCTACATCAACACGTGTCCCCTCTTCTTCATGTCTCTTCTACATCAACATGTGTCCCCTCTTCTTCATGTCTCTTCTTCATCAACATGTGTCCCCTCTTCTTCATGTCTCTTCTACATCAACATGGGTCCCCTCTTCTTCATGTCTCTTCTACATCAACATGTGTCCCCTCTTCTTCATGTCTCTTCTACATCAACATGTGTCCCCTCTTCTTCATGTCTTTTCTACATCAACATGTGTCCCCTCTTCTTCATGTCTCTTCTACATCAACATGTGTCCCCTCTTCTTCATGTCTCTTCTACATCAACATGTGTCCCCTCTTCTCCATGTCTCTTCTACATCAACATGTGTCCCCTCTTCTTCATGTCTTTTCTACATCAACATGTGTCCCCTCTTCTTCATGTCTCTTCTACATCAACATGTGTCCCCTCTTCTTCATGTCTCTTCTACATCAACATGTGTCCCCTCTTCTTCATGTCTCTTCTTCATCAACATGTGTCCCCTCTTCTTCATGTCTCTTCTACATCAACACGTGTCCCCTCTTCTTTATGTCTTTTCTACATCAACATGTGTCCCCTCTTCTTCATGTCTCTTCTACATCAACATGTGTCCCCTCTTCTTCATGTCTCTTCTTCATCAACATGTGTCCCCTCTGTGGAAAGAGACTCTGAAAGTTTCAGGAACAAAAATTCTCTCTCTTTTTGTCCTGATCCATTTATATAAAAACCTGTCTGAAAATGAGCTGATCAGATTTTGGCCACTTTATGATGTCATAACGTTTTTTTGGCTTGTGTAACCATTAGCCAATAACCAACCTCAGAAAGTGCATTTTGCATGATAGGTCCCCTTTAAATTAAAACACCTCTTTAACTCTCTAACTTTGAGGAAGGAAAGTCCTCAGAAACTCAGTCTGTTTTCCTTTTTTACGGAGGTGGAGCAAGGTGGAGTCGCTCAGCTGTTGCTATGGGAACCCGGAGAGTAAAAGAGAGATGTGTGAAACTGATCAGAGAGAGAGAGAGGACAACACCGGAAGTGAGGGGATCTCGCCTTCAAAATAAAATCACGAAACAGATTGCTGCTGATCAGAAGGTTATTGTATACGTTTACCTTTGTTAATTTACATCGTCTCTCTTCCTTAGTTTATGTCTCTATTTCTGCATTTTGACTCATTGTTTACATTGAAATGTCATTTATTTTCACAATAAAGTTGCCTTGCTTATTTTTTTAATAACTTGTATGAATCCCCAAGAGCGTCACTGCATCAGAGTCTGGTAAACAACTTAAGAATAAGAAAAAAATAGTCCCACATTTATTTAAATATCTAGGAAATGTCAAATAAATGTAATGGAGTAAAAATACAAATTCGCATACATTGGAAATATTCAATTAAAGCACATTTACCATTTCTGCATCTGAGCTGTAAGAGTTGCTGTGCTTGCATTTCTTATACAGGCAAGGAGGGAATCTATTCTGTGTTTTATTTTGAAGGGCACTACCGGATGTTTGTGTTTCTTCCACCCCAGTTAACTCGTTATAAGCCTCCTCGCGCCTCTCTCTCCGCAGACAGTTGAGCTGTGATCCTCCCTGACTCTGGATCTCTCTCTGCAACATTTACAACAAAAGTAAGTTTTATTTTAACATTTTACTACAAGCGAAATGTTATTTTACTTAAATATTTCTAACACAAACTCAGGAATGTTCCTACTTTAATAATCAGTTTGTTTCATGTTGTAACTTTGCTCAGACTTGGATTTTAGTGACTGTTTTTTTTAGCATCAAATGCCACTCTAAAGCATGCATTTGCAGGCTATTATCACGTTTTCTGCAGGTATTAAATGTGCATCACTTTGATTTTCCTCCCTCTCTGTTTTCCCCCCCCGCTTACTTCAGGGAAATGAATGTACTTTGCATTGCAAATGTTTTGGTTACGCAATCTAAGTGTAGAGAGACAGGTGTACTGTTCCTCTGAGCACTCACATCTATTTCAGGAGGCAATTTAAAGGGTTTCTCAAAACGTTTTCCACAGCGGAAACACTGCATTTATTTAGGTTTTTATAAAATGTGCTTATGCATGTTAAGTATTTGTACTTTTAAGGATGATTTTGATGATTATGCATGATTTTTCTGTGCCATAAGCTCTTTAAAAAAAAAAATTCAACTAATAAAGAATGTTGCAGAGGTCAAACAATAGTGAGTAAGATGAATCATAATTAAAAATCAAAAAATATAAATTATAAATAAAGTCAAAATGTGTACAAAAATATAATTATACAACTAAAATCATTACAAATTGCTGTAAACATATGCACAGTTGCATAGTATTGTGCAGAAATGTGCAAAATAATAACAAAATATCAATATAATATATTAGTATCAATAAATGTTTAAGCTGTTTTTATCAAAATGCTTTTAGATGCAAGAAAATAATTTAATACAAATAATATTTAACCACTAAATGTTCAGATATTTGTCCCTTTTTTTGTGTTTTTACAAAGACATGAAGTAGGTCACAAGAAAAGAAATACATCTGGTATGTCACAACTATAAGATCATAACAACTTCAGACAAAAAGGCCAAAATAATTAAAGAAGTTGTGAAAATAAGAGAAATTATCAGAAAAAATCCAAACATTCAGTTACTTAAAATATAAACAAATAGAAAAAAATCACAAAATAATTGTGTATCTCCAGCCTTAATAATGAAACTTTAAAGGTAAAACAAAACAATTAAATAATAATAAATATAGCCATACATTTTCTGAAAAAATCTCCAAAATAAACGTGTGTTTGTTTTGTCTAAGAAAATACATTTTTTATCCCGAGGAGAAAAGGAGTTTTTCTGACAGATGCTCCATAAACAATCAAATAAATAAACGTTATATAAACTTGAGGAGTTAAGTAGAAATGTACAACACGTCATGATATCTATTCCTGTTAACCAACACACGTGAATTTTATTAAATATTTCCCATCTGTTTTATTCTCAGGCTGCAGACTCAGTGCTTTCTCCTGGATTTTTTTGTTTTACGTTGTGATGGAGAAGTACGAGAAGATAGCGAAGATCGGGGAGGGTTCGTACGGCGTTGTGTTCAAGTGCAGGAACAAAGACACGGGACAGATCGTCGCCATCAAGAAGTTTGTGGAGTCTGAAGACGATCCCATCATCAAGAAGATCGCTCTGCGGGAGATCAGGATGCTCAAGGTGAAGACACAATAACGTCATAAATACTATCCTCATTATTATCCTCTTTTTTTTTCTTAAAGGTAGGGTAGGTAAGTTTGAGAAACCGGCTCGAGATACACTTGTTGTTATATTCCATGGAATGCTCTTAACATCCCGATAGCAATGAATATCTGAAGTGCTTTGACAACAAATCCATAAAAAAACATCATCTGTGGAAGCCGTAATACTGTAAAAAGCACGACCAATCATCTGAGCCGGCCCGGCTAAAATAACTGGATGGCCTACCTGCCTGCCAGCCTTCCATCTGTGCACAAACTTATCTGGTGCCCTCATTGGTCATGTGCGCGTTCGTGTGTGTTGGAGGAGGGGCTCTGTAAGGAAGTGGCAGATTTTTTCCGGCTGTGTATTTTCAAATTCTAGCGATCTCGAGCTGGTTTCTTCAAAATGACCTACCCTACCTTTAATATGATCCTAAATGTCTCTAAAAACCCTCTCATTCTTCTTACATAAACCATTTCACATCTGTGTTTTTGCTGTCATGAAACTGATTTAACAGTGTTGCAGGTGTGAAGGGATTTCTGCCAGGAAAGGTAGAGACAAAACAAGATAGTGTTGTGCCACAATTTGCCGGGACAGATTGAAAATGGTCAGATAGTGAGTCAGATTTGTGTTTCTAAGTTTAAATGATCAGAGAAAATGTAAAATCAGAAATACATGTTTACAAAATTATCCAAAAATGTTAAATACAAACTATCAGAAAATTGGTTTAGAAATCAGAAAAAAATTCAAGCATTATCGAGAAAAATAAAAAAAATTCACCAACGATTTTACCAAAAATAAAATCTGAAAAATTGGTTTCAAAAATCTAAAAAAATGTCAAAACTCCATCCATCTATCTTCTCCCGCTTATCCCAGTCGGGTCGCGGAGGCAGCCGTTCCAGCAGAGTTATCCAATGCAACTTACAATAATAAAGGGACTTCAGGTATAGAAACCCTGCATAACCAACTGCCTCATCACTTGGCTAAACTCAATATGCACATGCTGGAGGCAAAACAACTCCAATCCAACCACATGATGCAACATCTGTGTCACATGCATCTCGGTGGTAACCCTCATCTGAGAAGTGGGAGCCAACTTCAAATTCCATCCATCCATCTTCTCCCGCTTATCCGAGTCGGGTCGTGGAGGTATCGGTTCCAGCAGAGAGCCCTGAACCTCCCTTTCCCCTAACCCACATCAACCAGACCTCACTGGGGGATTCAAGGCGCTCCCAGGCCAGCGAAGACATATAATCCCTCCAACTGGTCCTGGGTCTGCCATTTGGTCTCCTCTAAACTGGACGTGCCTGGAACACCTCAGCCCAGGTGGCATCCTTACTAGGTGGCATCCTTACTAGGTGGCATCCTTACTAAGTTGCATCCTTACTAAGTGGCATCCTTACTAAGTTGCATCCTTACTACATCATTACTAATTGGCATCCTTATTAAGTTGCATCCTTACTAAGTGCCATCCTTAGTGACATCCTTACTAGGTTGCATTCTTACTAGGTTGCATTCTTACTAGGTGGCATCCTTACTAGGTTGCATCCTTACTAGGTGGCCTCCTTACTAAGTGGCATCCTTACTAAGTGGTATCCTTACCAGGTGGCATCCTTACTAGGTGGCATCCTTACCAGGTGGCATCCTTACTAGGTGGCATCCTTACTAAATTGCATCTTTACTAAGTGGCATCCTTACTACATCCTTACTAAGTTGCATCCTTACTACATCCTTACTAAGTTGTATCCTTACTACATCTTTACTAAGTGGCATCCTTACTAAGTTGCATCCTTACTAAGTGCCATCCGTACTAAGTGGCATCCTTACTAGGTGGCATCCTTACTAAATTGCATCTTTACTAAGTGGCATCCTTACTACATCTTTACTAAGTGGCATCTTTACTAAGTTGCATCCTTACTAAGTGCCATCCGTACTAAGTGGCATCCTTACTAAATTGCATCTTTACCAAGTGGCATCCTTACTAAGTGGCATCCTTACTAAGTTGCATCCTTACTAAGTGGCATCCTTACTAGAAGAAGAAGAATAGGGAGGGATGAAACCCTCTTTAATGGTCACACATGCAGAGCACACAGCACACACAGTGAAATTTGGCCTCTGCTTTTAACCCATCCTAGTACAAGGAGTCTAGTACTAGGAGCAGTGGGCAGCTATTGTACAGCGCCCGGGGAGCAATGGGAGTGGGGGGGGAAGGGGGGTGTCCGGTGCCTTGCTCAAGGGCACCACGGCAGGGCAGGAGGTGAACTGGGACCTCTCCAAGTAGAAGTCCACACTCCATATTTAGGTCTGGTCGGGGACTTGAACCAGCGACCCTACGGCTCCCAGTCCAAGCCCCTACTGACTGAGCCACTGCCGGACTACTACATCCTTACTAAGTTGTATCCTTACTACATCCTTACTAAGTGGCATCCTTACTACATCCTTACTAAGTTGTATCCTTACTACATCTTTACTAAGTGGCATCTTTACTAAGTTGCATCCTTACTAAGTTGCATCCTTACTAAGTTGCATCCTTACTAAGTTGCATCCTTACTAATTGGCATCCTTACCAGGTGGCATCTTTACCAGGTGGCATCCTTACTAGGTGCCCGAACCACCTCAACTGGCTCCTTTCAACACGAAGGAGCAGCGGTTCTACTCTATTCTAAGTTTATTTATATAGCACTTTTCTGTACGCGACAATTCAAAGTGCTTTACAAATCAAATTAAAAGACTTTTTAGGAATAAATACAGTAAAAACACATTACAGTATATAATGGCATTTTACAACAGGCATTATAGAAAGGATCCAAAAAGTCAACATCATCGTAGAACCATCTATATACGATGAGGTCATGAGTCTTATTTTGGTTTAAAGTCCAAATTCTCAGAGAAAATGTCAAAATAATTTGAGAAAAACTCCAAATGATCACCAAAAAAAAATCTTCTTGTCTCTGTATTAACTGATTTGGCTTGTACGAACATATACTTTATTCTCTTCTGTTAGTAATAAACATGGTAGAAAGATATTTCAAATGTATTTTGATGCTCATAGTTTAGTTGTTTTATATTCTATGAGTTGTCCTACTATGCAGCGCTTTATTTAGAAGTTTTATTTTGACCTTTTTAAAATGCAAATCCTGTTTTTAGTGTCTCTCTGCAGCCAGCGGGGGGGGGGGGGCAGGGTGCAGTAAATCCTGCATTTAACTGCTGCACAGAAGAGAGAGAAAAGAGCTGCGTAAAAAACAACCTGCAGGGAGAATCCTGTGCAGTTCAGAGGTAGTGTCGTGCAGTAATGTGGCTTCATTCAAACTGAAATCAGGCCTAAAAACAACAAAAGTCCAAATAATAATGCTGATTTCACAATTACAAAGAGCAATTATGTCTAACTCTAAACACTTGTTGTGCACTGACTGTTCTTTTAACTTAAAGGGGACCTATCATGCAAAATGCACTTTTTGATGTCTTTTATACACGTGTCCCCGGTGCGTCGGGGAACTCACGCAGCGTCAGAAAATAAAACCCTCTCTCTTTTCCTCCGTACCCAAATCTTTAAAAACCGGGGGTACAACGAGCGGATACAGATTTGCTGCCGATATGACGTAATTTCGGATGGTGGACCCACAGAAAGTTGCTATCAGAAACAATGCCTGACGTGTTTTGGACGTAATCTCATCTTTGTTTACATTAGCATGTCGCTAACACTAAGAGCTAACCTGTACTGGAGAGCACAAAAGCAGGAAATAAAAAAGGAACTCACCTTGTGATAAACCCGCAAGAGAAAAAGCATTTGAGCTCCATACTGTTTCAGAAATAATCCTTGATGTGGTTTAGAACAGGATGGCGTTTTATCACAGCAGAATTTAACTTTATCTCCGGTAGAATTCTGATCAGGCATTAGCTCCGCCTCCTTTTTTTTTTTTTTTCAAGCTGAGGACCCAAAATCCACGTTCCTCTAACAGCTGGAATAGAGGGGTTTGAGAAAAACACATCATGTTTTTATATATTTGTATATATCTGAGACCCATAATATATGCCTTAAAATAGCATGATAGGAGACCTTTAAATTAAAATAGAAATATAACCAGCCTTCAAATGTAAAATACGTTCAGTGTTATTGTTTGTTATATGCAATACATCCTTTCAAAATAAAGTGACGTTGAATCAACTTTCTAATTCATTGACACTCAAAAAAATGTCCATAACTTCACCAAATACCCCCAAAAACTCTGGAACAAAGACAGATTCATTGCATCATGTCTGTCAGGCTTTATAAGGGTGGAAAACAAACTAAAACATCAGCAGGACTTTGTTGTTTATACCAGAAATATTTTAAACATGAAGGTGTGTGAAGCTGTGTGTTTGCTGCTGCATGACGAGGTTCATCAGAGGAGAAACAGACTCAGTTTAATTAGTCATGCAGGGAGGGGGGGGGGGGGGGGGGGCAGGTTGTCTGGGGCAACAGTATGTTTATCACCGTCAGCTGTTTGATCAGAGAGACGCTGCTTTAACAGCTTCATTTATTTATCTAGTTATTTATTTGTTTATCTATTTATTTAATTATTTTTGTATTTATTTATTTATTTATCTATATATTTAATTATTTTCTATTTATTTATTTTTCTATTTATTTTTGTATTTATGTATTTATTCATCTATTTTTCTATTTATTTATTTATCTTGTTATTGTCCTTAGGTGTCATGAAAGGCGCCCTTAAATAAAATGTATTATATTATTATGTTATTATACATCAGCTCAGTGGGGGGTGAATACTCCCCATTAAATGTCTATAATTGAAATGTATAAAATGTGTCTGAAGCCCTCCATGGACTCTTCTTCTTCTTCCAGCATGTTCCCCTCTCTGACATTTCCACATTTCTTTCCAAATATCAACCTACAAATAAATATTCCTCCAGTATCATTTACTTTCTGCCTCGCCTTAACCCAGCCCTTTGTGAACTAAGAGTTCTTCTTATTCCGCAGCAACTGAAGCACGCTAACCTGGTGAACCTGATGGAGGTGTTTCGGAGGAAGAGGAAACTGCACCTGGTGTTCGAGTACTGCGACCACACGGTGCTGCACGAGCTCGACCGACACCCCCGAGGGTCCGTGAGGCTAAAACACAAAACAAGCTCACATACTAGGGCTGCACGATTTGGGGAAATAATGTAATTGCGATTTTTCTGACAGATATTGCGATTGCGGAAGTTTATTGTAAAATGCGGCCATATCTCCGGCTAGGAAGGTCGTATCAACGTGCTCCCGTCTCTAGCACCCCCGCAGCCCGAGCTACGAGTGGAAGAACTAAACTTACAGGAAACTTCCGTTGGGTTGCTTTAAAGTCAAGCTTCAGTTTAAGATTCACCCTGTAATAGATACATGTGATGGAGCATTACTAACCTGACTCAGATGCTTTGTTTCACCAAACCATCCAGGAAAGCTCCATTGGAAGCCATTTAGAAAAGTATTTCAAAAATACTTGGCAGGTGATTGGATCAATCTGTCTATCACCTTCTATCATGGGCCACTTCTGATACATGTGGAGCACAGCACTTCTGATTGGTGTGGATGACTGACACACAAGAAGAACACAAAAAAAACGTTGCGATTTGATAATTGCATAATTTATTTCGATTTAAAATCGATTAATCGTTCAGCCCTATCACATACACTCAAATATATAAAAGAGATTAATTTAGCAAATGTTTACCTTTTTTTTTGCTAGCTATTTGAATGCAGAGGGAGCGAGGGTGCAAAAACTAAATATACTTTACAGAGGACTGATGTTTATACATACTGTACACAGTGCCGATTCTAGAGTCTGTGGGGGCCCTAGGCAAACATTCACTGGGGGCCCCTCGAACCAGCTTTTCATCACCACACACAGCCGACAGCACCCCCCGGAGCGGAGCAAGGCAACAAAACTTAAAGGGGACCTATCATGCAAAATGCACTTTTGTACGTCTTTTATACATGAATGTGTGTCCCCGGTGTTCCAGGGAACTCACCAAGTGTCAGAAAACACAACCCTCTCTATTTTCCTCCATACCCAAATCTCTAAAAAAGGGGCTGCAACGGATCTGATAAAAACTGATCCAGATTTGAACACTGTCCTGACATCAGGACAGTGGCGCTACGGCTATTGGGCCAACTCCACCAATCAGGAGGAGACAGCCACGGCCATTGCCGTTCGAAAGCGCTGGAGACGCTGTAGTACATATGCCAGGCCTGTAGGTGGTGCTGTTCTCACTGAATCTGCCCTTGCAGAGCTAAAAAATGTCAAATTGAGCGAAATGAGGCATGGCTAAAATGCATGATCTGTTTGGTATTTTGAAATAAAAAAAGTATAAATATGCCTTATATAGGTATGGTCCTACACTATATTATTAAAATATAGCATGATAGGTCCACTTTAAGATAAGAAGCAGCATTTTACGGCACGCTATGCATGGGGCCGCCTTGAGGGGGTTGTAGACGTCGTTGCAGTAAATTAAAGGGTGTTTCATGTTGTCGTTGCTGTGGACCTTCTTAATCTACCTTCTTTGGGGGCCCCCTTCTGGTCCGGGGCCCCAAGCAGTTGCCTGCCTTGCCTGTCCGCAAGCGGCGGCCCTGACTGTACATACATGTTAGTGAATAACTATTACTCCAAATAGTATATATAAAAACACCCAATTTAAAATCTGATTACAATAATAATCAATTTTATATAATGTTATAAGAAAAAAAAAAAATCGTAAAAAAAACAAACCTTTTATTAAAGCCAATTCAATATTTATTTGTTTGTATGTTTTCTTATTAAAGCGATGAAACCTTGAGAAACATGTGTAATCAATTCAATACAATTATTTTTATGGAGATTAAAGCAATTTACACAAAAGTAATATTCCAAATAAAAACCTGGACCTGCAGAAAACACAAAATGAAACAAAATATAACTCTAAAGAAATAAGATTTTAACTAATTTCAGCCACTTCCTATGTGTAAAGCCGTAAAAGCTTAAGAAACATGTGCTATAAATGCAATAAATAGTATGTATTTCTCTATTTAAGGACTTTTTGTTATTGTATAAAAAGCAAACACAGCTGAGTTGTGCATTGAAATAAATAAAAGCGGCTCTGAGAAATGTTTATGATCTCTGCATTACATCAGCGTCTCCTGGGAGGCTGACCTGCGCACTGAGCAATGTTTACCGTGCTCCCACAATGCATTGCTGCAGCTGGACACAGAGCTTCAAAAGAAAGCGTGGGGGGGGTTATTAATGGCCGCTCACAGGGCTCGATTTAGCTTCTCCCCGGCAACACGAGAAACAAAGACTCAGTGTTACACGTCTGGGAATACAGACGGAAATCTACATGCTGATTACCTGCAGGATCTCTGTGGACTCTCTTAGTGTAGATTTCTGGAGAGGGATACCTGATGGCAAGATAAAACAAGTAATTACCACAAACAAATAAACAAAATATCACATTTTGGTCATCTTAGAGTATAAATACCAACTTGGTGTTCAATTATAACACTTATTACAATATTACATTGTACACTTTAAGCAGTAATCTGATTTTCATCATTAATATCTGAATGAATACCTAAACATGACAATTTATATAGACTCCTCTGGAACATAGTGACATCACTATGTAACATTTGCGTTCCTATTGGCTAGCGCTCCAACACATTGTACGTGATAGGCTAAGGGGCGGGACCAATCACAACAGAGCCGGCCAGCTAACCAATCAGAGCAGACTGGGCTCTGGTTTCAGACAGAGGGTGAAAAGAGGTGCTGCAGCACAGGCAGTCTGAGAAAAATAAAGAGCTTTTTGAACATTAAAGCATGGAGACATGTCCCAGTAGAGACACTACATACTGATATACACCTGAACATCAGCAGGAGAGGACTCTTTAAAGTAGAGACACTACATACTGATATACACCTGAACATCAGCAGGAGAGGACTCTTTAAAGTAGAGACACTACATACTGATATACACCTGAACATCAGCAGGAGAGGACTCTTTAAAGTAGAGACACTACATACTGATATACACCTGAACATCAGCAGGAGAGGACTCTTTAAAGTAGAGACACTACATACTGATATACACCTGAACATCAGCAAGAGAGGACTCTTTAAAGTAGAGACACTACATACTGATATACACCTGAACATCAGCAGGAGAGGACTCTTTAAAGTAGAGACACTACATACTGATATACACCTGAACATCAGCAGGAGAGGACTCTTTAAAGTAGAGACACTACATACTGATATACACCTGAACATCAGCAGGAGAGGACTCTTTAAAGTAGAGACACTACATACTGATATACACCTGAACTTCAGCAGGAGAGGACTCTTTAAAGTAGAGACACTACATACTGATATACACCTGAACATCAGCAGGAGAGGACTCTTTAAAGTAGAGACACTACATACTGATATACACCTGAACATCAGCAGGAGAGGACTCTTTAAAGTAGAGACACTACATACTGATATACACCTGAACTTCAGCAGGAGAGGACTCTTTAAAGTAGAGACACTACATACTGATATACACCTGAACATCAGCAGGAGAGGACTCTTTAAAGTAGAGACACTACATACTGATATACACCTGAACTTCAGCAGGAGAGGACTCTTTAAAGTAGAGACACTACATACTGATATACACCTGAACATCAGCAGGAGAGGACTCTTTAAAGTAGAGACACTACATACTGATATACACCTGAACATCAGCAGGAGAGGACTCTTTAAAGAAGAGACACTACATACTGATATACACCTGAACATCAGCAGGAGAGGACTCTTTAAAGTAGAGACACTACATACTGATATACACCTGAACATCAGCAGGAGAGGACTCTTTAAAGTAGAGAAACTAAATACTGATATACACCTGAACATCAGCAGGAGAGGACTCTTTAAAGTAGAGACACTAAATACTGATATGAACCTGATTTTAGCTATCGTTAAATGATTAATCAATTAATTAAAGTTGATTTCCTGTTTGTCCTCCAGAGTTCCCGAGCATCTTGTGAAGAGTATAACGTGGCAGACTCTAAAAGCTGTAAACTTCTGTCACAAACAGAACGTGAGTACCTTTATTTCCTCTGTGTGTAAATGTGTGAGTTGTTTCCCTCCTCTTTAAACCCTCCTCCTCCTGCTTTATGACTCCTTTTTTTTTTTTTTTAACGAGAATTCCTCCTCGGCTGAGCAGCAGTTAATGTTTCACTGAGAGACGAAAACACACCAAACAACAGAGCCGTTAAAAACACTGTCTGTTTCACTGTTTCAACACAAAACACTTTTATTATCTGTGTCTTACAATCAAGAGATGGGAGAAGTACTCAGATCTTGTACTCTAGTAAAAGTAGAAGTATTCAAATCGTATACTTGAGTAAAAGTAGAAGTACTCAGATCTTGTACTTGAGTAAAAGTAGAAGTACTCAGATCTTGTACTTAAGTAAAAGTAGAAGTACTCAGATCTTGTACTTGAGTAAAAGTAGAAGTACTCAGATCTTGTACTTAAGTAAAAGTAGAAGTACTCAGATCTTGTACTTGAGTACAAGTAGAAGTACTCAGATCTTGTACTTGAGTAAAAGTAGAAGTACTCAGATCTTGTACTTGAGTAAAAGTAGAAGTACTCAGATCTTGTACTTAAGTAAAAGTAGAAGTACTCAGATCTTGTACTTGAGTAAAAGTAGAAGTACTCAGATCTTGTACTTAAGTAAAAGTAGAAGTACTCAGATCTTGTACTTGAGTAAAAGTAGAAGTACTCAGATCTTGTACTTGAGTAAAAGTAGAAGTACTCAGATCTTGTACTTGAGTAAAAGTAGAAGTACTCAGATCTTGTACTTGAGTAAAAGTAGAAGTACTCAGATATTGTACTTGAGTAAAAGTAGAAGTACCAGAGTGTAGGAATACTCTGTTACAGTAAAAGTCCTGCATTCAAAATGTTCCTCAAGTAAAAGTAGAAAAGTATTATCATCAAAATATAGTGAAAGTAGCGACAGTAAAAGTAGTCATTGTGCAGATTGGTCCATTTCAGAATAATAAATATGATATGTTTTATAATGATTGATCATGAAAGTGTTCTCAAAGCTGGTAAAGGTGCAGCTAGTTTGAATGGCTTTGTATACTGCAGGGTAGCTTGTGAATTTACTCCAGGTGGAACTAAAGTCTGATTTAACACTTGATTATATTGCACATCTGCAGGATACAAATAAATAGGGTATATAAACAGCAGGGTAGAGTATGGTGTATAAATATAACAGTATGAATATGAATGAATGTGTTCCTGTGTCTGCAGTGCATCCACAGAGACGTGAAGCCGGAGAACATCCTGATCACCAAACAGCAGGTCATCAAACTCTGCGACTTCGGATTCGCCCGGATACTCAGTGAGTATATACTAAATACACAAGGGTAATCACAAGACAAGACACAGCTGGGCAGGGGAGGCAGAAACACAAGGGCAACAGGTGAACACAATGGCCCAATTCCAAACCACCCCCTACACCCTACCCCTACACACTACCCCTCCGTTTGCGCGTTCGCACGGAGGGTCCGCCACATTAAGTGCTGTTCCAAACCAACGAGTGTGGAGGGGGAGTGGGCTATCAAGCCCTCAAACAGTGAGTCTGCAGCAGTGCTGACTTCACGTGCTGCCCTACCTGACCGGACTCAACGCTGTGTGTGTCCGTCAGGAAACACGCTGTTTACAAACAGTTCCAGCAAACATCCACTGATATATTGCGATGTTAACAACCTCATGATAACCTCATATTTTTTTAACTTAGGATCATACCTGTGTTTAGTCTACAAAAAGGTAAATGTGTGCATTTTATTATAAAGTTGTGTATATTTACAGACTGTTGCAAAAACTAAGAAGCTTATAAACATCAGGTTTAAAACTAAAAGAGCTTTACAAAAAAGTAACACAATTAAAGATGTTTGGAGTTTTATTTTAGTTATTCATTTTTATTTTTTGTCCAAGAGATGCTGATTTGAAACCGTTGTTACATACAGTTACGGCATTTCCTGTTTCTACCGGAGGGAGGGGAGTTTGTCCCAAAGCTTGCCGTTGTATTTACACCCTACATCTGACAGGAGGGAGCCTCGTTGAGCTGCGAGTGAGACTCCGTCACAGAGTGGGAGTGGGTAGGGTGTGGTTTGGAAGTGGGCCAATGAGACAATCAGACAGGAGGGAAAACACAGACAGGAAGCAACTGCAGACATTAGACAGGGGGTGAACACCTTTCAAAGTAAAACGGGAAAACAAAGACAGATCTTGACAATACAAAATAAAACACAGACAGATCTTGACAGTTATATATCCTGTGTGTCCCCCAGCGGGCCCCTGTGATTACTACACTGACTACGTGGCGACGCGCTGGTATCGGGCCCCCGAGCTGCTGGTGGGCGACACGCAGTACGGCCCCCCGGTGGACGTGTGGGCGGTTGGCTGTGTGTTCGCTGAGCTGCTGTCGGGGGTCCCACTGTGGCCCGGAAAGTCTGACATGGACCAGCTGTACCTGATCCGCAGAACCCTCGGTAAATATTATTTTATATTAAAGGTCACCTATCAAGCAAAATGCACTTTTTGATGTCTTTTATACATAAAGATGTGTCCCCGGTGTCAGAAAATAAAACCCTCTCTCTTTTCCTCCGTACCCAAATCTCTAAAAACGGGGCTACAACGGAGCTGATCCAGATTTGCGTCCGATATGACGTCATATCTGAAATGTGGACCCACTGGCCTATCAGAAACGTTGCTATCAAAAACAATGCCCGACTGTTTTGGGCGTAATATGGTCTTTGTTTACATTAGCATTGCTACCACTCAGAGCTAACCTGTACTGGAGAGAGCATGTGTAAAAAAGCAGGAAATAAAAAAAGGAACTCACCTTGTGGTAAACCCGCAAGAGAAAAAACATTTGGGCTCCATACTGTTTCAGAAATAATCCTTAATGTGGTTTGGAACATGATGGCATTTACAGTAATCACAGAATTTAGCTGTTTCTGCCGGTAGAATTCTGAGCAGGCACAAGCTCCCCCTCCTCTTTTTTTGTTTTTCAAGCTAAGGACCCAGATCTCTAACAGGGCTGGAATAGAGGGAAGGTTGGAGATGTTACCTGGGACAGAATCACATGTGTAAATGTGCTGTAAACGCTTGCCTACATTTACAGGATGAATGAATGTTTATGTGTGTGTTCCTGCAGGAGATCTGACCCCCCGACATCAGCAGGTGTTCAGCAGCAACCAGTTCTTCTGCGGGGTCTCCATCCCCGAGCCCCAGCAGAAGGTGAGAGGATGTGAACCGGCTGAATTCAGAAAGCTTCTTGCACTTATATTAGTGAAGTGACCACGATATCCATTTGTTTTAGTCTATTGTCCGTGATTCACTCGTGGGCTGACCGATGAATAGACGCTTGTTGTTTGAGAGAAAACATTTAAGAAATGTCCAGATGCGATTGAAAAGTAAAATATGCTTGTTTATTCCAAAAAAGGCAGTGGAAAAAACAATTTTCAAACAAACTATTTCTCATATAAACTGATAATTCAAATATTAAAGGCACAATAAGGAACCAAGCTGTCACGCTCCCAACCAGCAAGGTCTAAAGACTTGTAATGCTGCAAAACCCGACCTGCAGGAGTAACACGACCAAATTAAATAATAAATAATATACACCACACAATCTTATGCTATAAATGTACTCTAAAGGTCCTTACACACCAAGCCGATTTCGGCCGTCGATAGATGTCGATAGATGTCTGGCCGTCGATGAGCGTCCTGTCGCCCTACTCAGATTGGTGTGTCCCGCCCCGTCGTGTCTTTTCGGCCGTGCCGACACCTTCCGCTGTCGGCTAAATAAATCACTCGGATTGGCTGTTCAGCTTAGCGAATCAGTGCATGGGAAGCGAAACGGAAGTGAGGGACCCAAACAAACAATTAAGAAGGCAAATCTGAGATTTCATTTAACTCCAGCTCTCGACACAGGTTCGGGAAAGCCCCGTGAGCTTCTCGCTGTAGAGTGAACATGGAACGCACACGCTATTTGTTGTTTGTTTATATCACGCTGTTCTTCTTCTCTCGGTTATCACGCAGTCTGTCTTCCGGTTGTTGCCTCTTTTGAATGACGAATACACACTACCGCCGCCTGCTGGTAAGGAGAGTTATTGCCACTCACGCATGCGCAGTTCGTACGTGCCACTTGGCCGTCGGATGAAGTCTTTGCGGTGTGTTCCAGTGCGACTGTTGGCCAAGACGCAGGAGACGTGAGGCGACACAACAATCGGGTCCGTCGGGACGTGTTCTTTGGTGTCAGTTTGGTGTGTCTGGGCCTTAAAATGATAAATTAATATAAACTAGGGAAATGGCTCCTAAAATTAGTATTTTTAGATTGGATAATAAAGACTCTGCAAATTATACGATACGATATACTTTATTTGTTACATGTACATATACAAACATAATAAACATTCAAATACATTAAATAGTTTTGGTTCAGGTATTTTGAAAGTGCTTTTTCTAAAAGCTATTAATACCTGTGTTTGTAATGTTTTCTCTCTGCAGGAGCCTCTGGAGCAGAAATACCCAAACGTCTCTCACCAGGCTCTGAGTCTCATGAAGGTAAAGACGACTGTATTCTTATTATCTGAGTCATAACACACAGAGTCAGAATCTGTAGTTTAAGGAATGTAAGGTTAGATTTTAATCCAGGGCGATGTGAATGTTTTACAACAATTAGTATTTAAAGATTAATATATAAGTCATTGGTGATCTGTGAGTCAAAACTCAAAATGTTCATGGAGCTGCAGGTCAAAGAAAAACGTTATGAAGAATTAAGTCTAGGGTGTAAGGGAAAAATGAGAAGAGGAACATTATTGAAAAAAGTCAGATTTCTGGAAAAAAGTTGGGGGAAAAAGTCATTATCGAAATTTAAAGATTCAACCAAAGAAAGTCAGAAATCTCAAAAAAGTTCAAATTCAAAACAAAAAAAAACGAATTTTTGAGTAATAAGTCATTATAAAAAAAAGTCAGAAGTCTGAAAACACATCTAAAGATTTCTTTAAAAAGTCCGAAATCTAATAAAAGTCATAAATCTGAAAGAAAGTCACCAAAAAAGTCAAAATATTAAAAAAACTCAAGTCATAAAAAAGTCAGAATCAATTTTACGGAGCGTCTGTTGATGGTTAAATGTTTTGTTAAGGTTATAACAGTGTGTTATGTTTCTCTTGATGCAGGGTTGCCTGAGGATGGACCCCTCGGAGCGCCTGTCCTGTGAGACGCTGCTGCAGCATCCGTACTTCGACAGCCTGCAGGAGAAGAGCAGCTCGTCTCAGGACCGATCGGGGAACAGGAGGACCAGACTGACCCGAAAACACCTCCCTCCTGGGGTCAGTATGCTCCGTACAGAAAGCAGAAATTAGACTAAAAATACCAATAAACTGCCATATTTATGTCAATGTTTTAAATACTGAATATTTTCTATTCAACTATCAAACATCTTAAATATCAGCAGACCAAAATTGTGTTCTTTTAAATAAATTCTAGTATAAAGAACAGATGTATGTACACATTTTGTGGGAGAGAAACTCCCTCTGGAAGGAATTCAAGGATGTTAGCCTTTGCAGACCCTTTACATGCACACAAACCTATAGAACGGGTATGGGTAAAAAAGCTTTTAAATATGCTGACCCTTCTGCTTGGAATAATGTACAGAAGGAGCTGAAACTCTCAGATTTGATCACTATGGGGGGTGCTGAGGGGGCTGCAGCCACCCCCATCTGCGAGGCTCCACTAGCACCCGCACCCCCAAACGCGGCGCACCTACAGTGTAAGCGCGCCACAGTTTCTCCGCTGCGAGGCTCCACTAGCACCCCCCCCCCCCCCCCCCCAGCGCGTCACAGTTTCACCGCTGCGAGACGCTACTAGCACCCCTCCCCCAGCGCGTCACAGTTTCACCGCTGCGAGACGCTACTAGCACCCCTCCCCCAGCGCGTCACAGTTTCACCGCTGCGAGACGCTACTAGCACCCCTCCCCCAGCGTGTCACAGTTTCACCGCTGCGAGACGCTACTAGCACCCCTCCCCCAGCGCGTCACAGTTTCACCGCTGCGAGACGCTACTAGCACCCCTCCCCCAGCGCGTCACAGTTTCACCACTGCGAGACGCTACTAGCACCCCCAACTCTGACTGACTTCCCGCGTCCCTGAGTCCATCTTAAAGGACAGAGAACAAGAATCCATTGGTCGATGTGATTGCTCTATCCCATAATTGAAGTAGTTTTAAATTGTGCCGTTTTTTTATGATTTATAATAGTTTATTTTATTTGCATATTGACTGGTTAAAGGTAGGGTAGGTAAGAATGGAGAAACCAGCTTGAGTGCGCTAGAATTTGAAAGTATGCTGCCGAGAGAAATCTGCCCCTTCCTTCAGACTTCCTTACAGAGCCCCTCCTCCAACACACACGGACGCACACATGACCAATGAGGGCACGAGATAAGTTTGTGCACGAGATGGAAGGCTGACAGGCAGGTAGGCCATCCAGTTATTTTAGCCGGGCCGGCTCAGATGATTGGTCGTGCTTTTTACCTGCTTTTTACCTGGTTAAATAAAGGACATATAGAACACACTACAGGGATAAGAAGACCCCAAAAAGCAGAATGGGACCCTCTAAAATGCTCTGAAAATGGTCTCTTTTATGTGATTTCTCTCTGCAGTATCTGCCTCAGCTGACGAGCAGCAGCATCTTCCCGTCGCTGGATAATAAAAAATACAACAACAACCTGCGCCGGTTCAACTACCACCTGCCCAACATCTGAGCAAATATCTAAACATTTTTAATTAACGAGAGGATTCACACATTTTATAATGTTATGATCCTGATGTCACTCTATGCACTATTTGCCGACACGTGCACTCAGTGGGTGTTTCTCAATGTCGAGGACGCTTCCTTGGTAGGACATGTCTTCCGAGTCACTTCCTTCAGAAGCGAGGCAAGAATCCTTCCTAGCCTCGGAAAACGAAGAATGGTGGAACAGGCTAAGAGGCTAACAGGCTAACAGGCTAACAGGCTAACAGGTGTGCAGGTGTGCGTCATATGAGAGGCCCCGCCTTCAATGGAGCGCGATTTCAAGGAGCCTGGACATTGGAACAGTCCTTCGGCGGGACTCGATGACGTAGCATCCTTGAAATAGTGGCTCTGGAGCATCCTTCCTTGACATTGAGAAACACCCAGTTTTTTTATCTGATTTTCGTGTATTTTGTGTAGTTTTTTAAAGACAAAGACCGCCGCTCTGCTTGTAAACTGAAGGTCCGTGTACTGCCTTTCCTTTGTTTGCCAAATATATTTTTGATATATAACGATGGGGATTCTTTGAAAGAAAAATGTTTTTAGTGAGTTTTTGACACAAACTTTGATATTTCTGAAACTATTTATTGACGTCAGGACTGAATATTCCTGAAATATTACGTAATAAATTGATTAATTGTCATATATGTACACAATTGTATAATAAACAGCCTGAATGCAACATGCAATACACTTCCCTGCATTTAAAAAAATATCAATGATGACATATTGCAGTAGTTAGTCGGACTGCAACGATTAATGAATCATCAGAAACATTTACTTTCACTATTTTTTATGCAAACATTTCAGAAACTGCTGTTTTAATCCTTTAAAATCTAAATATTTGCTGCTTTTCTCTTTTTCCATATCATAATCAAGTGAATATCCTGTATTTTAGAAACAGGGATGGATGTTTTTCCCCATTGTATGACATTTTATAGGCTTAAAAATGATGCACCAGTTGGAAATGATATAATGAAACTGTAAAAATACATGCGATTGAAATAAACAACCAAAATATTTGTCTTAATCTTTACACATATTATATATTTTAGGTAGGGATACAGTGAAACGTGGTGTAGTTTTGGCGAATAAAATATATAATCAATAAAAGATAATATACTGAACTAATTGACTATTTTAAAATATTTTTGAAATGCATGCTTTAAAGCATCAAATCAACATATTGTGATTTGATTGGTTCTTACATAATGCATGAATATAAAAACTGAAAACGTGTAATAATTTACTACATATTGTGTTCAGGCTGTTTATTGCATAATGAAATTAGCATTCATAACATTTTGTGTAGTTATTACATGCTGTGTTTTCGCAACAACAACAACATTGTTTGCTAAGGATAGTCACAGCCATCTGTCCTCAGATATCCTACAAATGCCAAATTAATGTAAAAATCTAAAGAAAAAATATTCTTCAATCCTTTGCAACTTGTTTTTCTCTTTGTACAAACACATGGAGTCACCTTTAATACCTTGAATGTTGAAAATATAATATTAAACTACAGATTTGTTCGAGAAAAACGATAAATAAAGTGCTTCATTTTCATTTGAGTGCTTATTACTTTCCCCATGCTGCACATCATGGACATTCACTTTAAGCTGAAGCATCTACATGTTGCCTCTAGTCCTGGGAATTTGATTTTGAAGGGCCTTTAAGAGAGGCCGTCTAATCGCTCAGGTCCAGAGAGATGTCGAGCTTTGGGAGTGCCGTCTGCAGCCGGCTCACCGTCGTCTTTCTGTCTCTGATCCCCGGCAGGTCGCTCAGGAACAGGAGCTCCAGGTTCCTGAGGGAATATCATACTTTCATTTAAAGGCCCCCTATTATACTGTTTTTCATCAATATATTATAGGTCTCAGATATATACAAAACATGTCTCTGAAGTGTTTGGCTCCAAACTCCAAACAGATCATTGCAGCATTACCCATAATCCCCTCTGTTTCAGCCCTGTTTCAAAAGTGCTGATTCTCTGTCTGTTACTTTAGATGAAAATAAGGAGCCCCTCCCCACGCCCCTCTGAGAGAGATTTGGTTAAAAAGAACACAATGGTGCTCTAGGAGTATCCCTTTAATCTCCCTGTTGTTTCGGCTAATAATCACCTGAGTTTGTGCAGGGCGATGAGGCCCTTGTCGGTCACGTTTCCACACGACACCACCTCCATGCGGAGCAGACTCTGCTGCAGGTTCTCGATGGTGCTCAGCCTCTCCAGACACGTGTCCTCGATGTAGATACACCGGTTCAGCTTGATCTCCTCCAAGTGCTGCAAACCATCTACACACACACGCACACGCACACGCACACGCACACGCACACTCTACTGATTAGATTAACAGAGAGGGATTTAACACCTGAATAACTCTCTTAACGCTCGGTGTAAAACATCCCGGCAGCGTGCGTCACTTTGGGACGATCAGAGAGAGATTCACTTTCCTGTTAACACAGAGAATCACTTTCAGGTGAATGTGAAGCTCAGGTTAATGCAACATTTAGACTTTCTGAGAGGAGCTTTAATCTTTGATTGATCCGGCGCTTTAGGCTGCTAACAGGCCGGGGGCCGAAACGTAATACTCTGTTAAACTGAGCGGAAAGATTCTGTTACACGGCAAGTAACATGAATATTTACTATATTACAATTACAATAAAAATAAGAAAAAAATATTCAAGATAAATGTGTAGAAACTTAGGTATGGAATATAATTACAAAAAATACAATACATTTATGATGGAATAAAAATAAATAAATAATATCTAGAATAGACATAAATATATAATAGAATAAAAATACCGCAAAAAAATATGCTAATATATTAATTGCATCTCTTTGCATAATTTATTTTTACTTGCATATTTTTCATTTCTAAATTCTAATGTATTCCTGGTTTTAGTCCATGCCTATGTGGAGTGAAATGTAAATGTTGTTTATTTCTTTCTCACTGTGCTCACGTACCCAGGTGGTCGAAGCCCCGGTACATGATGCAGGACTCGGTGGCGTCGATGCCCTGGATCTTGAAGCGGCCCAGGGGTCCGGTCGGCAGCGCGTTGTAGTCGTGCTGCCAGCGGTCCAAACCCTGGAACCGGACTTTGGCCCCGCAGCGGAGCAGCCACTCTGCGGCGGCCCGGTCCGGACCCACCGCCTGGATCCGCTCATAGTCCACTCTGAGGGGGGGGGGGGGGGGGGGAATATTCATTGTATTTGTTTATTCCACACATGGCAGTTATTTTAAAACAAAACATGTACACTTATACGGTTTCTTTTTTTTATAGCGCATGGTGGAAAGGAGCAGAGAGAAGAACATCTTATTTTACCTGCCCCTTCTTACAAAAAATAACAAACAAAAGTTTAAAAAGTAAAATAAAAGCAATATTCTTTCAGTCACAGTTGCTTACAAATCTTGAAACATAAAACCAAAACACAATCAAAAGTCAACTTCATACTGTCTAAATACGCTTTCTTTATACATTTTCTCAAACATAAAAATGTTCTTACAGCCCTTTAAATCATTCGGCAAAGAATTCCACTTCTTTACGCCAAGAGACACACATCTTCGTGCAAACTGATGCTTAAAATGTAATTTCCTCCTACATATCAAAGTACCAGAGAAGAGGAGGAGGTGAAGTCAAGGAGGGTCACAGGAAATAAAAGTCTGATTTAAGAGTTAATTATATTTCACATCATTAATCTGAATCTGTAGAGTAACTAAAGGTATTAAAGGTTTTCTAGTTATTACAAGTCCCCTTGTGTGTTATGAAGGTTTTTCTGCATGTAAACGGTCTGCAGAGTCACAAACCCTCAAAGTACACCCTGTAGCGAGTAAAACTCTAACACAGAAAAGACCTGTCTATGCTGCCCCAGAACGCCTCGTTGGACATTTTGTTTTTCTTCCTGGGCAGAGTGACATGCCCATACCCAAATGGACCAATCCGTGGAGCCGTTACGTTACGTCCACGGACTTCCTCACACACACACACTCAATCTTTTCTCAGCTGCAGCTCCGCCGATTTCTCCTCCCTGAGACGGCGGGACGCGGCGAGGCTGTGATTCGGTGTGTGAGCACACACACAAACTCCCAGCCAGGCTGCGGGTGTGTGTGTGTGTTCGGGCTGGTTTCGCTGTGTCTCGCTGTCTCGCAGACGGCCTCTGGGCTCATAGGGAGGGGGGGCAGGAGCTCCAACAAGCCGTTTAGGACAGAGAGTGAATACACATACTATACAGAGATGCTGTATGAGAAACCAATGTGAGTTTGGAAAATTGCACAATATAAATCTATTTTAGTAGACCTCAACAATGGAAATATGATCAGTAGAAATGGCCATGACATGGGACCTTTAAATACATGTAGTAGTAAAGTACAACATTAACCTCTGAATTGTAGTGGAGTAGAAATACAAAGTAGCATGAAATGAAAACTCAATTAAAGTACAAGTCCCTCAAGATTGTACTTAAGTTCAGTACTTGAGTAAATGCACTTAGTTACTTTACACCACTGGATATGATCAGTTATCTCCATGCATTGCAGTGTATCCATAAGTTAGCAAATGCAGCTCTATCATTTATCTATGTTGCAATAATATATATATTGATTTTACTTGTTAAACACTGCATTGAGCCATCCCCAGAAGTGTCTGCGGCTGCTCTCCCTCTGAGACACTGCGCACTGCACTGCCCGAGTTAACAGCCTCATATCTGAAAAACACAAAGAAAATAAACTATATTATAAAACTACACTTATATATCTTTCTGTATGCTATTGCTCTAACAAGGTACACAAATAAATACTGAAAATGCGTCACAGACAGAATAATCTCACCTTCCTCCAACTCTGTTTACATTTGAGACGCGTCCATTGCTCTGACCTCTTGTGTACTTACGTACAGAAAAGCGTGCTCGCTGATTGGCTGAACCGAGAGCGCCGTAAGGGGGCGTGTTAACGTCTCAAATTTCAGGATGTAGCATCATGCTAACAGCAGGAAATAGGAGGGAGGAGGAGACTCAAAAGAAAACTGATACTCTGGAGGTGTTTCTGACAGTTATACAATGGAGACGCCACTGTGAGGGTTACTGAACTTCGTGATCATGATCCGGACTTTTTGTGGAGCGACTGTGAAGGCTGTCGGGACCGCGAGGCCCATAAAGGAGGTCAGACGGCTACACAGGTACATGCTAATGCTAATCAGGTGTTACTTGGTAGGATAGAGAATTAGCAGACTAGCATCTACCTACATGGATACCTAATGCATGTTTGTTTTAACACATATAACATCAAGAGATTCATGCTATTTTAGAGGGAGGTAAACAATGTTTGTATAGGATTATTTTAAATTATATCTTGAAGCAAAATGACAGAAAATATCTTCAAATCAAGCACATTTTTTGCTCTGAATCTTGTGTAATACCAATCTTTTAATGGTGTTAAATTTCAGCTTTAATTGCACAGTTGAGTACAAAAAGTTGGCAACTTTAAAAACAGGTTATGTGGATTATATCACATGTATTTATTTATTGTCCCTTTACATTTTTATTTAATTAAAATCCTGAAATGTTTTGGTGCATAGCCAAGGATTGTCTTTTTGTTGGGAGTCATTTGTCATTTCTAATGTGTTTTTTTAGGGGATTTGACTTTAAGACACGCAATATAACACTGCACTGCTTTATGCATATGTTAAAAATCAAAGAGGAAAAATACACAATCATCAAGTCTGGAGATTTATTCCCATTGTGGTCCCCTAGTATAATAACTCTTATCATACCATAAGATAATAAGAAACGAACATAATTGCCCATAAGAACTGTGTCAGTATATTCAGTTACAAGCACATATTGAAAGGCTCCTTAAAAAGTTAAATAAAAGCAGCATAACCTGCACTTTGAAACCAGTTATTTCTTAACACTACAAGTGAGAAACTAACTTTTAATAATTGCCAGTCAGAGCCAAGGGCATTCAGCTGTAGATTACATAACACCTCTCTCTGCAGAACCCGATCTGTTACAAGGTGACAATGCACGTATTGATATGTTGATATTGATATGTCCAAACTGTCTTTACCCTTTGAGCTCATTTCCATCCGCAGTCCCTCACATCAAACATTTAAGAAGTTTACATTTTACAAACATAGCAAAAACAAAATACATGTTATGCAAAAAGTGCAAAAGAGCAAGAATACACAAGTATTTACCACATGGTAATACAATATAGCAGCTACGACATATAAAGTGCAAGAGAAGATACAAGAGATACCTAAAGTGCAAGAGGAGATACCCCTGTGTTAAAGTGCAGTTATCGGTGATTGCACGTCTGTTTGTTTCTCAACCATTCTTTGAGTTGACCTTTGAAGCTATTGACAGTGGGACAATCCCGTATCTCAGTTGGGAGGCTATTCCACAATGAGCTGACTTTAATGGAGAGGACATTTTGTCCAAAAGTGGTCCGTCTATGGTGGACCTCACAGTCTCCTCTGGTTTCTGACCTAGTGCAGCGTCCAGTGTGTTTTTTGTGCATGAATTCCCCTGAGGGAGGGGGGGCCAGTCCATGTAAACATTTATAAATAAAGCACATTGGTTATTGTGATACTGTGTGCTACACCAGTCAGTCCCTATTTTTGAGCCCACTGTCCCTTTTATGAAGGAATGCCTGCAGCATGTGTTTCTTGTTAGACCTGCAGTCTTTTTCCTTTTCCTTTTCCCTCGTAATCAAAACCAGCAAGAAGTTTCATAACTGATCAAATGTTCTTCCGGTTTCAACAGGAACAGAGCTTAAAGCCATGTTTCCTCCCAGTTATTTGGGTGGTCCTGATTCAACCTTAAGGTTCAGATAAGTGGACTGTGCTGCTTTTTTTTCTGCACTGCTTGTTTTGTTCCAATTTTCAGAGATGGAAACAAGCTGTTGGCGGTTCCCGGCCTCCTGTGGGAGTGAAGCTCTGTGATTTACAGAGCTTCACTCCCAGCCTTCAACAATGTGTTTATCTCAAAGCTGCATTGTGGGAAATCTTCAGTTCCGTTTTTCCTAGAACTGCTCTTTATACTCAGAACTAAAAAGTGTTTGCAGTGGATGCAGTCTTGTGACACGGCTGGAGATTCTCCAAACACTGAAGTCTGATCATTACTGGGGGGGGGGGGGGGTCGCCGCCAAAGCGTCGTAGGGCTGATTTTGAGACTGTAAAATACAAATATATTTATATAAATAAATTACTACAATTATATATTTGGCCTTCATTTAAGGATGTTTTTTTATTTTTTTTATACTGTTTAAAACGAGTTGCCTTTTTTTAAATGAATACTGTTTGTGAGAATGCCCGAGCGGCCATGGAGGCAAAATAGGAGAAGCAGGCAGGTTGGTGTTTTTCCACAGAAAACTGTTTTATTTTTCCATCCACTGTGACAACATGGCGGCCCTCCACCACCCACACAGTATACCACACAGTTCTCAACCACCCTGACTAACAGAAAACACCCAGGACTAATCAAACACACAAGACACAGGTGAGGGAGGAGGAGCAAACACAGGGCACCAGGTGAACACAATCGGGTAATCAGCAGGAGGGAACACAGAGACCGGAAGCAACAGACAAGACGGGGGTGAACACTTATACAATTAATGCCATTTAATCATTTAATAAATACTACATCAATAAATAGTATAAACTATGTACAAATATGCAATGCCAAACTGTACTGTGCAATCACGCTAACAAAGCGCAAACTGTTCACCACCAAAGTGCTGAGTGACATTATTTCCGTGCACAGGGAAGTTGTCGTCAATATACCCTATACAGTACAATGATTATATAAACATGTTAACGAGAGCTCTAGTAACGGCGTCTCGTCGTTACACTGTTTGAAAAAAAAAAAAACTAGTTTGTATTTTCAATAAAGGACATGAAGGTGCAAAAATAAGGCAATAAATAAAAAGTAAGGAAATAATTTTGGGAACCACTGCAAGAGATATATTTTTTTAAAGGGGACCTATCATGCAAAATGCACTTTTTGATGTCTTTCATACAAATATGTGTCCCCGGTGTGTCGGGGAACTCACGCAGCGTCAGAAAATAAAACCCTCTCTCTCTTTTCCTCCGTACCCAAATCTCAAAAACGGAGCTGATCCAGATTTGCGTCCGATATGACGTAATATCTGAAATGTGGACCCACGGCCCTATCAGAAACGTTGCTATCAGAAACAATCCCGACTGTTTTGGACGTAATATGGTCGGTGTTTACATTAGCATCGCTAACACTCAGAGCTAACCTGTACTGGAGAGCATGTGTGTGAAGAAGCAGGAAATAAAAAGGAACTCACCTTGTGGTATAACCGGCAAGAGAGAAAGCCTTTGAGCTCCATACTGTTTCAGACATAATCCTTGATAATCCATGATATGGCGTTTCATCACGGCAGTATTTAGTTTAGACAGTAGCTGCCGGGTCCCGCATGAGCTCAGACCCCTCCTTTTTTATTTTGTATCAATTTATTTTCTTTTTTTAAAGCTTTATTCCCCAAATCAGCACTTTTGAAACAGGAAGTGAAATAGAGGGATATGAGACATGGCTAGAATGGGTGATCTGTTTGGTATTTTGAGCAAAACACTTCATAGACATGTTTTTTATATATTTTTATATATCTGAGACCTATGCTATTGCCTAAAAATAGCATGATAGGTGAGCTTTAAGTTTACCAATGGAAAAATGCTTTTATTTATTTGTATTAACTTTACTATTATTAATGAATTTTTATAATTATCTTAGTTATTTCCTTATTTGAACTTGTAACTGCTTTGTTTTTTATTTTATTTTTTACTTTATTTTATTTCATATTATGTTTTACCATATTATTATTATTATTTGTCATTTGAAAGGAAAAGTCCTATGTCAGGATATGTCTTGATTTGTGAAAATGAAAATAAACAGTTTTTTTAAAAATAAGAAGTTTACCAATGGATTCAGTGCAGCTGGATATTCTCCTGAAATATTTCTCTATGTTTCTGATCAGAGTCAAAGGTCTTCTCCGCTTGTTGGACATTAATCCAGTGACCTCATCATTTGACCTGCTTTAACCTGGTTCTCTTATCTGTATTTATCCTGATTTTAAAGTGTGTGTGTGTGTGTGTGTGTGCCGTCTGTGTTTCAGCTCGTATGACGTGGCGGTGGTGGGGGGGGGGCATCGTGGGTCTGGCCACCGTCAGAGAGCTGATCCTGAGACACCCGACGCTCAGCTTCATCCTGCTGGAGAAGGAGAAGGAGCTCGGTACGTCCCTCCAGAGGACGATATAAGAAGTGAAGTGTTTAAACTTGGTGCAGACACAAGAGAAAGAATAGTTTCAGTTTATTTACACCAACAGTGTGCATTTTTTATTTATTTAATTAAAGCAATTACACATTTTAAAATGTATCGTGGTTAGCTTAATGGTATTTTACTGTACTCTTTTCCTGTTAAAGTTTTTGCAGCAGCTCTTCAAAATGTCCGTGCACGCTCCTGATGATAAACCTATCTATTAATGTCTCTTTAAAAATGTACTTCCTGTGTCTGCAGCGGTGCATCAGAGCGGTCACAACAGCGGAGTGATCCACAGCGGGATCTACTACACCCCCGGCTCTCTGAAGGCCCGGCTGTGTGTGCGCGGCGCCACGTTAGCTTACGAGTACTGCGACAAGAAGGGACTGCCCTACAAGAAATGTGGAAAGGTCCGTATATATAGCAAATCAAATACTAGCCATACGTTACTGAGGCTGTAATTTATGGTCTTCAACGTCATCATCACGCTTAAAAATTAACAACAAGCTCGTACAAAATCCTCACTTTGAATAACAATTTAATGTATATTTTCTGAATATCGGAACGCAGTGAAAATTAGTTTTAGAGTCTAAATACCAGGATATATTTTAGATGATGACTTTTTATATTAAAGGTCCCATGTCATGCTTTTCCGATTATTACCCGTCCCCTTGTGTGTTATGACATGGGACCTTTAAAAGAAATGTCTTAATAAATGTTGAATTTCCTTGAATTTTGCAAAGTATGTCTGAAACCTACGCAGCCACCACTGGAATCCCATTATACTAATTGTATATATTTCTAATAATATTATTGTAGCCTTTCCTTTTTCTATCACTGTGCACAAACACAACAAAAGGAATGCAATATTAAACTTTATGAATGAAGTTTCAAACCTTTTGGTACAGCCCTATATTTATATACAAAATGCATTCAACACAAACTCTGTTTAAGGATTTGCAGGATGGATCATTGTGATGTAATTGTGTTGTTATCGATGTGTGTGTTTGTGCAGCTGATCGTGGCCACGGAGCAGGAGGAGATCCCCCGGCTGCAGGCTCTGTACGAGCGCGGCATGAAGAACAACGTGAGAGACCTGAGCATCGTCAACGCTGAGGGCATCCGCGAGAGAGAGCCGTACTGCAGGGTGAGAGAAGACTCACACACTGATGCACACAGTGTCTGCTGTCCTTAAAGGCCCGGACACACCAAGCCGATTTCGGCCGTCGATAGATGTCTGGCCGTCGATGAGCGTCCTGTCGCCCTACTCAGATTGGTGTTTCCCGCACCGTCGTGTCTTTTCGGCCATGCCGACACCTTCCGCTGTTGAATCGGGGAGCTGTCGGCAAAAGAAATCACTCTGATTGGCTGTTCAGCTTAGCGAATCAGTGCATGTGAAGCGAGGTACGCAAACAATTGATTAAGAAGGCACACACACAGAAGGCTAATATTTTTCATTTTCATCTATCTGCTTCCACAAGCAACAGTCCAAGGGCTGATACCGCCAGTACCGCACTAAACATGTTTTCGATGGACGAGAGTGAAAATGGAACGCACACGCTATTTGTTGTTTGTATATATCATGCAGTCTGTCTTCCGGTTGTTGCCTCTTTTGAATGACGAATACACATTACCGCCGCCTGTTGGTAAGGAGAGTTATTGCCACTCAAGCATGCGCAGTTCGTATGTGCTACTTGGCCGTCGGCTGAAGTCTTTGCGGTGTGTTCCAGTGCGACTGTTTGGCCAAGACGCAGGAGACGTGAGGCGACGCAACAGTCGTGTTCCATCGGGACGTGTCCTTTGGTGTCAGCTTGGTGTGTCTGGGCCTTAAAGGTCGCCTATTATACTGTTCTTCATCAATATATTATAGGTCTCAGATATATACAAATCATGTCTCTGAAATCTTTGGCTCCAAACACCAAACAGATCATTGCAGCATCCCATAATCCCCTCTGTTTCAGCCCTGTTTCCAAAGTGCTGATTCTCTGTCTGTTACTTTAGATGAAAATAAGGAGCCCCTCCCCACGCCCCTCTGAGAGATATTTGGTTAAAAAGAACACAATGGTGCTCTAGGAGGAGATTCAGGTGATAAGGTGGGGGGGGGGGGGTTACCTTGGTTGGTGATTGGCTAATGGTTACACAAGACAAAACATTGTTATGACATCATAAAGTGGCCAAAATCTGATCAGCTCATTTTCAGACAGGTTTTTATATAAATGGATCAGGACAAAAAGAGAGAGAATCTTTGTTCCTGAAACTTTCAGAGTCTCTTTACACAGAGGGGACACATGTTGATGAAGAAGAGACATGGAGAAGAGGGGACACATGTTGATGTAGAAGAGACATGAAGAAGAGGGGACACATGTTGATGTAGAAGAGACATGAAGAAGAGGGGACACATGTTGATGGAGAAGAGACATGAAGAAGAGGGGACACATGTTGATGTAGAAGAGACATGAAGAAGAGGAGACACATGTTGATGTAGAAGAGACATGAAGAAGAGGGGACACATGTTGATGTAGAAAAGACATGAAGAAGAGGGGACACATGTTGATGTAGAAGAGACATGAAAAAGTGGATTTTGCATAATAGGTGACCTTTAAATTAGAGTAAAGGATCTGATGCTTCCTCCTCCCCCCCTGCAGGGCATCATGGCTCTGGACTCTCCGTACACCGGCATCGTGGACTGGAGGATGGTGGCTCTCCGGTACGGGCAGGACTTTGAGGAGGCGGGGGGGACGGTGGTGACGGAGTCCGAGGTCAACGACATCTGCTCGGCGACGGAGAGCCAGACCGGGAGCACAGAGGGTAAAAAAACAGGGGTGCAGAGTAACAAAGTGCTTTTACTATAAAGTACTGTACTACATTTCTGAGGTTCATTTCCTGAACTTTTATCATTGAATTTTCCTTCAATAACAATAATACACATGCACAGTAATATAACTGATCTTTCATCCAAATTGCAGCTAGTATTTTCACATTATTCTGGTCCATTATAACACAGTCATAATTAAACAAGACTAGTCATTCACATTTGTTTTACTTGCAGGTATGAAATACCCTATTGCAATCAGAGATAAAAAGGTAAGAAACACGCATCATCAAGTACACATATTTAGATTGAGTTTTATAATTGCATTATAATAATGACAACATTTTTAATACACAGGATGCAGCACATACTCAGCATGTTGTAGGAAAACAGAAATAAGAAAAAATGTGTCAATACAATAAAAATATAAAGCCATAGATTTCATTGTGTTGTGTAGCCCCGGGGTTAAAGCTTCACAATTTCTATATCTTGTTTGATTATTTCCATCATTTTCTTGCTGTTGTTTACTCTCCAGGGCAGGGAGGTGCGGTGCCGCTTCGTTCTGACCTGCGGGGGTCTCCACTCGGACCGCCTCTCTCAGATCTCAGGCTGCAGCAGAGAGCCGAGGATCGTTCCCTTCAGAGGAGACTACCTGGTGCTGAAGCCCGAGAAACACTACCTGGTGAAGGGCAACATCTACCCCGTGAGTCTCAGGAACAGTCCTTTCATTTATACACTTTTAAATCATTAGAGATTCACATACCAGTACTGTATGGAATCTGAAAACGGTGGCGACCCCAAGTGGCAGAAAGAGACGTGTGTTTGAGTTGTTGAAGTTTGAAAGATATGGAAATACTTGAACACGTGGTCAGTAACCTTAAGCCTTTCTTTAATACTTTTTCTAAATTATTATTGTTGCATTAGTTGTTATTTCCCATCATCTTAATCTGCTCCCAATGGGGATTTCTAAGTAAACCAAAAGCTTGGAAATTGCAATTATACCTCGGTCTTAATTTGGAGTAACTCTTCTCATCCACTTCTCAGCTGATCTCTGCTCCATATACAAAATAAAAGATCAGATTAGATTCCACTTTTTTGTCATTGCACATGCAGTTTGATAAAGTGTTTGAGGTTCCAGTAGTTTCACATATTGATAACAGTATCACAGTCGTTGGCAAGGTACAGAACGTTTTGTATGAATATGAAATTAATATTAACAAATAAGGTTGTTTTCTCCTTCATTTTTGTCTCCATGTAAATATCCGTATAGGTCCCTGACCCCCGGTTTCCCTTCCTTGGAGTCCACTTCACTCCGAGGATGGACGGGAGTGTTTGGCTCGGTCCGAACGCCGTGCTGGCCTTCAAGAGGGAGGGCTACAAAGTTTACGACTTCAACGCCCGGGACTTTGCAGACGCTCTCTCGTTCAGGTACAACATCAACAACATTTGATCTGTTTTAAAGGTAGGGTAGGTAAGTTTGAGAAACCGGCTCGAGATCGCTAGAATTTGAAAATACACAACCGGAGAAAATCTACCACTTCCTTATAGAGCCCCTCCTCCAACACACACGAACGTGCACATGACCAATGAGGGCACGAGATAAGTTTGTGCACAGATGGAAGGCTGACAGGCAGGTAGGCCATCCAGTTACTTTAGCCGGGCCGGCTCAAATGATTGGTTGTGCTTTTTACAGTACTACAGCTTCCACAGATGACATTTTTTTATGGATTTTTTGTCAAAGCACTTCAGATACTGATTGCTATCGGGATGTTAAGAGCATTCCATGGAATATAACAAAAAGTGTATCTCGAGCCGGTTTCTCAAACTTACCTACCCCACCTTTAAATCATATGATTACAGAGATTCTGAGTGTTTATTCTCTCTGTTGTGCAGGGGTCTTCAGAGGCTGGTGATGAAGAACATGGTGTACGGGATGGGAGAAATGTATCGAGGGATTTTCATTGGTGCACAGGTCAAAATCCTGCAGAAGTACATCCCCGAACTCTCGCGGAGTGACGTGCTCAGGTACAAGATAATGCAAGACCTAATAAATACATGCACACTTCCTTATATGTACAGTATCAGGGGTTGATTAACAGGTGCACTTACCTCTGGAGGTCAATCTACCAGCACAATTGAGATGTGGGGGGGCTCGATAATGCCTGTAATCTGTTTTCAAGATTCAAGGCTTTTATTGTCATTTGTACATAGCTACAGTGTAGTTATGACAATGGAAATCTTAGGTCACAGACTCCTCCAACAGTGCAACACAATAAAACTGATAATAGTTCAAGTAAATAAAATAAAATAGGATATAAATAAAGCGGGTTGGAGAGGAACAAAAGACACAGCAGCCATCTTCACCGGCGCCATCTATCAGTCAATATTGAGATAAGAATTAGCTACCTTTTATTAATTGACTCTGGAAGCCATTGTGCATTTATGTAACTTGTTTGTAAGAAGATAACTGTAGGATTTAATTCTGTTTCCTGTTTCCTCTGCAGGGGTCCTGCAGGGGTCCGGGCTCAGGCTCTGGACCGAGACGGGAACCTAGTGGACGACTTCGTGTTTGACGGCGGCGTCGGGGAGGTGGGCAGCCGTGTTCTCCACGTGAGAAACGCTCCGTCACCCGCCGCCACCTCGTCACTCGCCATCGCTGAGATGGTGGCCGACGAGGTGGAGAAACGCTTTGATCTGTAGAGCAAGATCACAGAATGAAGAAGAGAAAACCAAAAATCATCCTTATCTTGACAGAGTGAAAATATTTGTTATCCAACTGTCCCTACCTCAACATCACTGCCATCATGGAGCTTTTTTTCTCATCACAAGCCTTAATGTGGAGGAGAAAGTTACATATTTCACATTTTTAAAACAGTTTTTACTTAAGTGTTGTTTTAAGTTGCTTCATATGTTAGCTTTACCACATTTCAATACAAGTGCAGCCTTTAGAACTTGTTAGCCTGCTAACGCTAGCCTGCTAACGCTAGCCTGCCAACACTAACCTGCTAACGCAACAGGTGTTCAGGCAGAAAATAACCAACAACTTGTAGCTGTTAGTAAGCTGACAACAAGCTGAGCTCCCATGACTTAACAGTGTACTTAATTAGCCATTATTCTCTCTTTTTTTTAAGCAAATTACAATTAGCTTTAGCAACATTGTTATTAGCCATTAGCTCTTTTTAGTTAGCCGCTGTTTTACAGTAGCAACGGGCTAGCCTCACGAGCATCCAAGCTAGTGAATTTCGGATAAGAAAAATCTTATCAGTTTAATGTTTTAAACATACTTTTTTAAGGAGATTGAGCATTTTAAATGAGGGTTTTTAAAACTATAAATCTTGTATGGTTCTTTTGAGGACATGCAATTTTTATTTCTGTGTTTTGACTGTATGAGTGATTAATTTGTCCCTGTCATTTTAATATTTTAATACTGTAAAGCCTGCCAGTTGTTGTCAAACATGCTCCAGAAATGTATAAGAATGAGAAAAAAGGAAAGAAAAAATAAGGATTTTGTCAGTCATAAAATGTAAACAACATGATGATCTCTAGTTTTTTGTCAACAATCTGTATGAAAAAAGTGGGATTTTATTTGTAAATGTCATAACACACAGTTAATCAGTTTTATCTTCAATAATTGTGTTAACAGTTAACAATATAGTCTTATTGTCATATTTACATTCACGTAAGAAGGAGTTGTGCTGGGGTGCTAATTTCATTTAATTCTGCCTAAGTTGCACTTTCTTCAAATGTTCCAGACAATGTATATATATCAAAATTCTATTATTTCATGCGTTTTATTGACAATGAATGTTGAGTATTTTGTACCATAAATACATATTTTTGAAGAGCATGATTGTGGGTTTTTGCTTCATTAGTTACATGGCTGCAACTTCACTTTATTCCAATGGATGTGCATGAACGAGGTGAAAAAATGAATAGAAAAAACTAATTTTTTAACCTTTCATATTGAAAAGCGTGTGTATACTTACACATGCCCATCATTATCAAAACCAAACATATATTCTTTATGATGTATACAAAGTGTATATATATATACTGTATATTAGGGTGGTCCTTAAAATTGAAAGTGGGAAAGTCTAAGCTCCAACCCCCAGAATTCATTCTATTAGTCAAGAAAACTCTCCTGGTGAATTTTTTCCTCAATCTGACAACATGTACCCCTTCCTCATCAACCTTGAAGTTTAGCCTCAGTTGCAGCTGGTGTGGCAGCCCAGGTCGATGAGGGGGGGGTACATGTTGAGGAAAAAATTCACCAGGAGAGTTTCTTGACTAATAGAATGAATTCTGGGGGTTGGAGCTTAGACTTTCCCACTTTCAATTTTAAGGACCACCCTACTGAGGCTAAACTTCAAGGTTGATGAGGGAGGGGTAAATGTTGTTGGAATTTGAATAAAATTCACCAGGAGAGTTTTCTTGACTATCATAAGAAATTCCAGTGGATGGAGCTTAAAATAAATGAATTCGAAAATGTACATGGCACTAAGGACCACCCTAATGTATATATTGTTTTTTTTTAAGTCTAATTAAATAAATGGGAAAATAATCATAAGATAAGATGGAACTTTATTTAACCCCATGGGGAAATTCAGGCGTTTATAGCAGCAACAGGCTCAGAGTTAAACAAAAAAAAACAGGATTCACACAAGGTAAAAAATAAAGACGAAGTAGAATAAAAAAATTAAAATAATTATACAAAAGTGATAAAAATAAAGTTATAAATAAACAAAAGACACATATTCAATAACATAAACTTCATTGTGGTGTTCTGTATTATATATATTTTTTGTTTTGTTATTGTTTGCATCAGAATTCCTGAATGAAGCACTTCTTCAGTTTGTCCACAAGGAGGCAGAGTCACAGTAACAAACGGTATGAGGCATACATATTTCTACATTTAAGGATTTTACTGTGGATGTTGGTAATTGTGCAATTCGTTTTTAGTTAGATTATCACAGATGACATGATTCAATCTTTGATTAGATATTTCTTGGGTTTAAAAATACATTACTATATCAGTTTTGAAAAATACACAACACAAATAAAATAAAGTAAATAGAAACTTAAAGAAATAATACAACAAATTAAATAAATAAAACATTTATCATTTTAATAAATAATATATACAAAATAAATAAACTTATTTTATATGTATGTATTATAACAATAAAAAATAACTATTATTTTTAAGAATACTTCCTTGTTATGAAACCAAACTTTGCAATTCACAAATAAATACGACTTCTACTCAAGACCAAGACTTTAAGAGGTCGAGACCAAGTCAAGACCAAGACTTTAAGAGGTCGAGACCAAGTCAAGACCAAGTCAAGACCAAGACTTTAAGAGGTCGAGACCAAGTCAAGACCAAGACCAAGATCAAGACTTTAAGAGGTCGACACCAAGTCAACACCAATACTTTAAGCGGTCGAGGTCGAGACCAAGACCAAGACCAAGACCAGACCAAGACTTTAAGAGGTCGAGACCAAGACAAGACCAATACTTTAAGAGGTCTAGACGAAGACCAAGACCAAGTCAAGACCAAGACTTTAAGAGGTCGAAACCAAGACAAGACCAAGACAAGACCAAGACTTTAAGAGGTTGAGATCATGTCAAGACCAAGACTTTAAGAGGTCGACACCAAATCAAGACCAATACTTTAAGCGGTCGAGACCAAGACAAGACCAAGACTTTAAGAGGTCGAAACCAACACAAGACCAAGACCTAATCAAGACCAAGACTTTAAGAGGTCGAGACCAAGACAAGACCAAGACCAAGACAAGACCAAGACTTTAAGAGGTTGAGACCAAGTCAAGACCAAGACTTTAAGAGGTCGAGACCAAGATAAGACCAAGACCAAGTCAAGACCAAGACTTTAAGAGGTCGAGACCAAGACAAGACCAAGACCAAGTCAAGACCAAGACTTTAAGAGGTCAAGACCAAGACAAGACTTTAAGAGGTCGAGACCAAGACAAGACCAAGACCAAGTCAAGACCAAGAGTTTAAGAGGTCGAGACCAAGACAAGACCAAGACTTTAAGAGGTCGAGACCAAGACAAGACCAAGACAAGACCAATACTTTAAGAGGTCGAGACCAAGTCAAGACCAAGACCATGTCAAGACCAAGACTTTAAGAGGTCGAGACCAAGACAAGACCAAGACCAAGTCAAGACCAAGACTTTAAGAGGTCGAGACCAAGACAAGACCAAGACTTTAAGAGGTCGAGACCAAGACAAGACCAAGACAAGACCAAGGGTGTTTCTCAATCGCGAGTAAAGCTGCTGCAGAGCCACTATTTCAAGCATACTACGTCATCGAGTGCCGCCGAAGTACTGTTCCAATCTCCAGTATACTTGGAAATCTACCGAGCCCGGCGTACTCCGTTTGGAGAAATATCGAGGCTGCACATGAGTAGACTCCGCGGTCTTAAAATCCCCACAATGCTTTGCGCACGGACCAATTTCCCCAAATCTGTGGCGGAAGATGTAAGGCGGGGCCTCTCATATGACGCACACCTGCACACTTGCTAGCCTGTTCCACTCTTTGTTTTCCAAATGTCAGGAAGTATTCTTGACTCGCTTCTGAAGCAAGATGCTCGGCAGACATGTGCTACCAAGCAAGCGTACTCGCGATTGAGAAACACCCCAAGACTTTAAGAGGTCAAGACCAAGACTTTAAGAGGTCAAGACCAAGACTTTAAGAGCTCAAGACCAAGACTTTAAGAGGTCTTAACTTCAGACATATTTTATATCATTTGAGCCAACCTTTTTATTGTTGTTTATTTTCTCACATTCTTTATATATTTGTCTTGATTTTTGCAAAACTATTCCTGGTAAACATACGTTACAGAAACCTGATTCTGATTTGTATTCCTGAAACTAAAAATGTGTTTGCTTCTGTAAGTTCCACACTTTGCACAGAGACAGAACATCCAGCCTCTTTTTTTTTTATAGAAATGAATAAATCATATTTTTACTGTATTTTCTTATGTAATAAAAGATTAAATAAATAAAAATGAATTTAAAATAATAAAACTGCACTGCCCTTTCAGTTCAAATCCAGATATATTATATACATTTTTATAGTAGGCTACTCTTATTGTCATTCAAAAAAATCTTCATTAATGTTTCTTGATTTTTTTTTTAAGTACTTCCTTGTTGTGAAATAATATTTTGCAATAAAAATAATTTTGATTCAGATATTTTATTCCTGAAACTATGAATCTTCTGTCTCCTGCTGGGACTATAATATGCAAAGAGACAGAAAGTCCAGCCTTTTTCTTTTATTATATAGAAATACAAATCATTATTCATGTTTCTTGTGTTTAAAAAAAAAATACTTTCCTTGTTATGAAAACCTATTTTGCAGTAAAAAGGGTTCTGATTCTAAATCTGTATTCCTGTTACTGTCTTCTGTCTCCTGCTGGGACTCCAGTATGCAAAGAGACAGAAAGTCCAGCCTTGTTTTTCTCCTCTGTCCAATAAAGAGCTCAGTTCCGCAGCCTGTCAGCGGAGTTACGAACATCTCTGACTTATTCTCAACCAAAAAAACACCTCGACCTCCGCACGAAATGCCTCGGACTCACCGCTGTTTTTGGGGGGATTTACGATGGATTTTTAACGTCTGATCACCGCGGTAAAAGATGCCTGAATGTGAGGTGTCCAGCGCTGGAGAAAGAGTGCCTTTTCTGGAGCTAAACGGGTCCGCAACATAAAACACAAGGCCAGCCTGTAGCATCTAGTTAGCATCTAGTTAGCATCTTGTTAGCTGCTAACGCTGCTAACAGGTGTTCAGGCAGAAAACAACCAAACACAACGTGTAGCTGTTAGTTAGCTGGCAAAACAAGCCCATGACTTAACACTGAACTTAATGTGCCTGTTATTCGCCTTTTTTAAGCAAACGCGAAGTAGCAAGTATAACACTTAGAAACATTGTTGTTAGCCGATAGCTCCTTTTTCAGTTAGCCGCTGTTTACAGTAGCTAGCCTCACTTAGCATCCCAAGCTAACGAGTTAACTTTATAGCTACATGTGCTTGTTTTTATGTTGTAGCTGATTTTTCGCTCTTTAACTGGATTCTACTGCCAATTTCGGTGATTTTCTTCACGTTTGCAAGCGAGGCAGTTGGAGTTTTCCCCACCGTACCTCTGCCCCGGACTGACCCCCCCCCCCCCACAGGACTCTCTATCCGGGGCCGATGCTGACAGTTCAGCCCGGTCGCCAGGAGCCATGCAGCCCCAGCAGATATACGACTTTTCCAGTGACGAGAACAGTCACAAATGGAGAGGCCTCTTCGTGCAAGCTCTGCGGAAGGTAAGACTGTGATTATTACCTATATTAACCTCCAAAAGTCAAACAAACTGCCTTAAATACAGGAGATACACTGGTCCAATGGAGGCACTTACTAACCCAGACGTCAACAGTCAATATCAATAACGACAGCTAAATCATGCTAATGTCACAAGCAGGACATACTTATAGTCTTCTTTTTACATGCAAAGGGAAGCTTTTCTTCTTTAACTTGTATTTGCTAAATCGGCTGGAAATGAATGACATCAAATCAAGACATGACATAAAAACCCAATAGAAGCTTCTGAAGAACACTGTGATTACTACCTCTTTATTAACCTCACTAAGTCACACAAACTGCCTTTAAAAACACACATTCAGTAGATACACTGGTTCAATGGAGGAACTTGTTTCCTTGCTAACCCAGATATCAGCATAAAAAACAATAGCTCAATCATTTTTATATATATATTATTATGTGGAATAGAAGTAAATGCTAATGTCACCAGCAGAACATAGTTATCGTCTACTTTGTACATGCAAAGGGAAGCTTTTGTTCTTAATTACATCATATCATATCAAGACATGACATATAACAAAATACCAGAAGAAGTTGCACAGAGGCACTGGTTTCTTAAGTAACCCAAACCTCAAGAGTCGACATCAAAAACAACAGCTAAGGTTTACAAAGATATTATTATGTGCAGAAGAAAATGCTGATCTCACCAGTATTTGTGTACTTTTTACATGCAAAGGAAAGCTTTTGTTATTTGGCTTGCATTTGCCATTATTGACATCATATAAAATCATGACATGACGTTAAAACACAATAGAAGCTTCATTAAGATGACTACAAGCTGAATGTATGGAGGCACTTACTAACCCAAGCATCTGTCTCAAGCTCAAAAGCTATAACATAAAAACATTTTGTGTGATAGAAGTAAACGCCAATGTCATCAGCAGAAAACACTTTATTGCATACAAAAAACAGATTTTTTTTCTTTGGTTTGCATTTGCACAATCTGCCACTAAAGGGTACATTAATTACAGCATATAACATCCGTATGACATACAACAAGCTACATTGAAATGAGCACCAGCTATGGTGATGATGTCATTGCTAACCCAAACTTCTGTCACAAATGTTAGTGACAGTCAATACTTTATTGACTACTTTTTTGTGTGCAAATAGCAGCGTTTTCTTTGGTTTGTATTTGGAAAAATATGCTCTGAAAAAGGGGAACTTTAAATACACAACACATTTACAGTAAAGCACAAAACAAAACTGAAGTTACAAATGGTTTGGTTTCCTTTCTAACCCACACTGTCAGTATGGGCAATACAGCTAATGCTTTATGTTACTTGCTACTTGTTAGACGCTTTTATCCAAAGCGACTTACATACTCAATACTGTGGACAATCCCCACAGGAGCAATTTGGGGTGAAGTGTCTCAGGGACACAACGACATGCTGACTGCAGTGGGGTTTGAACCTGTGCTCCCCTGATCCGAACACCAACGCAATACCCCACTGCGCCACACACCTCCTGTGTTATGTCACCAAGCAAATACATAATTCTCTATGTTCGTAATGCAAAATGCAGATTTTATTCTTTGGTATGCACTTGCAAAATCTCCTACTAAAAGGGGTGCATTAATAACATCATATCTCATGACATGATTTTAAATACATGTAAGCCAGCTACTGGATGATGAAGGCTGAATCAAGGTTAAATAAATACAAAATCTAAAATGTTGTGTGCTGAGCAAACTGGCTTTAAAAAAAGGCCACGTCCTCACTGATTAAGATATTTTAAAGCAACATGGGCCACATTTCCACTAGGATTAATCCAGCATTAATTAGACGTATTGTAAAGTGTTTCATGTCCTCTCCTCTGCTGTTGTTGTGTTTTTTCTCAATAATCTCTCCCAAGTTCCCATAATGACATTTTTTCTCACAAAAAGGTGTGTGTGTGTGTGTGTGTGTGTGTGTGTGTGTGTGTGTGTGTGTGTGTGTGTGTGTGTGTGTGTGTGTGTGTGTGTGTGTGTGTGTGTGTGTGTGTGTGTGTGTGTGTGTGTGTGTGTGTGTGTGTGTGTGTGTGTGTGTGTGTGTGTGTGTGTGTGTGTGTGTGTGTGTGTGTGTGTGTGTGTGTGTGTGTGTGTGTGTGTGTGTGTGTGTGTGTGTGTGTGTGTGTGTGTGTGTGTGTGTGTGTGTGTGTGTGTGTGTGTGTGTGTGTGTGTGTGTGTGTGTGTGTGTGTGTGTGTGTGTGTGTGTGTGTGTGTGTGTGTGTGTGTGTGTGTGTGTGTGTGTGTGTGTGTGTGTGTGTGTGTGTGTGTGTGTGTGTGTTCCTTTTATTGTAAGTTGCGTGTGTGAGAGATCCTCTTATTGGAAGTTGCCTCCCCTTTTTCTTAAGAAATGCAACTTAATTCTCAAACTGTACAGACAGGAAACATTTTAATTGTAATGTCCGTGCTCAGCAGGACTTAAACGAATCGGTTCCTTTTTGACTGTCCCTCTTTTTTCTTGCATCATCTTGGCTTCTCCCTACCATCACCAGGTTTATTCCCCCCCCCCCAAGTCTTCACCTTCTGCTCGTTGCTAACTGAAAACACAAAGTATTCATAGCTCTTTTTGCTTCACTGTCAGCTTTTTTTCTTGGCATTATGTTATACAGTTTTGACACTAGAAGCTGCACAACGCTCTGCAAGCTGCTTTCTCTTTGACATGGGTCTGTGTGTAAAACCACAAGGTCCTTTCTTATGTTTCCTGGAAACTCAAAAAGAGTCACTCATGGGTTAAGAGCAGGGCTCATGCTGTTGTGGGAAAGCACGGTTGCTGTTTAAAGTACATACAAGACATCTTTTGCAAAGTTTCCATTGTGCTGTGTTTTGAGAATCAGCGTTACAAGCTTGGCACATTAAGATGGTGCAGGAAAAAAATGCTGCTTACCTTTGTGACCTCTTTACAATATATCATCTTTATTTAATTCATCACAATGGCAACTTGTATGATAATAAACCCATAGACATTTCACTGAGGATTTAGTACCGTTATTTTCAGATTGACTTTTGTATGTAGTGTCTCTCCTGTGACATGTCTCCATGCTTTAATGTTCAAAAAGCTCTTTATTTTTCTCATGCTGCCTGTGCTGCAGCACCTCTTTTCACCCTCTGTCTGAAACCAGAGCCCAGTCTGAGGGGATGTGGAGCATTTACATGCACAAAAAAAAAAACACTACAGGAGAGGGAACACCACACATAAGCTGTAACGGAAGTCACTACAGTTTAAACGTCTTGGCATGTGAACATTTAAAAAAAGATGCTGATTTTAAAAACAGTGAATTTGTTTCTGAAATAGATGTGTGAAGACGCAATGCCATAATGCACCGGGGCGTTGTTTTGGTTATTAGGAAGAGAGTATCAGTACAAATCTGCATATTCTGAATTTCCCCTGGGAGATTAATACCGGTTTAAGTTTTTACTATCATTGTTTTTCTTTTGGTGCCTTTTTGTCAGGGTGTCCGCGGGGTCCTAAAAAGTATTACAAGTTGATCAATCAATTTAGCGAAAATGAAGGCTATTAAAAAGTATTAAACGGCATTTTCCAAGGTATTACATTTTGGTTTTGGTTTCCAATAAGTATATAAATTGTCCAAAGAGGTTGTATTCTACAGTCTGCCTGAATGTAATCATTGCGTAGGTGTGTAGTGTGATTCTGTGTAGTTTATTTATGGCATCCCGTTGGATTTCATCTGAACAGGACATCGCACGCTCACTGCTTGATAGCGCGCGAAGGTCCGTTTACGCCCGTTGTTAAACAACATCGTTATGGGGAAATGCAAGTCTGCGTCCAAATGGTTGGAAGATAAGGAGGAAGGACAATCAATACTGTATATAGTCAATGTGAGGTAAAGTGTGTCGCCAAGGTAACCGGTTAGAACTCAAAGTGGCGATGAGTTCTTAAAATGTATGGAAAGGGTCTTAAAAAAGGTCTTAAAAGGTTTTACATTTGACTTCAGGATTCCTGCATATACCCTGATTGTGTTCATTTCAGTAATTGGTTGTATTGGAGTGGTGTACTGAAAGCACCAACAAGGAGTACACACTAATATCTGTTTATTTACAAAAGCAATGTATTTTTGCAATAAAAGGGCCTGGACATTGTTGATGTTTCTCCATTTGTAACAAAATGTCCTTTTTTCTCTGTTTACTCACAACTTGAGTCAGTCTGAAAACTTAATTTAAGACTGCATGTGTTATTCTTTTATAATACACAAAGCCACCACAGTTTGAACTTCTCAGCATGTGGACTTGTTTAAAAAAAAAAAAAAAAAAAAAAAACTCTGATAAAAATAGCGACGGAGTTCCTGAAATAGATGTAGAAGTACGTGCACATCAAGTGTACGTGCACATCAAGTGTATTTCAGAGTATGAAAGATGCACGACTGTTCTCCAAAATACATGAGCTCGGTTAACTACTCCCTTTGTCTTTGAAAGAGCAGCTAATGAAGCGTCTGCTGTTAACTCTTGCTCTGAGATCAGTTATTGGCACACAATCTGCCCTTCCTTCCCCTTTTTATAGTGTTTTTATAAAATGCAAAGTAACGTACGACACACAAAGGGAGGCGCGCTCTTGTATTAACTAAGAGCGCCATCAATTTTATTCTCTTTGTTTTATTGTATTGACGTCAGACTTTTTTTTTTCTTCTGACGTCATATTTAGCTTTTTATCAACATTTAAGTTTACAAAACTGTGTAAAGCCTTTTTTGGGGGGATTGGGTTTTTCTCAGTGAGTTAATACAAAAAAAAAATACTAATATTTGTATTAAGAAGTTAAAATATGCAATAGAAAGATAAAATCAAAAATGTAACTTAAAGGTCCCATGTCATGCTTTTCTGGTTATTACCCGTCCCCTTGTGTGTTATGTAGCTTCTGCATGTAAACGGTCTGCAGAGTCACAAACCCTCAAAGTACACCCTGTAGCGAGTAAAACTCTAACACAGAAAAGACCTGTCTATGCTGC